AACCTTGCAATACATTCATTGCGTGCAGCTGGATTAAGCTTGCAACGATTCCAATGTCCATGAAAATCAGCAGAGTGCCATGCAACGAGTTAACTCAGTCCCCATGCAAGCCATGCAGCAACCCAATCAACTCAGTCACAATATCAACTCACTCACAGTTTCCAAAGCCATGAAGCAACCCAGTCAACTCAGTCTCCATGCAAAAGCCATGCATCCAACTCAGTGTAATTTACGTGACTCAATGAGTGTCAAACAACCCAAGAAAACCAACAGCCAAGGAGTTGATATCTTTCCCTTTAATGTATCCCATTATCTACAGGATAGTGTTGTATAAATCTTTTATAGCTTAGATCATTCTTATCTCATCATCTATGAGATATATTTCCTTTTCAATTAAATTCCCATTACTTATGGGGTATACTTGTACAAATTTATACTATAAAAAGAACAAGCATACTCTCACTCTCTCACCTTAAGTAGAGTGTTTTAACTTTTAATTCATTGGTTTATAAGTTTTTTTATGGTATCAAAGCCATCGATAAGAAAGTAAAAGAAAGTTTTCAAGTGTTCATGGCTTTAATAAAAACATACCCTTACCCTACAAACATAATGTTGCAAACTTTGTCTCTTCATGTCTCAACCAAAAATATTATTTGTTATGACATACACAAATCCTTGCACTTGTAGAAAGTCAAGACATGATCAACTTTTTAAATGGTGAATATCTTATGTCGAAATCTCATCTTACTTCATCTGAAGGGATTGATTCCATTGGATCAAAAGATACTTCATAATTTTCTTCAAATACAGCTTTTATCTTTTGAAAAAGTTTGATCATCTTCTATGTGGTTGGATTACCAACACCTTGTCTAAGAAAGTTTTAGGTCTTGTTGTTGGCCTTGATTCTTCCATTGATATGTGGAAAACATTAGAAAACTCTTTTACACAAAACTCTCAAGAAAGAGAGTTTCATCTCATGTAACAACTATCAATGATTCGCAAAGGTAATGAATTTTTAAATTAGTATATTTTGAGATTTAAAGGTCATTGTGATGATCTTGTTGCAATTGAAAAAAAAATGTGCCTAACAAAACAAAAGTATATTGTTTACTTAATGGTCTTAGACCCAGATATGAAACTTTTGTCACCACAATGCTAAAACCTCAAATACTTTATACTAAGATATTGTCCCACTTTTTTAAAGCCATGAAGCATAAAATCAACTTCATGGATCTGAAGGATGTGAATCTACATAAATGATTTTCTTTAAACAAAGGAATAATAGTGGATAAAATAAAAAAATAAGGAATTGGATTTAATAGGTTTAACTCAAAAGGAAAGAGGTTTTTTCAAGGATATGGTTCTAATAGCAATAAAGGTGGAATTGGTGCTCAATTTTATGAAGGAAATAAGCAAAACAGTCAATAGTTTCCAAAACAAAGTCAAACTTTTAAAATCAAGCTCAAACATTAGTTGCAAATACCACAAAAGAAAAGCTTGTTATTTGTTAAATTTGTGGAAAGAACAATCATACACCCTTAAGTGCTTCAACCGTTTCAATCATTCTTATCAAGCTGATAATGTACCAGAAGCTTTGGTATCACTTGCAGTTACAGAAAGAAATGAAGATAAATGGTTTGCTAACACTAGAGCTACAGCTTATATGACTAATGATCCTTATAAGTTACAAAGTCTACAACTTTCTTTAGCAATGATGGAGTCGTGGTTGGAAATTGTCACTCTTTGGATGTTACACATTTTAATGATGCAAAAATTATTTATGGAGCTAAAACTATTACTTTGACAAATGTTTTGTTGGTTTCAAAAATTAAAAAAGATTTGTTCTCTTTTAGTTAACTCACTAATGATTTTATTTAGGATTTTGTCTTCTATGATAATGGCTTTGAAATTAGGGAAAAAAGCAGCAAACAAGTGATAGCTCTTAAAGAAAGACGATGAAATTTATATGCTTTATGGGATAGGCGAAAAACATGCAGCCTTTTTTTTAAATTATTTTAGAAGGACAAATAAAAAAAGATGGCATCAATGTCTTAGAAATCTTTACTATCAAATAATTGATTTTTTTTCTCGTAATGGTTTTGTTGAGTTTAATAACATGTTTAATTCTGAAGTAGTTTGTAAATGTTGTCAATTAGAAAAACCATGCAGGCTTCTTTTTGAAAGAATTAATGATCATTGTTATAACTTATTTATGAAGGTTCATTGTGATTTGCAGACCAGCTCCTATTAAGTATTAAGTAAGTTGATAAATATCATTACTATGTTATCTTTATAAATGGTTTTATTAGATTTACTTGGTTTTATCCAATGAAAAAAAATTTTGATTTTCTAATGTGCTTTATTCATTTTCAAAGATTTGTTGAATGACAGTTTAGTAAACAAATTAAGATCTTTCAAACTGATGAAGGTGAAGAGTTTATAAACAAATCTTTTTGGAATCTTTTAAAGGACCTTGGAATTCAACATTAACTTGCCTATTCTAAAATTGTAGAGCAAAATGGCTTTACAGAACGAAAACACAAACATTACTAAGTTGGACTTAATAAAGATGTTTAATACTAAGTTACCAACTCGATATTAGGTTGGTTGCTTTGTTATAACAGCCTATTTAATAAATCATTTGCCTAAATTTTGAATCATTTCTTTGAGGGATTAAAGTTATTGGATGAGTGTTTGGAATTGTTCCATGGTTGGGTTTGCTATTGTAGGTCTATTAGGATTAGACTGGCTGAGCTAGGTGTTTGTTCCAACATTAGCGGTTTTTTTTTACTTAGCAACTCTCTTTATAAGTGGCATTTTAGCTTGGCTATATAAAAGTACCTCTACCTAGCCCACCAAATATTTGTGCAAACTATCTTGAAAAGGTAAAACCCTAAAAATACAAGAAAGAAGAAGAGAGCAGTTAACAACATGTGAATGGTCCCAACATTTGTGTTTCGATACTTAAGTCAAATATTGGTTTAAAAGGTGAATAGAAAGGAGATAGCACTTAAGGTTAAAAAAAATGTAAGTGGATTAAAGTACTTAGATGGTGCTATTTATATTTATAAGATGAATGATTCTGGGCTTAGGCTGTCTCTGGTTAGCTCTAGTCTCGTAAGCCCAAACTGAGCTAGTTATTAACTGTCAACTTAGGGCATGACAATTTAGTATCTTAGGCCACTAGTGTGTAGACTGTTGAGATAACTAAGCTGAGTGATCTTGTGAATTTAGATCGGCCTAACATGTTAGCTCGATCAAAATAATTAAATTACCCTTGGTTGTAAACTGACGCATACTAAAGGGAAAAAAGTCCATGTTGCTCTTTAGACATTAAAATACCCCTAATTGTTACATTGCAACAAAGCATAAAACAAAACAAAAAGGGACAAACCTTAACAAGACTCTTTCTTATACAGACTCAAGAAAGGCATTAATTTTTTCATATCAAAACTTCTTTTCATAAAACTCACATCTTCGTAATGGTGGATTTTGCCCCTAAACTTTCCAAGATCTTCACAAATTTCCCAAGGTAAAATATTCAAATCAATTATTATAGTTTGATAACATACAAGCAATTATGAAATAAACTTTTGCAACTATTCAATCAACCATAGAAGCATTATTTAAGCCATTTTAAAAATCATAAAATATGCAGCATAAATATGTAAATACTCCATAGATAAAGGCAATTATATCACAACCTTGATAGGTGGTATTACATAAGTGATCTGATAGGATGTGAGATTTTTCTTTTTTTCTAGCCAGCATATAATAGTTTCTTATGTGATATTGTTCCCAGTAATACAGATTCTTATAAAGAATTCTGTAAGAATAATCCAAGTGTTACTGTAAGTGTATCTTTATTGTGTGGACTTAAATAAAATGCATCATTTTTTCAAGAAAATAAAACTTCAAATTAATTACATACTACAAATAAGAAAGAAGATCATAGATAAAGTTACTGTGGATCTGTATGAATTATATATATTTGAAATTAGACATACCCTGAAACCAAAATAAAGTATTTATATTTTTAATATTTTGATTTTTATATTTAATAATAAATATATCCAAACAAAAATAAAATTTGAATCGTCTTTGTATTTTTCATAAAAATACTCTTAACATTTTTAAATCCAACTAGGTGAGATGCTCACGCTATGCCGCGGGCTTGTTTAAAATTGTTAAAATGATAAGAGTTATAGTTTACAACTTAATCATAAAGAAGATATTGCTCAAGTTATGACCATAAGATAGAAGTTAAAGTTAAAGTTTACAATATAATAATGAAAAAGATTATTCATAATTAAGATAAATAACGGTTTTGAAAGTATTGGTTCTGATCATGCCAAAAAGATAATAATCACCAACCTTCAAGTAATTATTAGTCATGAATTTTTTTTATCCTTCTGTAAATAACTTTTATTTAGCATTATAATGGATAGTACAAAATTTGCTTTCTTCAAGAAATAAGTAGGGTGATTAAAGTATGTTGATTTGGGAAATGCTTATGAAAAGAAGCTGAAATATTCTATATATACAACATAATAAAAAATTTGTTAATGGATATTTTAAATGCATGGATCATTCAATTTTATTCATGAGTGAAATTATATAGTAATTCATGGTTGTAGTTTATGTGTAATTCTTTACCAAAGTGAGATTTATTTTGACATTTGTGTTGGTCATCAACCAGTTAAACATAAGGTTATCATAGTAAGCATCATTTTCATTTTTTGCATGATAATTAGAATTTTAGCATGAGAAGAACATGCAAATCATCGTATCTTCGATTGAATCTGCTAGTGCATTTCAATAGCAACAAAGAATGTTACATTAATCAAATAGCAGCCCCGTGGCTGTTGAAAACACTGTGGGCATGTTTCCTGATCCATCAGGCCTACAGCCCAGCCCAGAGAGCACCACGGCTGAACTGAAAAAGTCAAAGCAGGGATTTTTTAAAATGTTGTTTATCTAAAAAAGCTAAAATACAAAAAAATGCAAATCCTGGGGCCTTTCTGTAAATTAACTTAAAAATCTCGTCTCCTTCGCCTCCCACGAGAAAAAAGAGGCCTTATTCATCATCATCAGAGCAAAAAGGTCTCTCAAACTGCAATAAGTCCAAGGTTAGTCCTCCTCCCCTGCCTCCATAATTTACCTCTTTCGTAATCCTAATTTATCTACTTCCACTTCTCTTTTTGCTTCTGATCTTCACTGATCGCCTTTATGTAGATTTGATTTAGCTCTTTTCTGGAGTTATTATTCTTTGAGTGCTTTGAGTTGCGAACGCAATGAAAATTTTGCATCTCATCTTTGCTTCCTCTTTGTTTTCTGCGATTTTGATTTATATGAAATTAAAAATTTTAGGTAATTTCATGTACATTGACGAAAAAGAGGCATGAAATGTAAGTTTAATTTTTTTTTTTCTGTTTTGTTTCTGGAAGGGAATGGATTATTAGTTGAATGCAACTGTGCTAAGTAATTGGGTTATACCTAGTGGACTTGCGGCTTTGTATAATTAGAAAACTGTTGAATTAAAATTAACTTTTTTTAGCTTTACATCTTTAAGATAGGTACTTAGTTTTTTTCTTTTTGAACTTTAGTTTGTTTTAGGCAGAATATTTTCCTTTGTGTTTCTGTTTGGCTTTTGAGATTTTCTATGCAAATTCAAGGAAAAAACGTTGCCAAAAAGGATTAAATAGAAGATGAGATACTAGGATTACACAGACTGCAGAAATGGATAGCTCATTTTTCAAATTTCTAGCTCACTTTGTTCAATATCTTTTTATATATTTAAATTAAAAGTGCCACATTAGAGAACTTTGATTTTGAAAGTATGACTTCAAAATGAAATCGAAACTTTTTTATTTTTTCTTTCATTTGTTAGTTTTTAGGAGACAATGAATTATTATATCTTGGGGCTAGGGCTGCATCACTTTTCCTTGATCTAGCAACTCATGCTTCTCCTGTTTTTTCTATGTGTTTTAATAGTTCTTGCTTGGCATTGTTTTGCAGGTTGCATGGATTTCTTTGCTTAAAGTGTTCATTAGAGAAATATTGCAACTTTAGTTTCTAGGTTCATCTTGTGTTGTTTTTTATTTATTTGCATAAAAGACGTACTTCAGATAATTGATCCAAAAGAGTTGTGTGCTTAGTTATGGAATCTTTGTGGAAGCTTTTATTTTTACTTGAGCCTGCCCCTGTTACTCTCGTAGTTACAGCAGTGGCTGTTACATTTGGATCTGCATTTCGTGCTCTGAATTATGGGAAAGAAATGGAGCGGAACCATGACTTGTCAGGAGCATCTATAACTTTAGATAGGTCTCAAGCACTAATGATCCCAATAATGAGCTCCTGCAGTTTGCTTTTGATGTTTTACCTTTTTTCTTCTGTCTCACAACTCCTGACTGCATTCACGGCTATTGCCTCTGTTTCATCCCTTTTCTTCTGTCTATCCCCTCATGTTGCCCATTTGAAATCACAATTTGGTTTGGCTGACCCATTTGTGTCTCGGTGCTGTTCAAAGTCGTTTACCAGAATACAAGGGTTATTGTTGTTGGCGTGCATCCTCACAGTTGCAGCTTGGCTTGTTTCAGGGCATTGGATTTTGAACAATTTGTTGGGTATCTCCATATGTATTGCATTTGTCAGTCATGTGCGCCTTCCAAACATCAAAATATGTGCAATGCTTCTTGTATGTTTGTTTGTGTATGACATATTCTGGGTTTTCTTCTCTGAAAGATTTTTCGGGGCTAATGTCATGGTATCGGTGGCAACACAACAAGCATCAAACCCTGTTCACACGGTAGCTAATAGTTTGAGTCTTCCTGGCTTACAATTGATAACAAAAAAGATAGAGTTGCCTGTAAAGATTGTTTTTCCAAGGAATTTGTTGGGTGGTGCATCCCCTGGTGGAAGTACAGCAGATTTCATGATGCTCGGTCTCGGTGACATGGTATGAAAGCCCTTATCTTAAGTATGAAAAAAGTAGTTTTTGTCAACTTTTGGAGGTGTCTTATTTGATGAAATTAGCAGTAATCATTCCATCTCATATGATTTTGAGTGCAGTTTTTCATGAATGAGCATGTAAATGAATCAGATCTGTGCCTGCTATTGCTGCTTGAGCAGTAATTACATGGGCAACTTTATTGGGTGCAATACTACTTTTTTCCTTTTCTTTTGAAAGATTTCCTACATGGTGAATTTAATGTTTAGAGTTGAATGCGTTAAGTTCATTCTTCTCTTTTTAAATGCCCGTGCTATATATGATCCAGTGCTCTTGAATATTTGCATGTTGTCATGCTTTATTACTGGACCAATATTTATTAGTATTTATCAAGGTGCAGGTCCTTAAATCTTCATTTCTGTTGCAAGCTTGAAAAGTTTATTCTTATTGCCCTTGTTTGTGGCATGATTGCTATTAAATGAACAAACAAACAGGTCCTCTCCAATAATTCCGGTGTGCAGATGAGCTGGCACAGGGAATATCAGTGTTCTGTACTTGTGTACCAACCATATGCTATTTGCAATTCGTGCATTTATAGAGACAAGCACTCCAACTTATGCATGTGACTTATTGAGAATAAAATTGTAGTGTTGTTTACCAGTTCTACATTACTTCACTGGCTAGTGTCATCTCTTTTCTTATCTTTATAAATTTTTTATGTTCATGCAGGCTATTCCTGCCATGCTTCTAGCATTAGTCCTCTGTTTTGATCATCGAAAGAGTAGGGAAACAGTAAATCTTTTAGATTTACATTCCTCAAAGGGGCACAAATATATATGGTATGCCCTACCTGGGTATGCTATTGGACTGGTGACTGCTCTTGCAGCTGGCATTTTGACTCACTCACCTCAGCCTGCTCTTCTTTATCTGGTATTTTGTTATCACAGTTTATTGAAGTTTATTGGTTCTCTTTATATTTATCATGAATTTTTGTAAATATGATGTAGTCATTCTGATCATCTCTATTCTCTTTGCTTACTTGATCAAAAGTTGACTAGGTTTACTTTCAGCTGTTAACTAGTTTTATAGTTTTTTGGGTTCATCAGATGTCTGTGCACCTCCGTAACCTTTTTAAGTTATATATGTTTTACTCGTAGGTACCTTCAACGTTGGGACCCGTAATTTTCATCTCCTGGTTAAGGAAGGAACTAGCTGAATTATGGGAAGGAAGCACGCCAAATCTCAATGACAAGGCTAGACAAATTGAAGTCTGAGCCATTTCTTTATGTGGTACCAACGCTAGGCCACATCAGGGCATGTGGAGCCTTTTGGTTGTATATTCCTTTGGATGTTTTCTGTCACTGAAAAGTAGAGCAATACGATGTTTTACATTATGGCATTAACTTTGCGAATGATATATTTACCTAATGGAAGGCAGAAAGCAAACTTGGTGAGCCAAGTGTGTCTTTAACAAGTTGCATATCACAAGACTAATGATTTGCTCTAAAGATGCTTTCTGGTCTTCCATTTTTGCTTGAAAAGGTATCATAGTGTTATTTATGTACTATTTGGCTGGATTGCCATGCTCAATCAACCAACATAGGCTAAATCCAGAAGCAACAGACCAATGCTCTTGTACACTCCCTTGGTAGAGGGCAACTCCATGGTATTTGGTTTAGAGTTCAACATCACAGACGTGTTCCGATGGTTGATGCATCAGTTGAAGAAATGGAATGAACATAAGATGCCTTGACTGATGGTAAAGTGTGCCAACTCCTTTATGAAGGCCAACAATCTGTTTAAATGGCGATACTAAGTTACACCTTCACTTTCATCCTCTACAGATCAATTTTAAATACTATTAAGGGGCTTTTCTCGTATTTTGCTCCTATTAAATTGATAAATTGATTAAACTCAGCGAGGCCGTTGCTTTTTTTTTTTTTCCTTTAAATTTTCGTACTTTTCCAAAAATAAAATAAAAAATAAAAAGTTCCCATGTTTTTATTTAAGCGGACGACGCCGTATCTCCTAGAACATTTTTTTTTTTTCGTTTTCCTCTTTTGTCCATATCTCGGTGAGAAACAGACACGTGTCAGTACAAACCAAGCGACACCGTTTAAGCGATCTTTCTTCTTCTTATTCAGGCTTCAGTTCTCCCTGAAACGGTAAAACCCTGTCTGAAACTGAAATTTGTTTGGTCTGAATCATTTGCTTTCACCTCTAAACCGAGGGAGGGAGAATGGGAACGTCGGTTCAGGTAACCCCACTCTGTGGAGTATACAACGAGAATCCTCTGTCCTACTTAGTCTCAATCGACGGCTTCAACTTCTTAATCGACTGTGGCTGGAATGACCTTTTTGACCCCTCGCTTCTTCAACCCCTCTCTAGGTTCTTCTTCTTCTTCTTCTTCTTCTTCTTCTTCCACTTTCAAAATGTCCATTAATTAATCACTTATAGTCTTTGGAGAAAAAAAAACCTACTGTGGCTGGTTTTTGCAGGGTAGCTTCGACGATACACGCGGTGTTACTGTCGCATCCAGACACGCTTCACCTTGGCGCACTCCCTTACGCTATGAAACAGTTTGGACTCTCGGCTCCCGTTTATTCCACGGAACCGGTTTACAGATTAGGCCTTCTCACTATGTACGATCAGTATCTCTCTCGTAAGGTAAAAGTTTTCTCCGATTCTTTATTCGTTGATTTTCTAAGCTTATTGACTTATAGTTTGATTCCAATACACATTTATTTAGCTATAGAGTGTTGAAATAGGGGCTATCACTTTGTAAAATTGATGGCATGTCCATGAATTTGTTGTGTTTGCCACTAGGTCATTACACCTAAATCCTGAAGTTAAACTTCTCTGTTTGTAGTACTAATTGATTATGTTTTGTACTTAAAAGTTTGATGTTGACATGCTATGCTATATCTCTACTGCAGCAAGTATCAGAGTTCGATTTGTTCTCCCTGGATGACATTGATTCTGCTTTCCAGAGTGTGACTCGGCTAACCTACTCCCAGAATTATCATTTATCTGGTAAGCTTTTTGCTAGTAATGATTTCAATTTCTACATTATCTAATTTGGAACTATAGTAATCATGAGGCCAACGTTAATTTAGCAGTGAAAGCTCAAGGGAATTATGTGTTGCATGACTTGGTACTATATGTGGGTGGAGACTGTATGTTTGGATTGATGTTATTGCACAACCCCTTAGTTCCCTTTGGTTAAGATTTTACTTGCTTATTGTATTGTTTTTGTTTCCATTACAATCTTCATAGGAAAAGGTGAGGGTATTGTGATTGCTCCTCATGTTGCTGGACATCTTTTGGGTGGTACTGTTTGGAAGATAACAAAGGATGGGGAAGATGTCATATATGCTGTAGACTTTAACCGACGCAAAGAAAAGTATGTGTGCTACCTTGTATCTGATCTGAAATTGCTGTTCTATTTTATGCATTAACTCTATATACTCAGATGAGTGGGTTTTATCAGGCATTTGAATGGAACTGTTCTAGAATCTTTTGTTCGGCCTGCTGTTCTGATAACTGATGCCTACAATGCTTTGAACAATCAACCTCCTAAACAGCAAAGGGAAAGGGACAGAGATTTTGTTGGTAATTTATATTTCTGGTGTTGAATATTATTAAGTCATTATATAAGTCAACTTTCTTTCATCCATCCTATAATCCTTTCTACTCTAATGCACTGCAATGCCTGATTGCCTGCATTTACGGTCATATGCCAAACTTAATTGAGATAATTTCTGCAGATATCATCTCAAAGACTCTAGAAGCTGGTGGAAATGTGTTACTACCTGTTGATACTGCTGGTCGTGTGTTGGAACTTCTCTTGGTTTTAGAAGAGGTCAGTTGGGATGCTTGAGTAATAAAGAGGTGGATTTTTTTATTATTCTTTTGGTTAGCTATATTATTGATCAGAAAGTTCAAATCATGGTATAAACAGCACTGGTCATTGAAGTCTTTGAACTTCCCCATCTTTTTTCTGACATATGTTTCGTCAAGCACAATTGATTATGTCAAGAGTTTCCTTGAGTGGATGAGTGATGCTATAGCTAAATCCTTTGAAACTTCACGTGACAACGCATTTCTTCTGAAGTAAGTAGCCTCTTTCTTTTGAAGTTATGGGTACTTGTTAGAATTCTGTTATTATCAGTTTTGCACTACTTATCTTTATTCCTAAGTTTGTATCATTTATATGTGCTTAGTAAAATGTAACTGATATGAATGGGCTATAAATTATGTATATCCATATTTATTTAGAGGAGAATTATGTACAAGGTATTTATGCCAACATTGCAGGCATGTCACACTTTTAATCAGCAAGAGTGAACTTGACAAAGTGCCAGATGGTCCTAAGGTAGTTGATTACTCCATTGATAAGGAACAGATCACCATGATCTTTCTCAGCCTAATATATTTGACTGTTAGCTTATGTTTCTATTTAGGTTGTACTAGCATCCATGGCCAGCTTGGAAGCAGGTTTTTCTCATGATATTTTTGTTGAGTGGGCTGCAGATGTCAAGAATCTCGTGCTATTTACTGAAAGGGGCCAGGTGAGTTCTTTAGGACATAAGGCTTTAGATTGATTATTTTTGTTAATTCAATTCATGCAGAGTTAGATGTGGACAAGCATCTGATATGTGAAAAATAAAGGTTTATTTGCTTGATGACAAAGGTTTTAAGCTCTTTGTCCTTTTCAACTTGTGGTCAGGAATTATATTGTGTTTCATGGTTGCCTATTTCTTTTTTTTTTTTTTTTTGGGCTTCAGGTTTATACAGTAACAATTAGTTAAAATTGTGTACCTAGCATGTAATTACTATTTTGTTTTATCAAATGACTACAGTATCTCTTCTGCCTCATAATATATAGTTGCTTATACTTTGACCTGTATATGTAGTTTGGCACATTATCTCGTATGCTCCAGGCAGATCCACCTCCAAAAGCTGTTAAAGTTATGATGTCTAGGAGGGTTCCTTTGGTTGGGGAGGAGTTGATTGCTTATGAAGAAGAACAAAACCGGTTGAAAAAAGAAGAAGCTCTAAAAGCTAGTCTCATCAAAGAGGAGGAATCTAAAGCTTCTCATGTGCCTAATATCAATTCAAGTGATCCAATGGTCATTGACGCTAATAATAAGCATCCTTCACTGGATGGTATTCTTCTTCTGTTTCCTAAAAGCTTATCAATGTAATTTTCTTTTGAGAACTGAAACACATGTTCAGGTTTTGAGCATTCAACCAATTCTTAATGCTTTTGTGATACATGTTTTCATTATTTGCATTTGAATGGTTATTTCCTCTTTAAATTAGGAGGGAGTGGGTTTTTTTGGGGTTTCATTACTAGGAGATATTTTGACATATATTAGTTGATTCTAAAAGATTAGAGGATCTCCTAAATTTCTAAAATGCATTTAGATGAATTATACCTTTGTGTATCCATTCTTCATGTGCATTCCTGCAGTAGTGTCAACTAATAAATGCATTTCTTTGAATGGTTATGTGATGATTCCCTTGTCATTGGACGTAGGAGTTCATTCCTTTTTTGTGATAAAACTAGTGGTGGGGTTTTGTTTATTTTCATTGATTCTTGGTGATTTATGTTTATTTAAAAAGGCAAAAAATTCCAGTACTTTTTCATATCATGATAGTTATAATTTCTATTTATCAATTTGTCTGCTTGAAAAGTTTCTCCCCACCCTGATGAGGAATAGGTTTGTGTGGGATATTCATGATGCGTTATTGACAGTTTGATACAACTTTTAAATTATCGTGTATCCTCAACTGATATCTTTTATCTGCTTGTACTGTCCTGGGTTAGGTCAACATGGGAGTGGATACCGTGATGTTCTGATTGATGGATTTGTGCCCCCATCCACTAGTGTTGCTCCAATGTTTCCCTTCTATGAAAATACTTCTGATTGGGATGATTTTGGTGAGGTCATAAATCCTGATGATTATGTAATTAAGGATGAAGATATGGACCAAGCAGCTATGCATGTAAGTGCCTGCTTCTTTGTGCCATCTGAACTTGATTACTTTAGATGTATATCATCCTAAAATCTATTGATATTTGGGTTTATAGTACTGTTGTGGTTTGAATAATGAATTACTTTATATTTATCTCAGATTGGTGGGGATATGGATGGAAAACTTGATGAAGGCTCTGCTAGTTTGATACTTGACACAACACCTTCAAAAGTCATATCTAACGAGTTGACTGTAAGTTGAATTCTTTCTCAAGTCATGGTATAATCAGTTTGCTTAGACTTCTCAACATGAAGTTACTGGCATCTTAGGTCTTACTGAGATTCTGTTTGTTTTGTTTGACAATGTACATGAAAGCACCCATATTATCATTTGAATAAATTTCATTTACTTTCATTATAAGGTAGTTTGAAGCCTGGAAAATGGATATACTAGGGTCTAGGATTATACAGAGGATTCATCTTTTCATTTTAACACGTCTGGTCCTTTCAGGATGCCTTTAAACTTCAATAATGTTAGGGTTTGAGTTTTATATTTTTCTTCCATGTCCACATCTTTTCCTTTTTTCCTTATTATTCTCAATTTTTTTCAGGAATACATGTCCTTTCATGGCATCATTTTAGTTTCAATTTATATGTTGTAATGACATCAATGTTTCTTCTTCGTTCATTGTTTTATTTCTGAACTTGGATTTGGTTGTGAGAGTGTCTGAGCATTTAAGGTATTCTAAATTGTGATTTCATAATTTCATTGGCTTGACACCATCAAACCAGTCAAGCTGCAAATACTGAATTTTGTCATTTGCTGAACAATGTTCTATGATAATGATCAGGTGCTAGTAAAGTCTTCACTTATTTACATGGATTATGAGGGGCGTTCTGATGGTCGGTCTGTCAAATCAATCCTTGCTCATGTGACTCCATTGAAGCTTGTAAGAATATTTCTCAAGGCAACTTCATAGAATTCTTAGTTATAGATTTGGCTTATCATCTTTATGGGATGTCAGTATAAATGTTGCTCATATTATTTGAGCAACCATTCGTTTTCCTTGCACAGCATGTTATTACTTGTTGTGCATTTATGACATTACCATGCTATTGTATGTGGATGTGCCATCTTTTCCCTGGACGGTTAGATATTAATCCTGTGAGTTGGAGCATGCATTAAAGTAGATTAAAAGCATTGATAGCTGTAGAATAATAGCAGACTGCTTTTCCCTAAATTTATCAACTTATATATATTTCTTTGTTGTTTAACCCATATTCAAATGCTATCTCTTTTTTTTGGTACTTAAGGCTGCCGAACTAAGAGTCCAACACTCTACCAACATGCCACACAACATGCCACACAGCTGTTGGCAATTCAAATGCTATCTCATTTTTCTATCTAGTGGTTTTTTTTTTGGTCATATCTATTTTATGTGGGTGACTAACTTCTTGTATTAAAAAAAATATTTTGTCACTTGCAGGTTTTGGTGCATGGATCAGCTGAGGCGACAGAGCATTTGAAGCAACACTGCTTGAAACACGTTTGTCCTCATGTTTATGCCCCCCAAATTGAAGAAACAATTGATGTCACATCTGATTTATGTGCTTATAAGGTATAATTCAAGAATACGTATTTGCTTAAGGTGAGCCAATCATTTCAGAAGTCAGAAGTCATATTGTGACCTTGTGTCTAATATAGGTACAATTATCTGAGAAGCTGATGAGCAATGTTCTCTTTAAAAAGGTAACTAATTGAATTTATCTTATGATGTTGATGATGACCATAATTGAGTTATATTCAATCTCCATCTCTTTGTCTAACATAACTGCAACTTCAGTTTGGAGACTACGAAATAGCTTGGGTGGATGCTGAAGTAGGGAAGACAGAAAATGACATGCTCTCTTTACTACCCATCTCGACCCCTGCTCCACCTCATAAATCCGTTGTCGTAGGTGATCTAAAAATGGCAGATTTCAAGCAGTTTCTTGCCAGTAAGGGTGTCAAGGTACTGCTTTTCATATTTGTTTCAATGTGTCACAAAAAATAAATGAACTTCCTATCTAGAGCCCAGATTCTTGAAAAATTTTGCCCCCTTTTGTTACCCAAAGGTGTTTCTGTACAGGTAGAATTTGCTGGTGGGGCATTGCGATGTGGTGAATATGTGACATTACGCAAGGTTGGGTTAGCTAGCCTCAAGGTGAGCAATTTGGCAATTTAACTTGCTGTCCGGCAGGCTGAGGAGACTAGTATCCTTTGCAAATTTCTATCATTCATGATATGTTTTTTTACATGTTTTATTAATTTCTTTGTTGTTTCTGTAGGGTGGGGGTTCTGGTACTCAGCAAATTATTATTGAAGGCCCTTTGTGTGAGGAATATTACAAGATACGCGATTATCTATATTCCCAGTTTTATTTACTCTAGGTAGTAGATGAAATGTGCAATGAATGGTTTTCGCATGTTCTTCGCCTTTCATTGGTTCTGATATTGAACCACGGTTTCTTTTGGGCTTATAGAGTACGGAAGGCAAAGTTGGTGATCTGGGAATAGGAGAGGATCAGAAATTAATTATAGTTTGTTTCTCTGTTGTTTAGATTTAATGCTTGAATGTACAATTTATTTTATCCAAGAAAAGTGCAAGATTTTAGGTTAGTATGTGGCAATTCATTTCACTTTTTTCGGAAGTGGAGTGGTAGTTGCACTACCAGTGCTAGAGGCAGGGGTTGTTCAAAGACTTGTAGTCAAATCGTATCACTTCAATGCAACAAATTTTTTTTTTTTGTTAGTTTCAAAGAAATATTACCGCAAAGCAACATTACTTGCGGTTAAGCCTCAATTATGACACACCCCCTACTTGTTGGTTTAGGAGAAAAAGAAAATTTATTAAAAGGAAAATTTCCTTGCAAAAGTATCTTTTAGGTTTTGTTTATAAGGAAGGAGGAAAAGAAATGAAATAAAAATTTTGTTAATTTAATAATAAAAATTCATAATTATTTTGTTACTTTGTAATTTAATTATTAAATTACTGAAAATTTTATTTTTACCTCTTTTTCAGCTTTTCTATATAAAAAAAAGCCTCAGTTGTATTTTCAAATTGATTGAGTTGAAGTGACTTATATTATTTATTTTATATTTTTTAGTATGGGTTTTTTACCTTTATATTTTTCAACGTTGAATTTTTTTTTTATCATTTTACCAGAGAGCTGGTGTTACTTAATTGGCGACATCAAACAGTTATAACTAGAATAAATATGGAAAATGCGAAGATTATAAGTTCTATAGATATAAAAAATAAGAATGAAATCGGTCATGGTATTTGATGAACTGAAAAGCAACTTGGGTAAATTATCATAGAATTCTTTTATTATTTAACATTTAAAGGGAAAATATAAATTTTGAGTGATTCTTGAATTGTAAAATGTAATTATAACAAATTCTGTGAAAAAAAATACAATTAATATTAACTTTTTTAATTGTTTAAAATTAATTTTTTCTCTTACAGACTTGATTCCCAATTAGTTAAGACAGGATTTTTTTTTTTTTGAAGATAAAAAAAAAAAAAAGGAATTATTAGCGTAAGGACCGGTTAATAAAAGTTAGGTAGGTTCCCGCACTTGAAATTCCGGTAGTCGGTCTTCGTTTTTTAAGCAGATGCCTTGCAAGCCCCCTACCCAGTAGAAAATGTTTTAAACAATTCTTACATCTTCATTATCGTCGCTTCATAGATAGATAGATAGATAGATAAAAGGAAGATAATTAAAAAAAAAAAATCCTCACATCTCCGTTTGTCGCTTGTCTCTTCTTTTATACCAAAAACAGACAAATAAAACTTACAAAAACCCTAGAAGAAATCACCCTTCACCTTCAATCTTCTTCTCCCTCCTCTCCCGCTTCCATTTCAATTCAGTTCAGCATTTTCAGTTAGGCCGGAGTTTTTATTTTTTCGTGATGGCTTCTACGGCCGCCACGTTGTCGCCGAGCTCTCCCCAGCTACGCTTGGCTTTGCGTTGCGGGAATCGCGTGGAATCGCGTGCGGTTCTTGTTGGGGCGCGGACGAGGAAGCTCGATTGTTGTCGTCTTCGCCTGCTCTCTGTTTCACGAAGCAGGAGTAAGGGAGTGGAACGGCGTCGTAATGGTGCTTCGCGGATTGTGGCGGACTCCACAGCTGGAGCAGGGGCGGATACTTTTTCCGGATGGTCTGATTCGGATCATGTTGAAGATTCCGTTGACTCGAAAAGGAACGGATTGTTTGGAGGTATTAATTTGTTATACTTTGCGCAAAGAAATGTTGTTAATACTTTTCTTGATCGAATATTGTGCGTCTATGTTGTTTTCAAGAGTTAGTGGAAGAGAAAAAAAAAAGTTTCATCTTACATCTTTGTTGGTTCAAAGGCAAAAGGGATGAAAATTATGTAATATAATTTGAATCTGGGTTTAAAATATCAAAGTATGGTGTGTTGCGCTTGTTTTTCCTTTTGTGGTTTTCTTTGTTTACTTATGACCGATAGAATTTATCCAACCATAATTGACTCATTAAGTTTTTGAATTATGTTGTTCTTACACTAAGTTATTATTTAGCATCCGTCAATCAATGGTTTTCCATAGAATTGAAGCAGATATGCATCATATGATAATGAGGGGTAGAATTTGACAATTGTGTAATCTCTTCTTTTTTCAGGGTTGTCAAGAATTTTTGGGCTATGAGTAGGGGTGGGGGTGTTCTAATCATGCTTAAAGGGGTTTAAATTAAAATAGTTGGTCTTCATATTTTGGACTAATAACAATCCGTAAGTAGTTTGCTTTCAGGAATTATGGGAGCTGGATCAGCTGGACTTGTTCTGGTAGCAGGGCTTTCCTTTGCAACAATGTCACTAAGTAATCGAAGCACTTCCAGTAAGTGGTCTTTTTTTATTGCATCACGTTCTATTTTATCATGGTCTTCTATCTCTTTATATGCTGGTACTTTTTTTGCTTTCTGTGTTTATTAGACTTAATTTAAATGATATTGATACGAACGCTGGTGATAGAAAATTGTAATTTGTTGACTTTAGGGCCCAAACAGCAGATGGAACCATTAACAGCTCAAGAGGAAGTTTCAATTTCATTGGCCTCTGATAATGAGAGTGATAAAGTAGAGGAGAATGAAAGCGAGAAAGGTATAACTAAGGATCTTTCATCACCTTCAGAATTTGATGTCACTTCTACTGATAATAAACTTGATAATGATAATGGGACCTGCTTAGTAGAAAGTTACACATCCAACGGCAATAGTGCCACTAACACTGCTCCAATTCAAGAAGACTTGCAAAATGTTTCAGTTTTGGATGGAATTTCAGTTGGCACGGACATAACTCCAATATCACCTAAATTGCCTGAATCTGAAGTTGTTGATGGCTCTTCTGTTGCACCAAGCCTTAGAGAATCAGACTGCAACCTTGATATTGGTTCACCTGAAGCAACTTTAGAAATTGAAGACAAATTGATTAATGTCAGAGAAACCATTGATACTAACTTGTCTGACCCAATAAACCTAGACAATGATATCAACGAGGGAAAGCTTCGGTCAGAAGGAGGAAAGAATTGCAATATCTCAGTGGATTCCTCTTATAGTTCCAGTTCAACCAATGAGCCAGTGATTGTGAGCTTCTCAGTTAGTTCAGAGTTAGAACCAATTTTAGAACCTCAGTCTGTACCCAAAGACAATCTGGAAACCATAGAATCATCTCCAACTGAGGAAAACCTTGAGAGTAGCAAAAGTTTGCGGTTCTCTGTTGAAATAAAGAATTCATCTCTGGAAGTGAACAACTTAAATGAAAGTGAGTCTTCTGAAAAAACCTTTGTGTCAGCACCAGTGCATCCATTAACAAATAAGCAAAGCAAAATTGATTATAAAGAGATAAATGATAGCAAACCAGTTTTTGAACCTCCAATTCCTAGGAGTTCCTCCTACCCTGCTGGTATACCTGCTCCATCTGTAGTTTCTGCAGCTCTACAGGTGCGTCCAGGGAAGGTTCTGGTTCCTGCAGTTGTTGATCAGGTTCAGGGGCAGGCACTTGCAGCCCTTCAAGTTTTGAAGGTATTTCATTCTTGCTGATATGGTGGAACAATTACAGTATAAGCCCCTGTAGATAAGATGAGGACTTGCAACCTATTGCTCAAATATCTGAATCTTTTCCAGGTTATTGAGGCTGATGCTCAACCTAGCGATCTATGTACACGTCGTGAGTATGCTCGGTGGTTATTGTCTGCAAGCAGTGTTCTTTCGAGGTATAGGTGCCTTTCTTATTACTCCTATGTATGGCAGTATTTGGGCATTAGGAAATTAGTATCTAATTAGCAATATAAAATAGGAAAGTTTATACTTGCAATGCCTTTTTATTGCCTCAGGAATACAGTGTCAAAAGTTTATCCTGCAATGTATATTGAGAATGTTACTGAACTTGCATTTGATGACATCACACCTGAAGACCCTGATTTTTCATCCATTCAAGGTGAGAATAGGATTTCATATTCTTGGCCATAATTTTTGTAGAGTAACTTTCTTTTTGTTCTAATCATTCTTGCTAATGGAGTTGGAGATTCAGGCTTAGCAGAGGCTGGACTTATCTCAAGCAAGCTTTCAAATCAAGATCTGCTTAATGATGATCTTGGCCCATTTTACTTTTCTCCTGAAAGGTTATTACTGTTCACACATTGAACTGGCCATATAGTCTTCCTATTTAGCTGGGTTATTGTCATCTCCAATACAAATCTTCCCATTATTTTATTGCCCTAAACATCTGGTGGGCCTCCTTTTTCTATATTGAAAAAATAATTCTCAATTTTCTCGAAGTCACATTTTCGTTTTAATTTATCTGTAATAGAACATGTACATAAAAGCCTGATGTATAACTCTCTGACATAGCCTGAATAAAACCTAAAATAGTGAATGAAAATTGCATTGCATTTTTTTAACAGTTAGTTTCGCTTTATTTTAGGATACAAGGCTGCTTTACTTCTGGCTTTCTGATTGGCTTCTCATTTCCTCTTTTTTCTCATTTTTATGCTCCAGTCCTCTATCACGCCAGGATCTTGTAAGTTGGAAAATGGCCCTAGAGAAAAGACAACTCCCAGAAGCTGACAGAAAGGTTGCCTATGTTTGAGTTTGTTTATTTGTCCATTTCAATCTTCTTCGTTGCATGTAGTAGTGAGTATATCGGTATTAATTTTACCTTTGTGGTCATGTATAGATACTCTACCAAATTTCTGGTTTTATAGACATTGATAAGATAAATCCAGACGCATGGCCTGCACTTGTGGCTGATTTGTCTGCTGGAGAACAAGGAATAATAGCACTTGCTTTTGGTAAGTCATGTTGATTTATAATTACTTTCGCCAAATTTCATCTTGATTTTGATGATTGATGTGCCTTTGTTGTTTTCATTATCCCTAAAGGTTGTACGAGACTGTTCCAGCCAAATAAGCCTGTGACAAAAGCCCAAGCTGCTGTTGCTCTTGCAACTGGTGAAGCTTCTGACCTAGTAAGTGAGGAGCTTGCACGAATCGAAGCAGAATCTATGGCAGAAAATGCAGTATCTGCTCATAATGCTTTAGTTGCTCAAGTTGAGAAAGATGTTAATGCTAGTTTTGAGAAAGAGCTGTCAATGAAAAGGGAAAAGATCGATGCAGTGGAAAAAATGGCCCAAGAGGCAAAGCAGGAACTGGAAAGGTTAAGAGCTGAGAGAGAGGAAGAGAATATTGCCTTAATGAAGGACCGTGCTGCTATTGATTCAGAAATGGAAGTCCTTTCAAGGTTAAGGCGTGAAGTGGAGGAGCAGTTGGAAAGCCTGATGAGTAACAAGGTCGAGATATCATATGAGAAGGAAAGGATTTGCAAACTACGCAAAGAAACAGAGGATGAAAGCCAGGAGATTGTCAGGCTACAACATGAGCTGGAGGTGGAGAGAAAAGCCTTATCTATGGCCAGGTAAGGAAGTGAACTTTGTTATTAAGTTTTTAAAATCGATACTGCAACAACCTAACTGGGGGGAATAACTGAAATTTCTTCAAATATATATATATTAGATGCTTTATTTGCAGGATAACATATTTCTCCTATATGGTGGTCCAATTAATATTTCCCCTGCATTCCTTATCTATTTTTATTGAAGAATAATCATGAATACTTTTGGGTTAGTGTAATATCCATTTGGAAATTTAATTATGGCCTTTTTGTTTTTCTGTCTTTATTTTGTCTGTCATCTACCGCTTTAGTTTTTTCTGAGAGATGTGTTTTACAATGTGCAGTTCTCATTAGATTTTTAAAATTGATTATTCCTTATTTATGTTACAAAACTTTCTAATAATTCAGGGCTTGGGCTGAGGATGAGGCAAAAAGAGCAAGAGCAGAGGCAAAAGCCCTGGAGGAGGCTAGAGATCGCTGGGAGAAGCATGGCATCAAGGTGGTTGTTGACAATGACCTCCGTGAAGAGAGTGTTGCAGGAGTTACGTGGGTAAACGTAGAGAAGCAAGTTGAAGTTGAAGAAACTATAAGCAGGAGTGAAACTTTGGTGCGCAAGCTCAAGGCATTAGCGAGTGAAGTAAAAGGGAGATCCGGAGAGTTCATCAATGAGATTGTCCAGAGGATCCTGTATTTGATTTTGGTGTTGAAGGAGTGGGCCTCCAAGGCAGGTGCAAAGGCGGAAGAATTGAAAGACAGGGCTGTGTCGAAGGCAAGGGGATCAGTACAAGAGTTGCAGCAAAGCACGACAGGATTTAGTTCATCCCTTAAAGAAGGTGCAAAACGGGTGGCAGGAGACTGTCGAGAAGGAGTAGAGAAACTCACTCAGAGGTTCAGAACATAACCCTCCCCCGTGATTTACGTTTTTCCCTTTCTTGGGCACGGAATAAACAAATTTTGCAGTTGAAAAGTATTTAAAATTCACCTGATCTGTGGTCATTTTACATTAGAAAGTACCATGTTATCCATTCAATGATGGGTGTAAAAGAAAGTTGCACTAATATATAATGAAGTTGCTACTGCTCTCTGTCCTTAACCGCCCAAGGTTCCAGTTTCATTGAATGTTATCAAAATTTAACTTGCAAATGTGTTAATGAAGAACATTAATTGAGTTGTTGACGGAAGAATAAATTCTTTCCTCTTTTAAGTTTTAACTGCACGCCTATTGCCAACGACTCAATGATAAACTCTAACAGCCTAGGGCTAAGAAAACCAAGCTCGGCTGTTTGGCCAAAAGATCCATGCAACAAATTACGCAAAACCTTACATGCAGCAACGATGATACATAACAACAAACACAAATTTTAATGATGATAATTCTTCCAATTTTCTCATCTCTAATTCAAGTACGACAAGTTTCAGAGCATAGTTCTCCGTCTCAAACAAAATATTAAAAACATGTGCTAAACAAACTTCACTAAGAGCTACTAAATGGGGGCGTCGAACTTTGTCATCAGAGAGCAAATCAAGAAAATATGATTCACTTCTTCTTTTCTCCACCTCCAGTGTGGGCCCTGCAAGGATATTACACCAAGGAAAAGATTTATTACCATTTTCAGATAGCAAATACCCCCTCAAAACATAAGACTAAAATTAATTGCTTGTCCTTAGATATAAGATATTACCTCATCTTGCGGAGAACGCTAGACATCTCCTCACGCTTCTTCTTGGCCCTTTTGTGAGTTCCCAACTTTCTTTTAGCTACCTTGAGAGCTCGCTTGTCCTTACCAACTTTCAGAAGCTCAGTGATCCTCTTCTCATATGGGGCAAAACCAGCAACTTCCCTGATCAAGTTCCTCACAAAATGGACTCTTTTGCTAGTTTTCTGAATAAAATATAGAAATCAGGCCTGTGACTTGCACTAAGAAAACACCAAGTATAATATAAAACAATATGTAATTAACTATAAAAACCAGGCTGAAACAAGCCCTTCCAAAAGATAAGTACAAAGGATAAGAACAGATATAATATGGCAATTTAAAGGTAGTGCTACTTTTTTCCCATGCAGTTTTCCCTTTCTCTTTCAATAAAAACTATTTACTTATAATCAATTACTATTATTCTACATCAAACTTAATCAGCATAGGATGCACTTACTCCTTTTCTATTAGAGGGACGTGGAGCCAGCTCCTTCTTGGTTACAACGTGACCCTTGTTTAGTCCTACAAAGAGGCCAGTATTTGGCTGCTTGGTAGCCATGTCTGCTTAAGTAACAACAAAATCACATATATAAATAAAAAAAAATACCCAACATTCGAGCGGCATTTCAGTAATCTTTCAAATCAAAAGTACCAATCATTCTGATTTCAAGTCCTGCTTCCAAAAGGAGTACATATCTAAATGATTTTAACTTTGGACTCAACCATTAATTCATTGTTCTTTTCCTCATAAACCTCTCAAAATTCACAATATATATTTGCATCAACAGCTAATCAAGGACAAAAAAACGGGTGCATATTAATCTCCAAATATCTCAAGAGTGAAGACCAAGATCTATGGTTATATAACTTGACATTTTTACTGCAAGTGAAATGAAAAATAGGCTTAACAACTTAAAGCATAAGCCTACAAAATGGAATTTAAGAAAAAAAAAGAAAAACATGTATATGCATAGCCAAACATTAAATATACATATATAACATAGCTAAATCAAAGATTGTAGTACAAATAAAATCTGAACAGCCAATATCACCTCATCTAAAAAACCCACCAATCAAAGCACAGCAGTTAATAAGCACAACTTAAATCATGTGCACTCAATGAAACCAGCTAAAGCTACTCAATATTTGAGCTTAGTCTTTCATATTTTTTTTTCTAAGAACTAAAGCAATCTGACACAAAAGATTTGGCTTTTCAGCTTGTACTTCGTTTCCCAAGCAATCAAATAGAGACCATTATTCAGAAGTGTAAAGAAGAAACAAAGGGGCTTAGAGAGAATAATGTAGATTTACCTGTGGAGACGGAGATCTCGGCGGTGTCAAGGAGTTAGGGTTTTGGGTTCGTCATCTATATATATATATGAGTGCCAGTTGGCTTCCTTCTTATGGCTGGGTTTTGGGTTACAAGAACAAAAGAAAAGAACAGAAAATGACGAGAAAATTTATGGATTATTTCCATGATCCGACCCAAAATCACATTTTTGGGCCCAATTTCTTTTTCGCTCAATTTCTCTCGGAGAGAACCAGAGGTGAGAGATTTATTTAGACAAAATTTTTTTGCTATTTTCCTCTTTAAATTTGTTTAAAAATTTTAAACAAATAGTAATGAGATTAAATCTCAACTATTGCCTTAATAAAAAAACTAATTACATTATTTGGCTTCCAACCATTTTTTTCTTATCATATCAAGTTTGTTTCAAATTTTGAAAAAAAAAAAATAAAAAAAAAGAAATCAAAAGTAAAAATTAGGGTCACAATAATACACGAATATTTTGAATTTTGATTTAATTCAATTTTATAACATCGATTTTTTTAAAATCAAGTTTTTAGTTCTATTAGATTTTTTAAAAATTAAATTGGAGTCAATTTTAGATAAATCTATTATGATCCAATCCAATATTTATAAAAAATATATTTTATTATTTATTTAATTTTATATTTATGTATATATAATATTAATAAAATTATTATGTAATATTTTAATTATAAATATTAATTGAATAAAAATATTATATTTATGTATAATTAATATATAATTTATATTAAAAATAATATTTATAAATATATATTAAATTAAAATTATTAAATTTATTTAAAATATAATTAATTATGATTTTATACATATCCAAATCAAATCAAATATAAATATATAATATTTTAATATCAACTCATATCAAATTTAAATATTTATTTTATAAAATTAAGTTTAACACGAACAAAAATTAATCCTACTTGATCCGTTATCATCACTAGCAAATCTATGTTTTGGAATTTATTATTATTACTTTTTAATCGATACGAAGAAAATGTTTTAAACTTTCTTATAACTTAAGCCGTAAACGGTTTCAGCAAATGAATGATTAGGCAACCGATAGAAGAGAGGCTCTATCTGCACTAGGTTTTTGTTCTCCACTCTTTTATTTTTTTTAAAATTATTTTTAAATAAAATTATTTATTTTTAAATTTTTTTAAAATATTTGTATTTGATAAATTATAAATTTTATTGAATATAAAAATCTGATAAGTAAAATAATTTATCAGATTCACATATATATATATATGTTAAATTACATAACTTATTAGATTTTGAAATCTGTAATTAATGTTTAAAAAATTTTATAAAAAATTACAAAAAGATAGTTTTATTAAAAATTTTTATTAATTACTATAATAAAAAACTATTATTGTAAAAAATTATAAATTTTAAAATTAATAAAATAAAAGTTGATTTTACTGTTTTAATTTAAAAAAAATAAAATCTCATAAAATCTTAAATTAAAGATAAAATAATAAATGTAATTTTTAAAAAATTTAAAAATTTACTTCTTTTTTAGTAAGTATTTTTAGCAGAAAATATAGAAGCTCTCATGATAAAAATGATTTATTTGTCCGATAAAAACAATATGCCACTACAACTCTCAACTTATTTACACATTAACCATCTACCAGTTAAAAACAGACAAATGATGAGCCTTCCCTTCACGTTAACTGCTGTGGCATTGCACATGCCTTTCTTCCTCCTACACCCAAACTTCTAAACTGGACTTTGACTTGTCGGTAGGCGGTAGCCCTCTAAATTTTCGCCCTCGTCGTGTTCTAATTTCCTTTCCCTGTCAGTTTAAATGCTTGTAATAACAACTCAGCATTAACCCAGACTCAGAACATCCCTTCACCAATTAAGGACCATGTCTTTAATCATTTTCTTATCAATGAAGATTTCCATATGAGGAAAATCAAAGTTCACGGTACTAGAATATTGGAATCCCGTTTGTTCTAGATTAAGAATTCTTTTTTTTTTTTATTCTTTTTTGCTTTAAGTTTTTGTTCTTGATCAGACAGAAATCCGGTGCCTTGGGTCTTTCTTATTTTCTCTTCTAGCTGTAGTATGATCTTTCTTTGATTATTTTAGTGATAAAATTGTGATCAGTAGCATTTATGACATTGAAGTGGTAGAAAGACCCAGATTGGTCTCCTGCTGCAGCTATCATTTAAGAAGCCACCTGGAGTTGCAACTGTAGCCATCATATTTTGTCTCTGGTGAGTGCTGTCTTTGACCCTTCACATGGTGTGGAAGCATACTTCTCACTGATCCTCCAATTTGTGCTGTTAACAGCAATTCCAATTTATTGTCCTTGCTCCTGTTTTGTCTGCTTTGGAATCCACTCTTATATCTTTTGTTATGTTCAGTTGATAGTGCATCATAGGGGGAAGCTGAGATCATTTTCTTGAGTCCTATTCATTATATTCTACTTTTCGGTTCAAATTCTTCTACTTTTAATCTTTTTTTTGCACTTAGTCTATTGACATATTGTATGTCAATCCATTTACTGAATTGGAATACTTTGTTTGTAGTTGAAATATATATAATAAAACCTCAAAAAATTATATCTCCTCCTCTTCAAATTGCATGGTTTGACTCCAAAATCTACATTCACTGCTGCTTGAGTAGATGTGAATTTCGGTATCTTATCCAATTCTCAAATCATTAATCAAGTTCCATATTCTAAGTTCCTTTCTGGTATTTCCTACATCAGGAGACCATTTCCCTTGTTTCTAGCCATTTACATTCAAAATCCATGTTTTATGATCTATATTGTCATACATAGAGGGTAGGCGTCAATGTCAGTCATATGTGGCCTCCCTCTCCTTGAATGTGTTTACTGTCTGGCATGTGCACGCTGGGTATGGAAAAGATGCCTCCATACTGCCGGCCATGACAGTGAAACATGGGGCCTTGCGACTGCTGAAGAATTTGAGCCGGTCCCTCGACTATGCCGCTATATTCTAGCTGTTTATGAAGAAGATCTTCGGCACCCCCTTTGGGAACCCCCTGGAGGCTATGGGATCAACCCCGATTGGTTGATTCTTAGAAAAACTTATGAAGACACTCAGGGACGGGCTCCTTCATATATATTATATCTTGATCATGACCATGCTGATATAGTCCTTGCCATTAGAGGTCTTAATTTGGCAAAGGAGAGTGACTACCAAGTGCTTTTGGATAATAAGCTGGGGAAAATGAAATTTGATGGTGGCTATGTTCATAATGGACTCTTGAAGGCTGCTGGATGGGTTTTGGATGCAGAGTGTGAGGTTTTGAAGGAATTAGTGGAGAAGTATCCAAATTATACTTTGACATTTGCGGGACATTCTCTTGGGTCAGGTGTAGCAGCCTTGTTGGCGTTAGTGGTTGTTCAGCATCAGGATAAACTGGGAAATGTTGACAGGAGGAGGATTAGGTGCTATGCTATTGCTCCTGCAAGGTGCATGTCGCTAAATTTAGCTGTCAGATATGCAGATGTCATCAATTCTGTGGTTCTTCAGGCAAGTTGATTTTTTTTCATTTATTGTTTGTTTGGCATTATTATGTGTTAGGAATGATACTATCAGTTGGCCCAATATAAACACAATGTTGTTACTGGCATCTGCAGAAGTCCATCAACTGAATTGTAATTATTTGCAGTATTTGTAGTATTAAATTGTGTTGTACTACATATTATTTAACTAAAAAAGAGGGGATATGAGCCATGTGATGTCTTTGTTCTGAGTAAGATAAAAGAATGTTATTAGAGAGAAAAGGTATGAATGGTTGCCGTAGTCTGGAGATTAGTTCTTTAACACAATGGGCTCAATTTATTACTTTATATTCCACTTCCTCATTCGCTTGAAAGTTTATGTCCAATTGTAATTCTTCACAAGCTTGATGAGTGGGGAAGGTTCATGCTTATATAAGACTTGTTTATGAATTTTGATAATGAGGGAATTTTTGGAAAGGGACTTAGGTGGTCATTAACTTCAGTTCTAATTTCAAGGGAAGAAGAATGATTAGTATAAATGTACCTCAAGATCCGTGATTTCTGTTGAACATGAACTAGCTGATGGGAGATAAGAAGCATTGTAGGATTTGAGGAATTATCTTCTGCAGAATCTCTCATAAGGTGTAATAGAAGATTTAAATGCTCCATTTGAAAGTGGAATATTTAGGAGGTGACTCGAAGATCAATCATCATAGTGAAATCTTGCTGTAAGTAGAACCTGCTGTAACTTGCTCTCCTCTTGTCCTTGGAGGTTAGGTGCTTGACATTTACCTTCGAGAGCAAGATTTGAGAGACAGTAATGAAAGGGAACCAAAAAAAAGGAAAAATAGAACTTGGAGTAGTCCAATGGATATTGAAACTCTAATGTGCATTTTGAGATGTGACGATGTCTCATACAGTGGCATAGATGCTGAAAGGAATTGTGTTTTGCTTTATAGCAATGTGTGTTTCATATGAGTACATGTAGCTGTGCAAAACTTAAAGTGCATGTTCTTTGTACATGGTAGAAGATCTTATCACATTTGCACTGATAGGGGCACCAAACGTTGAAAGCACCTGGTTGATATTATACTAGTTGGTGATATGTCAAATTTGTGAATCATAGCAATTGATTTCTGTCAAAAGTTTGCAACATTTTATTGATTTTTATTAATTTAAATCTTCAATCTATCAGTTATTATATTATTATTGTTATTTTTCTTTTGTATTTAATTGTGGTTAGTTCTGAATTAGGATGACTTCTTGCCACGAACAGCCACGCCTTTGGAAGACATTTTCAAGTCACTTTTCTGGTATAGTTGGACTCTATGTCTTTATCACCATTTCAATTATAGTTCTGTTTACAGCCGGTAGGCTTCTGGAGTCTGTTCTAACATCCTTTCCAAAGCTAGTCGTACCACCTGGTCCTCTGGTTTCTGCCAATAAACAACAGATATTGGCACATGAAAAACACAAAAAAGGAAAAAGAAAGTTATAGATCCAGTATTCCTGCAAGTCAAAATATGCTTACTTTTGATGTTATTTTTAATCTATTGACAAATTTTTGCTTTCACCATTTAAACAGTTTGCCATGCCTACTATGTCTGAGATGCATGAGGGACACTTGTATACCAGAGGAGAAGATGCTTAAAGATCCAAGGAGGCTGTATGCACCTGGTCGCCTCTATCACATTGTTGAGCGAAAGCCTTTCAGGTATAAGGAGGCATAACGAGCATAGCTCTCTCCTATATATTTGCTTATTGCTTACCGAGTTTGGTTATTTATTACTTAACTGAAGTGCTGTCATTGTTGAGAATGCCTTGCAAGGTTGGAATTTAGTACAGGCTTGTATGTTGGGCAGGTGTCTAAATTCTGTTGCATTTGGTGTAGTGGTCATAATCTAGCATAGAGAAATATGGACAGGCCTCAAGTCTAATGTTTCTATCTGGTATCTTAGGTGTTCTTAAATTAAAAATAAATAACACAGCAGGGCTTCATAATAAAAAGATTCACCACAATGCATAACAAATTTCGACCTCTTGACGGACTGTCCGTTAAACATCACTCTTGCAGATTAGGAAGATTTCCCCCAGTTGTGAGGACAGCAGTGCCGGTGGATGGGAGGTTTGAGCACATTGTTCTCTCTTGTAATGCCACCTCAGACCATGCTATAATATGGATAGAGAGAGAAGCACAGAGAGCTATAGATGTAAGTTTAAAGCTACTTTATTTCCATGGTAATGGTTTAAGCCAGCAGCCAGTTGATGAAATAAATCCATATATAGTGTTGTAGATGGTTTAAAGAATATTTAGGCAAGAGTTTTCCTAATACACATCATGTGAGACTCTCACTGCTGATTGGTTTCCTATGCAATTTGTACTCCAAACTACTTTTTGAAATTAAACCTCCACACCGTTGTCTCTCAATTTTGCTGTAGTTAATGCTGGAGAAAGATCGGATCATGGAGATCCCAGCAAAACAGAGAATGGAGCGGCAGGAGACTTTGGCTAGGGAACACAGTGAAGAGTACAAAGCCGCACTCCAAAGGGCTGTTACATTGTCAGTGCCTCATGCTTATTCACCTTCACAATATGGAACTTTTGATGAGTCGGAGGATGGGGAAAACTCCCATAAATCTAGTGTTCAGTCATCTGTTGGATCATCGGGGAAAACCAGGAACAAAGAAAGCTGGAAAGAATTGATCGAACGTCTTTTTGAGAAAGATGAATCTGGGCACATGGTGCTCAAGAAATCCCGTAGGGATGATTGATGATATAATTTCAGGGATAACATGGATAGAAGATCAAACATTATGTTTGTGATAAACAGCATTCATTGATTCATTTGTACTCATCATTTCCTTCCTATAACAATTTTCACCTGAGAGCTTAACACAGGTCAATTGGAAAATAACCTACTACAATATGCAGAACATTCAATTTATGTATTCCCATTGTATAAAATATTAAAAATTTGTATATTTATTTCGTTTTTTACATTAAAATTGCATGTCGCAGTTTGTTTCAACACAAAAATATAAAATATATTTATTTGATTTTATTAAATTTATTTATAATTTTTGTTAAAATTTTAAATTAAATTATTTTTATATTTTTATTCGTATAATATCATCATATCATATTTAAAATTATCAAATCTACTCAATTGTTATAAAAAATATATATCAAAGATAAAGCATTTCATGTATAATTATTATAGTATAATTAATTAATTATAATTTTAAATTATGTAAAATTTATTAAAATTTTATATGAAATCTATGAAATACTTATAATGTGATTTAATAGATTTGATAATTATAAAATTATAATAAAAAATAGTAGTATCAAGTTAAAGTGGCAAACTCTGATATTATCTTGATTTATTATTTGTCAATTATTTTTTGAATTAATTGGTAGCTCGATTCTTGGAGATTATGAATTTGAAGTATCTTGATTTATTATTTGTCGATTAGTTTTTGAATTAATTGGTATCTCATAAGAGTCGATACTTGAAAATTATGAATTTGAAAGAGTTTATGCATAATATATTTTTTTCAATCAGATAAATAATAGAATAAAAGGTTTTAAGGAAAGGGTAAATTACGAATAAAAAAAAACTTTATTTGTTACTTTAAAAAGAAGATAAAAACGGACTTTTTATACCCTTATTTTCTCACTTACACCTCATTACTGTTAACACCCATCTTTTATTCTCTTTGCATCCCAAACTTAAATATTAATTTCTTAAAAAATTAAACACTTCACGCCTTTCTCTTTTATTCTTAGGGTTGGCAGTCTGATCCGAACTCGACGGGTTTCGACTTAACCCGACTTCATAGGATCGATTTTTTTTTTAAATCGAATTTCGGATCAGGTATTACTAAAAAAAAATCGATGTCGGGTTGGGTTCGGATTTCAGGTAAATCCGACCCGATATTATATTAAAAATTATTTTTTAATTTTTAATTTTTTATATAATTATATATTTATATTTAAAAAATAATATTTTATATTATAAAAAATAATATTTTATTAATTTTAGGTCGGATCGGGTTCAAATATTAAAAAATAAAAAAAATTCGAGTTGAATCGGATATAAATTTTATGATTGTAAAATTGAATCGGGTTTGGAGCGAGCAAAAACCCGCTTCGACTAGACTCTTTGCCATCACTACTTATTTTTCACTGAAACCTTAAACCCTTTAGGGATTTAACCTCAATCAAGCCCTAACCTTGATTTTAATGTTAGATAGCTTAAAATCATAGGTAAGTTGTTTGTTTGTTTTTTGTTTAATTTTGTGTTTAGTTTTCAAAAATTTAAGATTTTAAGCTAGGGATACAATTTGAGATGAAAATTCGATTCTTCCAAAAATGAATTTTTGAAATGCATTGAAGGTTTTCGAAAATAAATATCTGAAAATTTTTTCAACGCATTGAAAATTCATTTTTGAAATCTCTTTTTGAAAATCCAATTTCAAAAACTTTTGAGAATTTTTAAAAAATATATTTTTAAAAATTTTCAATGATTTTCGAATATTTAGTTTCAAAATATTTTGAAAAATTTTGAAAATAATTTTTTAATATACGATAAACTTCTGCTACCAATAAAAACAAAATAATTTTTCAATGCACAAAAATTAATCTTATTATATCATTAATAGACTGACAAATTCGTCAATAGAAACATCTAATCTTTTGACTTATAGGCACTATTCGTTCAATAACGTTTATAACAATTTATAATTTTTACAGATGTGCATTTGAGAGAAATTGTTAAGTATGAAAAAATGCTAAATCAAATTAATTGTTGCACTATATGCAATAGAGCGTGAGTGTCTCATCACACATGATGCAATAATCACTTACATGAATGTTTTTTAAAATTAATTTTTCTTTTCAAATGCACGATTGTTAAAATTAATAAATATTTTAAATATTATTGAATGAATAGTAGTTAAAAAATTAGAGATTTTTATTATCGAAATTAAACATAGTATATTTTTAAAAAATTATTACAAATCTGTTTTGAAATAACAATAAAAAAATTGAAGTAAAAAATTATTTCTAAAAATGTATTTTTAAATAATTATAATGTTTTCTGAAAACAAATTTATGATATAATTAAAAAATTTTTGCAAATGTATTTTTTGTACATTAAAAAATTTATAAAAATTTATTTTCGATAACACACGATAACAGATGTAAAAGATAAAAAAATAATAATAATTAATGAATATTTAAATAATTTTTTATTTGATTAATTTTGTGAAGTGAGTTGATAGTATTTGAGGATGCAAATAGTCCTACTCAAAAAGATAAAATCTGTCCTGTCCTCTCTTGGGCTCTCGGGTAGGGTGGATAGTACTGACTGCCCAAAACAAGGTACTATTTAGGACCTACTCAATTCATTATCGACGGGTAAAAACGAAGCTAAAAACAGAGCTCTAAAATCGCATGGGATGTTCGGCTCTCTGTTTTCCTGGAAATCCCATTTGGATTTGAACTGAGCTGCAAACTTCAGTTTCCTGTTGGTCTCTAACAATCGCTGTTGCATCCACTCATGGATTTCCTTTCTTCAATTTTTCTACTTATGCTTTTTACCTGTTCTCTCTCCAACTTCTCTGCTGAAAGGTAAAGGAAACCCGATCTCATTTTTTTCAATCTATACTTGTTTATTTTGAAAATGGGTAGCGGAAATTTATCCATATAAAAATGTTTGCCTTAATTTTGAATGAATGAGGCAATCAATCAATTTCCTGTACTGGATTGATCAATTACATGGTGTTCTTCATCCGGGTTTTTGTTAAAATCTTTTATTGTCATGCATTCGTGATTATATATTGGAAGTTTATCGTGGATAATTTTTTAATAAATTTTGTGGATATGACGATTTTAGTTTATAGTACGATTTTGTTGAATGATTATCGTTAAACAAAAAGAAGACAAATTTGTGTGCCATGATTAAGTATTTTATATATACCTATTGTAAGCATGCGTTCTATAGATTCTGAATTATTTGGATGATGATGTATTCTTCATGATCTTGAACTATTTTCTAAGAATATGTTTAGTTACTTCAGCCGATGGAAGGGCCGTCTTCTTTATGATAACCTTCTTTTATAACCTTTTCCATTTGGTATTGTCTTGCATGAGTAGCCGGAAGGACTTGAGGGACAAGGAGGTTCACCGGGAATTGGGGCATTCGGTTCAATCCAACACAATTGACCCATCACGAGTTATACAACTTTTATGGCGGCCAAGGTCAGGTAGTGATGGACTTCTTGTTTGCCTGCTCATGCGATCCCATTGAGACAAAATAGTTGTTTGTTTTCACAAGATATCTTTTCCATCCATAGAGTCAAAGAGGCTATTTCTTCAATGGCATTGCATTAAGTTTTACATGAACTTTAATTATGACATTCTCAATTAATTCTTTTGGAAGAAAAACACCTGTAGTTTATGCAAATATGCTTGTTGAAATTTGTACTTTCATTGGCATGTTTAAAATTGTCTTTTAAAAGTCTGACATTATATTACTTCCAATAGGGTCTTTCACTATAGTGGCTTTCTATCAGATGAGGAGTGTGACCACCTGATTTCTTTGGTATATTTCTGCCCCACTGTGTCCAATATTACTATTGAATATGCCTAGACTGGTTTAAAATACTTTTTCTGGGACTTAGGGTCATGGAGCAAAAGATGGAATTCTGAGGATCAATGATGATCAACTTAGTGTAGGGACAAATAGGCAGCTTACAAGTTCAGAAACGTTGCTGAATACCGAAGTGAGTTCTGTTTTTTTTCTAAGCTAGCAATTTCTACATACTCTGTTGTGTTACTTATTGACAACCTATTGAATTAATGGTTTGATGATAAATTGTTGCATAACTCAAGGAACACATTTCATGCTTGACATTTGTTTTCTTGCATCTGAAGTTGACGGTTAGGCTTATGGTAAGGCAGTTTGCTAGTAATATCTCTTCAATAATGTTTAAGCCATTATGTAGCCAATCTTGGTATTTCATTCTCCTCCTTGCTTTCGCTTGGAAATCTATCTCAATCTACTGACTTTTTGGTGTATTGCAAATATCTCACAATTAAAATCATCCTCTACTAGTACATATATTGCTACCAGAAAAGGTAGAAAGAGAACTCAACATAAAACCTCTACCAATTATCTTTAGTTTCCAACTATGACTGTGCTATTACATCCCATTTCATCTTGATTTGGATATAGAATGTCAGGTAGAGTGATATAACTTTCTTCCTTGTATTGCTTTTCACACTCATATAGCCCCATATGCCATTCAGCTGTTGTGTTTAAATTCCAATATTAGTGAACTTTAAAATCTTTTGTAAACTAGCTTTAAAATAGTTGGAAATGATCGGTTGATTTAGTTGGTTGAAGCCTTCTACACTGACACAGTGAAGTTGACTAAATGTCACTAAACAAGATAAAAGTAAATAAAGTGCATTGATGTTCTGCAGCATGATTCCTGAATGATTAAATAACTTTGAAATATACCTGTACATTCGAGGATAGAGTTCTTGCAATGATTGAGGAAAGAATTTCAGCTTGGACGTTCCTTCCTAAAGGTATCCTTGACCATCCCTGTTCCTCATATTCCCTAAACGACAGTCGTTCTCATAAAGGACCTTTTCATTTCACTGTAACTTGATGTTCATTGTGCTTAAGAGAATGCTAAGCTGATTTAGTTGGTTGAAGCCTTATACACTGACTCAATGAAGCTGACTAAATGTCTCTTAAAAAGATAAAAGTAAATAAAGTGCATTGATGTTCTGCAGCATGGTTCCTGAATGATTAAATAACTTTGAAATATACTTGTACATTCTAGGATAGAGTTCTTGCAATGATTGAGGAAAGAATTTCAGCTTGGATATTCCTTCCTAAAGGTATCCTTGACCATCCTGTTCCTCATATTCCCTAAACGACAGTCTTTCTTATAAAGTTCCTTTTCATTTCACTGTAACTTGATGTTCATTGTGCTTAAGAGAATGCTAAGCCTCTAGAATGTCAGGTAGAGTGATATAACTTTCTTCCTTGTATTGCTTTCCACACTCATATAGCCCTATATGCCGTTCAGCTGTTGTGTTTAAATTCCAATATTAGTGAACTTTAAAATCTTTTGTAAACTAGCTTTAAAATAGTTGGAAATGTTCGGTTGATTCTTGGTTGAAAAGCCTTATACACTGACTCAATGAAGTTGGCTAAATGTCATTAAAAAAGATAAAAGTAAATAAAGTGCATTGATGTTCTGCAGCATGATTCCTGAATGATTAAATAACTTTGAAATATGCTTGTACATTCTAGGATAGAGTTCTTGCAATGATTGAGGAAAGAATTTCAGCTTGGACATTCCTTCCTAAAGGTATCCTTGACCATCTCTGTTCCTCATATTCCCTAAATGACAGTCTTTCTCATAAAGGACCTTTCCATTTCACTGTAACTTGATGTTCATTGTGCTTCAGAGAATGCTAAGCCTCTAGATGTTTGGCGCTATGGACTTGAGGAGACTGAACAAAACTTGGATTATTTTGGCAATAAATCCACACTGGCTTTAAGCGAATCTTTGATGGCAACTGTGGTTTTGTATCTTTCAAATGTTACTATGGGTGGTGAGATTCTTTTCCCCCGCGCAGAGGTGAGAGAGAAACTATCTTAAACCTTTGTCTAACATTCAGAGCTCAAATTTATCTGTATTTAATAAATGGATTTCTGACTGTTGCAGCCAAAGAGCAAGATGTGGTCAGATTGTACAAAGACCAGCAATATCCTAAAACCTGTTAAGGGAAATGCCCTTCTGTTTTTCACTACTCGCCTCAATGCATCTCCTGACGCTAGAAGTTTACACGCCAGATGCCCTGTTCTGGAAGGAGAAATGTGGTGCGCCACCAAATTCTTCTACCTCAGGGCTGTTGATGGAGAAAAGGTCTCATTTCAATCTGATGGAGATGAATGTATCGATGAAGATGCTAGTTGTCCTCGGTGGGCTGCTCTTGGGGAATGCCAGAGGAATCCTGTTTTCATGGTTGGTTCTCCTGATTACTACGGTACATGTAGGAAGAGTTGTAATGCTTGCTGAAAAGGAAACTCACATATGATTGGATTCTATTGTTCTAATAATTACCAGTATATGTAGTTTTTCTTAGTAATTACTTGTAATCTGTCTCCGGATCATTTCGATTGCTTCAAAATAGAGAGTTGATCAATTTTAAGGAACTATTATTTCTCTCGACTAGAAAGATTTACAAACTAATTCCAAATCATTTTAGGGTTCATCTTCATAATCAAACTTGCGCACTAGCACTTCAATAATTTGAAAAAAAATGAGCAAATAAGCAAGCATCGGAACTCGTAATCAAATAGAATGATTCTTATTGCAAATTTTATCAGTTTGGCTGACGGTATCAAACTAGATTATTGGCCAGTTCCAAAATTTTTTGACTTACAGAGCAAAACTACAGCTCAAGATGAGAGCAGGAAAGCTGAAAAGAGAAGTCTATAAAGCAATTATGGAAATGGGTTACAGTCAAAATCATGGGATTCCCCTCTGATGAGATCAGAAATCAAATCCTTCGGGTGGTATTTGTAGAATCCGCAGAAGTCTCTGGTTTCTTCAAAGAACAAGAGGACTTGAAAGCTTCTACCTGAGATTGACATTTCACGTAGTCCCCTTTGTTTTCTTCCAAACACTTCTTCAAAGCCTCAACGTCGCATGGCGACTGTACCTTCTTCACCCCATTAATCTCTCCTTTCTCGTCCATCTCAAAATCTCTTGTTTGGACGCTAAGAATGCTGCGGAAAGGAAAAATATGGAAAAGAAAAATGAAAAAAAAAAGGTAAGAGAGAAAAGGGTAAAGACAGTCCTTTTGTCTTTTCTATTTTCAGATGCTAAACGACAACGTATACCTGACTCCTTTAAAGTAGGACACAACGCATCGTTTAAACAATAAGGAAAGCGTACATGGAAAGCCAAGAATAAGAAGAGCGCCAGAAAAACCAAATTTGAAAACCAAATCAAACGTAACGGCTACTTCATCCCTTTAACCCTACAATTTTCAATAATTCAATAAACAAATTTGACTCTAGATTTCAGTTATTGAATTCGAATTCGGAAAGACAAAAGGAATTTCAGCGAGGAAGAAAATCTTCAGTTATGGGGCCGAATCAGGTTCGAAAGGCTCGAGTGATAGCAAAAATCAAAGGGTTCAAAGATCTGGAACCGGAGTCCGCCAACGCAGCTTCCAGAAATTGGATTTCGGTTCACAAACCTAAGGGAGATGACTCTGAAACCGTCGCCGTCTCTTTTGGAGACCAATCCGCAAGGTAATAAAAAACAAATTTATTTTAATTTATCTTTCTTGTTTTCAAGAAATGTAGAAAAGAAAGCTTATTTACCTTTTGTTTTTAATCAAAAAATTATTTGCAGTCGTAAAGAGTCATATGAATTGGATTATTGCTATGATCGAAACGAGGGAAATGCTTTGATTTTTTCAAGAGAAGTAAAGCCACTGATTGAAGATGTTTTTATTGGTCATAATGCCACTGTCATTGCTTATGGCGCAAGAGGCAGCGGGAAGACTTTTCTAATACAGGTCAGTTAAATCTTTCTCTCTCTCTTTAGGATTTAAGTTTAACTCTTGAATGGTTCATAGAATTTTTTTTTTCCTGAGAAAATAAAGGTGTAATGTAATTATTAAGAGGAGAAATTTTAATTTTTTGAAGGGTTCGGAGGAGGAACCAGGTTTAGCTCTTCTAGCCATGACTGAAATCCTTTCTGTGGGAGAGGAAACTGGCAAGTTAATTACCATATCATGTTATGAGATTTCGAGAGACCATGCTTATGATGTTTTAGATCCAGAAAGGCATGAAGTTTTGGTATGGGAGGCTCGTGGCAAAGTTCAACTTAAAGGACTTTCTCAGGCAAGTTATAATCTATCTAGACCTGGCAATCTAAAAAGACATGTAGACAAGATACAAACATGGTATGAAAATAGGAAAGTAACATGGCTTAAAATTTTAATAATAATTATATAAAGGTTTAACAAAATTAAAATAATGTATTTTATGTTTTTGTATTGATTGACACATAATTTTCAGTGTAAAACACTGTATTCAAATTTCAGTATTTTATATCACACTAATACACAAAGTCCCTAAGTCTAAATCTATTTCGTTTAAAAATACAAGCTTCTTTAGTGTGTTTAGCTGGCCTTTTGTTTCTTTGATTGATTTGATTCGTTTTTCTTTTTATAGATTCCTGTGAAGTCTATTCAAGAATTTCAGAAACTATATCTTTCCGGTCTGAATTCACATAAACAACCTCAGAAGATAGTGGAAAATCATTATAGAAGCCACAAAGGCTTAATCATTCACGTATTTCGTGGCAACAATTTGGATGCTCTTCCTCTTGGGAAGATGAACTTTGTTGACTTGGCAGGTTTCAATTTTTAATTATGGTCAATTGTTTTGTTTCGGTATTTTTCTGTTATGGCTGAAAAAACATCCATTTTTACCCCAAGCTGTTTTTGCATTTACCAGGCTATGAGGATTCCAGAAGGAGAAGCGCTGATGGTGCTAATTTCCTGGAGAATAATAAAATTAATAAGTCCATATACGCCTTACAGAAAGTCGTTTATGCTTTAAATGCCAATGAAAGTCATGTACCCTATCGTGAAAGTATGCTAACTCGAATGTTACGCGACTCCTTGGGAGGGACAAACAAGATTTTGATGGTCACTTGCTTGGTGAGGTTTTTGGTCTCAGATTTCCCATAAGAATTTTTTGATTTTTTTTTTTCAAAGTTTGATTTCAGTTGACGTTGATGTTTAACTTATTTGAGTGTAGAATTCATCTTTTTGCCAAGATTCCTTGTGCATGGCAAATTTAGCTTCTCGTTCTTGTAAAGGCACCAACAGGATTATACCCAATTCCACTAAGAAAACCAAAAGCATGGTCAGACCAATGATGCTTTCTTCATGCAAAAGCCGTATACCTGGGAGCGTTTCTGCCCCCGTGGCAAAACAGATTGGCACACGAGTGCAATTTCCTGACAGCAAAGCCAATGTTAAGGCTTCGGCAATCAAAGGAAGGTACTTGGTGATGGCTTCTATTAATGCCAAGCTATATAACATTTTCATCATTGTTATTGCTCTTTCCGTATGGTAATTTAAATGTTCCATAATTTTTTTTTCCTTTTAAACTCGAAGGAAACTTTTTGATGAAGCTTGTCAGTCAACCAAATCTAAGAAGGCATCTCAGGAGGTATCCAGTTTTTATTTGCTCATGAGTTTGTATGAATAAATGAAATGTTTTAACTATTTGCATAAAGTTAAAGAAAATAATACATTGAGTATGATGAAAAGAATTATGGTTTCATCCTATAATACGACTCCTACATGTTAGTGCAGAAAAGCTTCTCATTAGAAATTGTCTCAACCATTGAAAATACCATACAGGAAGAGGTAACTTTTTTTGTTAAACTTGTTGTGGTATCGTACTATTCTTGTTTTTTTCCCTTGCACAGGATGATATTGTACTATTATTTCTGGTAAATAATGAACATGTATCTTAGACTATAAATCAGTTTCTGAAATTTTTATAATTGGGAAGTTGCCATCATTTTCTACAGGAAAAGAACGTTTCAGGTATTTCAGAAGCAATAATACCGCTTGTAGAGGTAAACTCTTTTTTAAACCCTCTCTCTCGGGAGCATTTCAGCTACAATTCTTTTCACAAAAATTCTATAATTGTTCAATCACAATCAAGAATTATGTGAGGGTCCACCACTTATAAGAATGGACTCCATATAATATTTTGGTAGACTTTACATAACTCTAAAATCTGATTGGTTAATTGTAGTACAATTATTGTGGGAGATATGCTCCCTCTCTCTTTTAGTTTGTTAGACTTTAATGTTCAAAACTGTTACTAGGGTCCAATCTTGTTTCTTGCACATCATCACTGATGGCTCCGAAGAAATATCATCTATTTTAGAATGGAAGAAGTCAGTAATGATTGTACAATAGTCCAATAATATCTGCTGTATTTCAATAGCAATGCCACTTAAATTCTTTTAATTTTTCATGTTTAATGGTTTCATTTTTTCCCTTTTCAAGGAATCTTCCCCATTGCAAGCCTTTAGTGCAGAAGAAATTGACATGCCAGTTAAGGCTTTTAGTACAGAAGAAACCAAGATGCCAGAAAAGGTGATTTACCTGCTCTTTGTGTTTATATACGTGAGGAGCTCAATTTATTGAAGTTGCTATTTACTTTTTAAGGTTGTTGTGACTCATGAGGATAATCATGATGAAGCTACTCCAACTATCAATAGCAATGCAAAAGTACTTTATTTTGTTGAAGCAGGTATGCGGCATGTCAAATTGAAAAACCGATGTAGTAGACAAGATACTACATGTAATATAAATGAGCTGTTCTATTTTTTTTATAACAGATCAAACCAAGGATAAGGAGAACAACTTTTTCCCAGTCAACGAGAATGAATCACCACCAATCAGTGCACGATTACATGAATTGTCAAACAATTTGAAATTGCTTTATTCTTCAACTCCGTCATGCGTACAGACACCACCAAAGACCGATGTTTCATTTGATGGTCAAGTCTCCACTCAAATTTTAGAGCCAAAAACTCCTGAACCCAGTATGCCATTTAATGATAAATTGCAAACGGCAGATGTCAATTGCACCCCTTGGAAAGCATTCAGTGCATGTAGTTCTAAAATGAAGGTTGATTCTAATCTACCATACTAAAATCTCCCTCTGTATTTAATTACTTGACTGGTTTGTTGATCATTTTTTCCATATTGCAGAACTCTCTTGTTGATGAGTATATCAGATTCTTAAATACAGCTAGCAAGTAAGTAGATGTTTGACACAAATTTCTTTCTATATCTGACTGTGTTTCCAATCAGTGCATGTTTTCAAGCTACTAGTAATTCTTTGAACTTCCATTTGAAGGAAACTCTTACAATAACATGTTTTGATGCATTAATGGTTTGATATCTAATTTAAAAATCCGTTCCTTTCACAAGAGAAAAATGAAAGATGTACTTAATAACCAAGCAGCATATTGGGAAATGCAATTCTAACAAGATAAATAACTAGGCAAATGCATGAGTTGTAGAATTGGATGATACATGTAAAGCTTTTTCCCTTACCCTTGCATCTGTGAAACTTTATTTTTCTTTTCCTTCATCAGAATCTTGACCTTGCAGTAGTCATTATGGCTTTCATCTTCAACTTCATATATACTATTGATGGACTAATGTTCTTTTTTTTCCTCGTTTTCCTACTAACAGAGAAGACTTAAAAAGATTAAAGGTGAGAAGCATGTAAATAACAATCTCAGTATGATTTCCTATTGTCATAAGTCATAACAGGTGAACTAAATAATATGTCTTTATTCAGGGAATTGGAGAGAAGAGAGCTACTTACATTCTTGAACTTCGTGAAGAATCGCCAGAACCTTTTAAGAATGTAAGCACCATCAATGGCATGGAGAGAATTTCCATATTATTAAGTAGTTTATCGACTGGCTTTCGGTTATCTTTTATATTCCAAGTAGCTGCTTTGCAACGTATTTACTATCTTTGGCAGATCTTAGACTAATAGCTAAAGTTGTTTTTACAGCTTGATGATTTGAAGGAAATTGGACTCTCAGCAAAGCAGGTATCTTTGTTTTTACAATATTATAAGTTATGAGGTGGCTTTAGATGTTTATCGCTCAGTGCTTTGAATTTATAATTTGGTTGTTTCATTTCTTCAGATCAAAGGAATGATGAGAAAAGAAATTGGAGGGCTCTTCAATTAGCTTCTCAAAGAGGATAGATGTTGAAGAATCTGTATCAGAGGAGAAAATATGTTAGCTTGCTACAGGCAACATGAAGTTGCCAAATGTATTGTTTTCAGAGATTCTTCTTCTAGATTTCTTTCTTGAAAATGCTGTACTACACAGAATTGTTTAACATTGGAGTTAGATGTTTAACAGAGTGCAGACTGATGGAATTTCAATTTTTTTTAAACCACAATGAAATTATATAAAAAAAAAATCACAAGTAAATCATTTGACTTCAAGAGAAGAGTTCGTATATGGTACATCTACAACTCTACATCACATGTTATGAGGAAGCAAGGCCTGCATTTCTGGTAGCATTCGTTTGACATCCTGGACTCTATTATTTGTGTTGGTAGCGATAGTCATTTTCAAGGCATGCCATGGCCAACATATGTGCCTCACCTTACGTCGATTCCTCTCTCTGCTTTCTGCTTCTTCTAATTGTTTTGTCATCTCCTCAATTCGCTCACGAAGTCCTGCAGCCCTGCTGTCAGCCAGCTGCAGAGATCTCTCTGCAGCTGCCTGGGCAGCCATAGCAGCAGCCGCAAGTTCTTCTTTCATCTTTAGCTTGCCATTGGATATTTCCAGAGTTGCCTTTGTTTTCTCCAACTCTTGCTTCAAAATGACAACCTAATTGAAAGGAAATGCATCAGGATTTCAGACTACTCGTGGACTAAAATGTGTTCCTGCAGCTAATGGAATCAAAAGCACTACATTAACATTTACATAATTTGAGATATGGTGCAACAGAAGTCAGATTTTTGGATCTAAGTATTTAGATACCACAGCCAACTAAGATCTCTAGGCTCAGTAAACAAATGCAATGTCGTGACAACTATGGAGATATAACATTACATGGAACATTCTACTTCAAGTAATCTGAAATTTTATCTCAATCGATTCCCATTAAATGTGATGTGATTGTACAAATATATTTAAGATACCAATTAGTAAAGATTATCATTCATTCACAGTGCACACAAGCTTGATGGGGTATAAGAGTAGGTCAAGGATGGTTCCTATTGACAGAATAAAGCTTGTACCACTTTGTCACGTTCTTCAACCTCTTTTTTTCCAGCTTCTACTTCCAACTCACATGCTTCCCTCCATCTAGCAACCTCTGCTTCAGTTTCTTTTATTTCCATCAGGAGATCCTCAACCTTAGAGAGTTTAAAAATAAAAACGAGAAGATGAAGAACAAAAACGAGGTTAGAAGTGAAAATAACAGAACACTTTCAAGAGATGCAGAAAGGCTGTTCATTCGATTTCTCAAAAAAAGACAGATACTAACATTTTGAGCTAAAATCCTCTCCCTGTCTTCCAATTCTTTAATGTACAGTGTGTTTTCTTCAATTTTTTGAGCTTGTTTCTCTGTAAGACTCTGCAGTCTCTCAGTGTCTGACCTGGCATAGCAACAACAATCAATAACCACAAACCATTTGGCAGAAAAATTTGACACAGTTAAGAACAGGAGAGCATAGATTCATAATCTTTGCATCTTCCAGAGGAGTTATAATATTGATCAATCTTTTATCTCTGTTTCATACACTCTCTGTTAAAGCTATATACTACAAGTGCAATCAAAGGATGTCTCCATGGCCATCAAATAGCAAAATACTATGTAGGAATTGCAGTAGCAGAAATGCACTAATGAAATACCTAGATTCGTCCAAAGATCTTCGTAATTGAGAAATTTCAAGTCTTAAATTCTTCATTATCCTCTCCATCATCGAGGCCTGTAGAAGACAAAGTTAGGATGTAAGCAAGACACGTTGTGTTTTGCACATTCATCAACGTTTAGTACAGATGTATAAACTGATCGACCACATTATGAAGCTCTGCGTACCAGCAAGGATTTCCAACTATCACTAAAGCCTTTAGTGAACAGTGTGTATCATCACCCGTGTAAGTTTGAACAAACATGTAAATTAAGCATTCAAGCTAAAAAAACTAGTTAAGGGATCTTAAACAACATGCAGTTTAGGTAGAGCACAATTGATACCCAATTGAACGACAAAATTGAAGCATCCATATGAAGCTAATATGTGGATGCAAACAAGAAACAAAGATAATCTAGTTCAAAATTCAAGCAAAAGAAGAAGTGAACCTGAACATACCAGGCTAACATCCTCCTCTTCACACTCACTGCTATCCGATTTACTCCCCGTCGTACTAGCAGCAGCAGCAGCAGTAGTAGTAGTAGTAATAGCTCCTGAACTCTCCATCGCTTGTTCATTAGTTCCACTTCCCATCATAAACCCAAAACCGACTCTCTGCAACCCCCTCTCAGCAATCTGCAACAATGCCACTCTCTTTTGCTCATTGTTCCCTTTTAACTTATTCAAATTCCTCTCCACTGCCTCTTTCTCTACCAAAGCAATCCTCAACAGGCTATTGATATCGCGATTCTCCTCCGTTAAACTCACCACGCTGTTCTCCAGTTCTCTTTTCTCCTTCTTTCTTCCTTCCTTGAACTCATTTAGTTTTGAGTTAGCTTCACCCGCAAGTTTCAAAACCGTGGTAATTTCTGTAGGAAAAATCCTCAATTCTTCCTCTTCTAATTCCAATTTCTCGCTTTCGCTACCAACATTCTCGATCACTTCCTTTTCATCATCCAAAGTTTCGATAAATTTGACCAAAATGTCCTTCACTGACCGGATTGAATCCGAGCTTTTCTCAATTACCTCATTTCTAGCCTTCCTTCCGGATTCTAACTCTTTGATTCTCCCTCTGGAAACCTCCAGCTCTTTCTCGAGTTCTAATTTTGCCTTTGATTCCTCATCGATCTTTTTCGCGAAACCTTCTTCGTTTTCTTTTAAAGTTACTTCGAATTCCTCGATTTGGTGACGGAGAAAGTCCCGCTCGAGGGACAAGTCGTGGACCTTTTCCATTAACTTGGTGCTTTGATCAATTGCTTCGTCTCTTTGGGGCTGGAGGAGACGCAGATTCTCCTCCATGGATGAAGATTTTGATTGGAGAGCATGGTAGGATTGGCGGATAGATTCAAGTTGGGCAAGGAGATGATGATCGGAGTTTGGTAGAACGATGGAAGAATCTGGACCGTTGAATGGGATTTCCGACGAGGGATCTTCTGTGGTTTCCATGGTCCATAGAGTATAGAATGATTTAGGACTCTGGCTATAGAGAGAAAGGAGATGGAGTAAGGGAGGGAAAGGAGTTTTTTTAAAGCTACCAGTCAAACGGACTACGGAAGAAAGTCAGGTGGGCTAGGGGAATATATAGACGGGGACTAAAACGTAAATATGATGTTATATTTAACATTAATTAATAATGCTAAGCAATAACTGATAACAAATTAGTGTAATGCAACCAATAATCATGTGGTCAATAATAAAATGTCGACTTTTTAATTTTTTTGATGCTTTTATGTTCATATATATATAATTGACCTAATAAATAAAAAGTTAAAGTTTATATTATAAGTTGAAAAATTAATTAAAAAGTAAAAGGAATTAATAAGATTGAATTTCAGGGCAAACTAAAAAGATCGTAACTTCAATTTGATTAGGTTATACTATCATATAAGTCTAAAATTAATTAATTTTTAAGTTTTAACAAGTTAATTTTGAAATGTTAAGGCGTAAATAAAAATGCATCTAATTTATTGATTAATACATTTTTGTAAATAATTGAATTGAATTTTTTTTTCATACTCACTTTTTTAAAATGTATTGATAAAAATAAAATATAAATAAATTTTGAGTTTTTTTTATGATATTTTCCATTTTAAAATTTGAAGCGAATGTAAACTATATTTTCATTGTTACATTACATCACATGATATGTGGTAGGATGTTGTCTGTTGGAAATTTGAACTTTTCTGTTCATTTAATTGGGACCTGAGCGGTCGGTGTAAATATCCCAGGACTAAGAAGACATTCTGGCACTTGTTGAAAAAGTTCAGGCCAGACTTGCGGGAAAATTAATCAAGTCTCACTTGCGGGAAGATCCACCCTCACCCAATCTGCATCTTCTCCCATTCCAAACTATACCATGCAAACTACTAAGATCCCATTGACTGTGTGCGACCAAATTGACAAACTTAACAGAAACTTTCTATGGGGTAGCTCCACGGCTAAAAGGAGAATTCACTTAATGAACTGGGATACTGTTTGCAAACCCGGAGATCGAGGGGGACTTGGATTGAAGAACTCCAGACATATGAATCTGGCTTTCCCAGCCAAGATGGGTTGGAGATTCGTGGAAGAACAAGGATTTTGGCAACAGTCACTTAATTAACAAATATCTTAGGGATAGAGATTTTCACTTCTCCTCCAGGACTGGCAACATTTCTTATACTTGGCGTAGCATTCTAGAAGGAAATCTATCCTTGAAAATGGACTTAAATGGAGAGTTGGAAATGGTAGAAATATAAGCTTTTGGCATGGTAAATAGTGTACAAATGATCAACCACTTGCTGGGTCTCTAGCACTTGCCTTGAATACAGACATGGAACAAATTGAGAATGTGTGCAATGAGGATAAATTGAGAGACTAACTCCCTCAGGAAATTGTTAAACACCATCGTGAGCATTCCCATCAAGCCTATTATCAATTTGCCTGACAGAAGAATATGGGGTCTAACCCCGTCTGGTATATACGTTCACAACAAAATCTGTCTACAGGAGTATTGCTGACGAGGACTCAGTTCATGCTTCAAGTGCCACATTCGTATGGAAACTTAAGATCCAACCGAAGGTGCAGACATTCTTATCGCTGGTACTAAACGACAGGATTCTTTCCAATGCCTACAAGAAAGTTAGAAAACTTACTGACGACACAAGCTGCAAGGCATGTGGAAATTCTCAGGAAACAACACCGCAAATTGTAAGAGACTGCCTATGTACAGCAAGTGTATGGACTCTTTTCCTTATCCCTGAACAACAAATCAACTTTTGGGCGAACAACCTGGTGGAATGGATGCCACTCAATCTAGCTAATTATAAAGCCATCAGAATTGGTGACTGGTGTTGGCCAAGTCTTTTCGCAAATGCGCTGTGGTCAGTATGGAAATGAAGGAATGATGTTTTCTCTCGTTGCATTGTCCCGCTCAATAAAAAAGCTTGAATATATTGGGGAGACCATGAATAAATGGCAAATCATACGAGAGAAGAGTGAACCCATTACCTTGAGATCGAAAATATTCGTAAGTTGGGATAAGCCTGCCCTACACTGGAAGAAATTAAACACTGATGGCAGTTGGGACCAGTCAAGGAATATCTCAGCACCGGGAGGGCTGTTTCGAGACTAGGGTGGCAACTGAATTGTTAGATTTTGCTGCCAACTTGGACGCTCTAGCATTGATGTCGCTGAAATGTGGGCGCTTTGTTTCGGAGTCAGCTATGCCTGTCAGCAAGGAATGGATTTTATTGAAATTGAATCCGATTCCACGAATTATACTATCTTGGCTGCCAAAAATGGTGTCTCTCTCACCCATCCCCTGCACCCCCCCCCCCCCCCACCATTGTTTGTGCAATAAAAGAGATCCTTAGCAGGAATTGGCACTGGTCACTTAATCATATTTCAAGACAGAAGAATTCCGCAGCAGATTGGATTGCCAAATGGAGCTTCAAACAGGAGAGAATACTCTGTATCCACCCTTCCCCACCGACTGGACAGGGCTTTCAACTATTTTACTGGCGAACGTAATGGGCTGAGTCACCCCTGTTGTTGCTGGCTAATTGCGCGGGCCCTTCACCTCCACCGCACCAAAAAAATATTAGGATATGTGCTTTTCAATTATTCATTAGAAAAAAAAAATGATTTGATGTATGAAAGCAAGAACGGTGGATAGCTGAAAATAGCATGGAATCCGGTCTGCTGATATTTTCTGCAATTAATTACAAGTCATCGTCTAGAAGGACTGAAAAACACATAAATTTATGCTAATCTGAGTAAGTATACTGAATAGAGTACTTAGATCATAACTAATTTATGTAACTATACGTAAATTTAACCTAAAATTATATAAAAAAGATGTATCTATTTAATATATGTTATAATTAGGTGATAAAAGAAAAAAATATGAAATATAAATGGTAAATAGCTAAAATTGTTTGGATAATTGAGTGATTAAAAAGTGAACTTTCAAAACTAGAAATGTAATGAAATTGAAATTGAAATTGAAATTCATCTAGATTTAGTTCATGAATAAATTTAATTGGAACATCAAGCATCCATTTCTAGTAAAAATTTTATTTCTATTAAAAATTGTAGTAAAAAATGGATCTCTATTATCAACATAAAGAGGGGAAAATTTTTGAATTTTTGAAATAGATTTTTGAAAATAAATTAGAAGAAAAATATTTAAAAGAAATTATTTAAACAAAATTTATAAAATTTTTTATTAAAAATAATTATATTAAAATCAAAATCCATACCGAATAAGATTTAAAAAAAATTATTTAGGCAAAACTCAAACAATATTATTGTCAGTATTTTTTTTTTATCAAATTAGAAAGCAACATAAAAGAGCAAAGGCCAAATCTAAAGTTTTAGAAAGTATTAAAATCATGACGATTCAAAGTAAAGCCAGGTGCAAAGAACTTTACGGGTAGTCTATTTAAATAGAAAAAAAAAAGTAATCTAATAATTATTCCATTAGCATGAATTATTATAAAATTAAATTAAAAAAATAAGGGAATATAACGCCAACTTGCTGTCGATTTTATTATGCGCTTTCTCTATTTCACACTTGTCATTTGGCCTTTTGTGCGCTTCGCTGTCATCTGTTTTTGCTTCCATTCAAGCTCTCTAGACTTTTTAATATGCAGTTTCAAACTCATCGTTAGTTTCAAGCAACTCTCTGTTTCTTTGTTTTTTCAAAAGGTAGGTTAGACCTAAGTCCTAAATCTGACGCTGAAAAGAAGAAAAGGCCAACTTTTTCAACTCGGTCCTTGACTAACTCACCGAGTCAATTTGGCAATTTAAAGGTGGTTCTAATCCTGATTTCCATAGAACCATATGTTCTTAGAAGAAAAAAGAAGAAGAAGAAGAAGAATCTGAGGATTGATGGGGAGTCTGGTGGAAGAGATTGAACGCGAGCTAGAATACAATGGTGAGGTAACTGTATTCGTTGCGGTGGGGAAGAGTGTGGAGAAGAGCAAAACGACGCTTTTTTGGGCGGTTCACAATTTTCCCGGGAAAAGGATATGCGTGCTTCACGTTCACCAACCTACTCACGTACTTGCCTTGAGTGAGTTTTTTGAACTTGTTGAATTTTAATTTTTTGGAGTTTGTTAGTGGTTGTTGAAATCTGTTTGGTTGCTGAGAAAGTTGAAGGAAGGAAAGAAGAAATTTGGAAGTTGTTTTTGTTGTTTTCCCGTTACGCTTGTTCCTTTTTTTTTAAAGAAATAATACGTTAAAGAAAAGAGAGTAATTGTTTGTTTGTTCCTGTTTTATTATAGCTTATTGGAAAATTGAATAATAATAATTATTATTATTATTATTATTATTTTTTACTTCTTTTTCTTCAATAAAAATTCATGAGCTGATATAGTATAGAATTCAACAATCGAGATAGAGAAATGAACAAGGATTGGATTTTATAATGTACCCCACCTAAAAAAAAAGGAATGGTTGCTTTCTGATATTGAATCCTGTAAATTAATATCAATATGGACAAATAGAGTGGAAGAGTAAACTGTTTGTATTTGGTATTTGATTTAAGGGTATAGTGGATTTGGTTGAAAGTAGAAAGATTTTGGAATTATTGATCAGAAATTCTAATTTATATTGCGCTTTAGTGGATGCTCATAATTTTATCTTAATGGCTATTGATTATTGTGCATATATGTAGCTTGATTGCTTTAACCATATCATACAAGTTTTAAGATTATTCTTATATCTTTAATTTGGTAATTTTAACAGCGGATGGAAAGCTTGCGCGTAATAAGTTGAAACAGAAGGCAGTTGAGGCATTCCAGAAACTTGAAAGACAAAAAATGCAAGAACGCTTAGACGAATATCTTCTTATTCTTCACCATGCAGGGGTATTATTTTTTCATTATTTTCCAATTTTATTCAATCACTGATATGACTAACATTACGCTACTCTTGAGTTGCTTTTATTCTGAGGAAGAATGACACAAGTTAAAATTTATCCAATTGTTTTGCTGTTTAAACAATTTCCTTTCTACCAACTGGCGCTCTTTCTGAGGACAGGGCGATGCTATTAATTTGATGTTATTGTTAGCTAATGACATAATGATGTACAGGTACAGGCAGATACGGTATGGATAGAGATGGACAGTGTTGAAAAGGGGATTGTAGAAATTATAGCACTGCATAGTATTAGATGGCTTGTGATGGGGGCAGCAGCTGATAAATATTATTCAAAGTATGAATCTTGTATCATAATCCAATTGTCATTCAATATCATCATGGTGCAACTTTTAGGCTTATGGAGATTTGATTGACGCTTCTGTTATACCTAAGTATCATCATCAAGAATGTTTATTGGTATTATGAAATCTTCTTAACATAACCTAGCTATCTGGTTTTGGTGGTGTTATGAGCCTCCAGTTTAAAATCTCCTTGCACTTTTGTTTGTTTGGTACTCAATTTCTGAATTCAGTCATTTGTGTTTGAGATTGCAGGAAACTAGTAGAACTAAAGTCCAAGAAAGCAATCTTTGTATGCCAAAAAGCACCAGTTTCTTGTCATATCTGGTTTACTTGCAAGGGTTGCCTCATCTATACTAGGTAATGCTTGACATCATAAGAATTATTAGTTGGTTGACATTCTTTTATGTTGGAAGAAACTTGGGGTCCTCCTTCACTGCATCTGTGGTCCACTGGATCAGCAATGTCAAATTTTAACTCTGGCCTCGTTAATTAACAAGATATATTTTCCCTTCTTACTATCTCAATTTCACCTCTCTGCATCAACTACTTCATGGGAATTTAGCTTTTAGCTATGTGTCTTAGAATAAATTAGGTTGACCATTGGTGTTAGGCGTGCTTTATACCTACTGGATTAGCATTTTCAGGTTCTCTGAGTTTGTATAGTCCTGCACTGAAAACTTTAATGGTTTTTACTACTTGGAGTTGATGTGAAACAGAATAGAGAGAAAAGATGGATCTAATAGAGAGATTGCAACTCCTACGCCACCACTGAATTCACCCCAAAGAACAGAGCAATCGAAGCTCTTGCTGTCAGAATCTGTACTTAGGATGAGATCTCTAGGTAAGCTTAGTGGCCCCAGATCATGATCTCATTTGATTAGAAAGATCTTTGGCTTTGACTTTCATGTATAAAGTACCAAGCAGTTGTTTTCCCCAAGGAATAACTTTGTTGTAGAGCTATGCAGATGTAGAGGAAGATACAGACATACGGGGAGGAAAATTAAGGCCTATTTCCTGGTATTCAGAACATCCAAACTTGTCTAGCAATAGAATGGTTGACACTTATGGATCAATCCAGTTGCAGATGGATGAGGTGAGAGAAGATGATTAGTTTTAATTTATTGGTAGCATTTCCAATAAATTTTTATTATCTTCTGCTAAGGTACAAGATTGTAAGCTGTTCAAGTCATGCCTGTTCGAATTTGCATTTAGAAAACAAATGAAAAGAAAATCCAAGAGACCTTGGTTTTTACTATCGAATTCATGAAACTTTTATGAACCAGAGCCTGGATTCCATCGAGCCATATTGTGTACAAATAATTAATTTAGTTCTCCGTTAGAGAAAAGAACAATGTTGCCAGTTGGAAAATTTTGTTATATATCTGCTTCATTTCTTCTTGGTCTGGAAGCTATTGTTATCACACTAAACACCCAGATTATTTTACTATGATTTGCTGATTTTCAGGTCGAAGAATATCAAGGACAAGCGACTAATGAAACTGCTCAACAACTAGAACTATCCGCTATGGATGATCATAACTTAAAGCAGAAAGTATTTGCAGAGACAGTGAAGCGATGGAATGAGGAAAATGATGCCTTGGAGGCTACATGCAAGGTGAAAAATCACTTTTGTTTTTCCTTATTTACTGCTAGGTTTAAAAGATCCTTAATTCTGATTTCAAACTGAATGAAGCTTCTGAAACACCTTGCCTGAGTAAATTAATTAAAAATGAAGTAAATGGTACTGTTTGCACCACGATACATTCATTAATCTTATCCATTGACCTTTTATTTTATTTTTAGCCCCCACAAATTCCTGTTCATCATGTTTTCTTTTCAGGCAAAGGCTTTAGAAGGCTTATATCTGAAGGAGATGAGCCGAAGAAAAGAGATGGAGGAATTTCTTGAAAGAGAAAAGCAAGAAGTACAAAAGATGAAGGATCAGCGTGATGAATTTAAGAAAGAACTGCAGATGGTTAAAGACCAGAGGGCAGTACTTGAGAGCCAAATTGCCGAGTCCCAATGCACAGTGGAGGAGTTGGAGGGGAAGATAATCTCAGCCGTGGAACTTTTGATTAGTTTTAAGAAAAAGCGGGATGACATGCAGATAGAGCATGGAAATGCCATAAGACTATTGAAAGATTTAAGGCAATTGGTAAATGGTGAAGATACAAGCTTTCCAGGGACACAAATCCTTGAATTTTCTTTCATGGAGATTAATAATGCCACTCGCAACTTTGATCCATCCTGGAAGATTGGAGAAGGAAAATATGGAAGTGTATATAAGGGTCTCCTTCGCCATGTGCATGTTGCTATAAAAATGTTGCCCTCGTATGGCTCTCAAAGTCTCTTAGATTTTGAGAAGGAGGTAAACGTTATCCAAAGATCTTCACATCTCTACAGCTTTGCAAGTTTTTTTCTTTTTCAAGTCTCCAGCTAGAATAATCAAAATAAGATACATATGATAAACTAGAGGCTTAGATTTTAAAACTAGGATTGTCATATTGGGGAACATGAATGTTAAAGCTTCTTCCCTGGAGGAAATACTCTTTGGCGTCATTCACTTACTTATATCATCCGCATGGAAGTGTTTTTGTTATGGTTAACCTTGGTAAATCGTATAGAAATATGGTACTACTGATCACTGACTTGCTGCTTTAACATCAAAATGTGTTTTGACTGTATCATTCATATCAGACTAAAATCAAGGGTGAGAATAACAAAACCTCTGAAAGAGCAATCCATTGTTGTATGTATATCTTATCAGATTCCAGATCTTTTTATTGACCAAGAAATCTGAGGGTTCTTCTTGAAAGTAGTCTGACATCTTGATGTGGCACTGCTTATGTTATTATGTTCTTAAGCTGCCTGTTCTATGGTTCAAAAATGTTTTTTTCTGAGACAAATTAGATTTCTGTTACCTTTGAAACTAAAGATATTTTCTGATTGTTGGGTTTCAGGTAGAGATATTAAGTCGGTTGAGACATCCAAATCTGATAACAATAATTGGAACTTGCCCAGAGTCTAGGTCACTTGTCTTTGAGTACCTCAGAAATGGCAGTCTAGAAGACCGCCTTGCCTGCAAAAATAACACTCCACCACTTCCATGGCAAACTCGAACTCGCATTGCTTCTGAGATATGCTCTGCCCTTATCTTCCTTCACTCTAATAAGCCTTGTATCCCTCATGGGAACTTAAAACCCTCTAAAGTCCTTCTTGATGCCAATTTTGTGTCGAAGCTCACTGACAGCGGCATGTATCGCTTGATCCCACATGGTGCAAGTACAGCTAATTCTGTCTGGTCATGTATTAAGTCTAACCCTGAGATTGCATCTGTTTATATGGATCCAGAGTATCTTGAGAACGGAAAAGTCACTCGAGAATCTGACTTGTACTCATTTGGGATGATATTGTTACAACTTTTGACTGGGAGACCAGCTTTGCAGATCTTGAAAGATGTAAAATGCGCAATAGAGACAGAAAACTTTAACGCTGTGTTGGACTGGTCAGCTGGGGACTGGCCATTTGTAGAAACCCAACTGCTGGCTCACTTGGCATTAAGGTGTTGTGACAAGCAGCCATTGAATCGACCAGACCTTGTGTCAGAAATATGGGGTGTGCTTGGGCCAATGAAGGACTCATGTATCAACTCAGCATCATGCTTGTTGAGAGCTAAGGAGCTTCGTCGGATCCCTTCTCACTTTGTCTGCCCAATTTTTCAGGTAATAATCAAGTACATTTCTTGGTATGCATGTTTGCGCATTGCCAATTAGAGTGGCAACATGGTTTTGTGCTTTTGATTCAGTTGTCAGGATCAACTTCGTTACTTTGTAGTAGAACTTGTGCCTGCAATTTGCAATAAAACTTATAAAGGAACAGTAGTAGTAGGAATTGGTGTTTGATTCAATGAATCCCTTGTGTGACTTAAGCATGTGAATCAATATGTTGACATAGCTTTTTTCTTTTTATTGATTTTAATGGTCATGTAATCAAGTTTTGTGTTTAGTATGTGTGAAAGATCCTTTACTCTCTTTTTCTAGCGAATATAGTTTTATTTTGGCTAAAAAAAAAGGTTTTAAGGTGCTTCTTATTATCATGGTGGTTGTATTTAAATTTGCAGGACGTGATGAAAGATCCACTCATAGCCGCAGATGGCTTCACATATGAGGCAGATGCTATTAGAGGATGGTTAGAAAGTGGCCATGACAGATCACCAATGACAAATCTTAAGCTTGAACACTGCAATCTGGTCCCTAATTATGCTCTTTATCAGGCAATTCAAGAGTGGCAACAACAATAGTGATATATATAATCTTGTTTTCATTTCCTGTACATACGATGACCTTATCCGTCACACCTTCATACCTATTCAACCACCAGAATCAATAAAAGTATAGCATACTCATAGTCTCATGTACAGCTCAAGGGATTTCAGTGTCATTGCATCAAAAGTTTCACTTCACCTATTCCTCATAGAAATGTTTCAGTTTTCTCCAGGACTGGGATGCTTGTACAATTTTGACACTCAGTTGAGGGAAGTACAGGATGGACTTGAGTGCTCCAATTAACCTTCAACGCCGTTGGACTATTTTGAAAGTCACAGGTGAAACTTCATATAGAAGTAACACTAGAGTGTTGCCCAAATGATGCATAGGCCTTTTTTATTTATTTTTTATTTTTATATTTGTATAAAAGGAAATAATTTAAGAAATGCTTTATTTACAATACAATCGGAGTTATTAACACTTGACTATTGTTAATTTGGCATCATCTCGAATCACATATGAGCATTTGAGAATGGGATATATTTGCTCGATATTATATGAAGTGATGGTTATTAATGTTAATATTACCATGCAAAACCTTATAATGACGGCTATTACTATGCAGAGCATTTGGGCCTTTGCAATTGGACTGAAGAGGCCAATAGCCAAGATTGTAGATTTGGGGCCCTTCTTTGTAAAGAGGGAATAAGAGTAAGGTTTTGGGCCTTTGCCATTGGACTGCTTCGTTTCAAAGTTCGCGTCCCTCAATATCGCGTTGCGACGAAAATCTCCCACGTCAAAATCATTTGCGTCATCACTTTTACTTTCAATTTTCCGACTTTTTATATTATTTTAATATTTTCCTTCTGTAGAAGGCTACGGTTTCTACCTTTACACATATTTCTCTTGTAATTCGCTCCCTGGAAGCTCTTTTTTTCTTCCTCAATATTTTCTCGGCCGGTCACTTCCTTGCTTTTTTCTCGTTGGTTTTCCGTCCCGCCAAACACTCCCCGGCCCTTGCACCTTGACTCTAAATCCTTGCAATCGCTTAAGATTCTTGCACTCCTCAAACCGATCTCTCTCTTTCTCTCTCTTACTCATTCATTGGTACGTTAATCGATCACTTCACCTTCTCTTTCTTATATATTATTTTTGTTTTTACATTCAATAACATGCCTTGATCGTAGATCACGTGTCTCGAAGCCCTAATGCTTTTTTTGTTTGTTTGTTTTGTTTTATTTATTTATTATTTTTCATATGGAATTTAGGAAGCTGTGATAAAAATGGAACTAGAAAGTCGAAATTTGAATTTTACGTTCTGTGAAGAATAAAAAATGTCCAAAACTAAGTTAAATGGTTATAGCTTGGCTCAGTAGAAGAAATTTTAACAAAAATGCGTTTACTTTTTCTGCTAATGGAGAAATGAAGGTTCGAAAAGTTAAATTTTTGTTTATGTAGACAGAGTTGAGAAGACTCTGTTCTTCTACGATCTCTGATTATCATTGTTATTGAGTCTTGATTTGGTTAATCTTTTCTTGTAATTAAAATTTACATATTAGCTACATGCATATGGATTTTAATGTTATTTTTAGGTTAACTTACCAATATATTTTGCTGCAAAATATATTCTATAGGACGAGAGTAGTCGGATCCATTAATGAATTATAGGACGAGAGTAGTTGGATTGATTAATGAATTATTTTTCTAAATGGCTGGTATTTTAGTTGTAGAAATTTTTGCTTGCTGGCATTGGTGGCATAAGTTGTCCGCTTTTTTATTGGACAGTAGCGGTGCTTGGTTTAGATTTGGATGTGCATGTTACAATCAGAAGTCCTCAGTCCTCAATGTTCTATTGAATAGATACTCTCTCTGTATGAATTTAATTTAGCTAGGATATTTCTATATTTGATCTTAGCATTTGGTTTACATTTCAGAAATAGTAAGCATGGCCATAAAGTTATTGCATTTGCCTCTAGGTTTATCATGACAGCACGCTGCACTTACATGTATATTGAGTATTTTTGGAGTGAGATAATGATCGATGACGCATCTTGAATTGTTATTTTGAAGATTTTTGAAGCAGGCAGATGCATATAACTCTATTATTTTGATCCTTCAGGATCTTTGGTTGCATCAATGTGTGAACACCTATTGATGTCCAATAGAGAGCCACATGATGATATGATGATATTTAGATCTTTTTTCCCCAGGTAGACTGGTGGTTTGTAGGGTAGCATCAATTTAAAACATTATTCATTGTTCCAGATTCAGTAAAATGACCTAGATGCTGAGTAAAATCTCCCTTTTTGGATAATGAGTGGTACTATTATCCGGTTATTAAACCATCCTTCAATCTAAGTCGTTTGCTGGCTATTAAATAGATTGATTGAAGTAGAATTTTTTCCTGAATCATTGTCTAGTAGTGTGATTCAATAACGAGTAAGTTATGTAATGTAAACTGTTTTAAGGATCTTAATTTCTTCTCTTTACCCCCTTTTAGTTGCAGTGGTATCTTTGAGTTAGTGGTTGTGCTCTGTTTGTGTGTATAAATGCCAGTTGCAAAACTCAAGGTTGCCAATTCTGCAGATGTAATGAAATCGGAAGAGCCAAATGATTCTTCGGACACTTTCATCAGACAGGCTATTGGAAAAGAACCTTTCCTTTCCTTCTCGAGGGCCGGCGACAGCCCAGTCCAATGGATTCAATTGCTCCATGCATTAGATCTACAAGGTACTTAAAAATCATTTGATGGTTCAAACCGTTGTCCAGGAAAATACTATTTAATGCTACATTATATCTTGATTTTCTTGCTTATATCTCTGACAGATATCCCTGGCTGGCCTTTATTGACTCCTCTGAAGGTGCAGATGCAAAAATGTGATAAGTGTACGCGAGAATTTTGTTCACCTATTAACCATAGAAGGCATATACGTGTGCACCACAGATTGAAAAAACTTGATAAGGTTTACTCACTGTCTTCAAAACATGATTAGTTGGTTATGTTGGATTTTTTTTTTTTAGAATTTCTCCCGCAATTTCTTTTTCTTCTGATCTTCTTTAAGGTCCTAACCGCTTGGAATTTGAGATTTGTCTTTCCTTGGCTACTTTTGATTTTTTTGTACATCTCTTAGGACTCCTCTAAACTTTGTTGTTCTATGTATTGTAGGATTCTGCTAAAAACAGGGACCTATTAGCGGCATTTTGGGACAAGGTATTTATTTATCTCTCTTCCCCCTTTCCTCTCTTGCTTATTCATTTTAGGTTCTCCTCTTTCTCTTTTCTTGTTATTCTCATTTATATTATTTACAGCTGTCAGAGGATGAGGCGAAGGAAGTCATATCATTCAAGGATGTATCATTGGAGGTAATTGTTTAATGTTACTCGCCTTCTTAATCCTTGTTACATCATTTAGTAATATTCAAATGACATCCTGATCTGGTTTACATATTGTGCTTGTTACTTTTGTAGCATTATCTTGTATGCAAATGGTTATTTCTCACTAGGATATAATGCACATATTGCATGGATTATTGATTTTGTTTGTTCTTGTCTCCTCCTCAACAATTGATTCCTTGCTAACTATACCTTCTAGGAAGTTCCGGGATCTTCAGTTATAAAATCATTGACAACACTTGTAAAGAGACCAGGGTTTTCTGCTTTGCCACAAGTTTGCTTGAAGGCAGGTTCTGGTCTTCTGGTAAGGAACATATTTTCTTGTTCATTGAATGTTGTGTTATAGATGGTAATACATTCTTATCCTAGTCTTGTGATATATCCTAATTCTTTGCAGGACCTTGTCCAAGCCAGCCCTTCAAGGTTTCCAATATCTTCACAAGAATTATTTAGTATCCTAGATGATGCAAGTGAAAGGACTTTCCTTTGTGGCACAGCTGTCTCAATGCAAAAATACATTTTTGACGGGGAAGCAGGAAAGATTGTTCTTGAAACCAAAAACTTGGTTGCTTGTACCAGCTTCTTGATGGAACAGAAATTGGTACCCTTTTCTTTTCCGTTCTTAGGGTTGATCTACTTAAAGTTTTCATGCACACACTTATACATAATTTGGTGGGCAAGTATTATACTAAATCCCTAACATTGGGACAAGCAATAGGATAGCAGGATAGGTGTGCACATCAATTTGTCAACTTTGTATATTTTTCCCTTTATCATTCCATGATCAAATTAGTCTTTGTTTTATGTTCAGGTTAAAGCATGGCTTGCAGATAAGGATGCTGAAGCTTTGAGGTGCCAGAAGTTGCTAGTGGAAGAGGAAGAAGCTGCCCAGAAGAGGTGCATAACTCTGATTCTCCATGTCTAACAAAGTTATTCTTAAAATTTTCATATTTGACTTTTGCAAATAGGTTGGACCATTTTCAAATCATATCCTTCCCCTTTTTCTCCAAAAGTTCCTCTCATTATGTGAAAACTCATCAGACTAGCATAAGGGAAAGTAATTCTCTATGAATTGTCTTTGAGTAATGTCTAGGGAGTAGGAGGAAAATGATCAGAAAAGCATAGTGACTAATTTCTTCTTTTCCGTGAGCTTTAGAGTAAACCCCAGCTTGTGATGTAATTACTTTTTCTTCCAGAAGATGTATGCAGAAAACTTTTCCTTCCCAACTCATACAAAAGGAAAAAAAAAGGGGAAGAAGGTACTGGTATAAAATAATTTTGTATTTCTTGAAAAGAAATGAATCATTATAATCTGAAGGTGGAAAAGTGCTGGATGAAAAATTAAAATTGCATAAACCATTTTTCTATGTCAACAATCGACACCTTTAGAAAACATGCATTGGAAAGGGAAAATGTTAGCATTTGTCATGCAATTCTAGTTTTATAAAGTTTGGCCTTACTTGGGCATTTTAGTTCCTAGGTACATCCTACTCATTTTAGTTCCTAGGTACATCCTACTCATGTGATAGGTTTTGGCAGTGGTAATAGATAGGTCCTAACTCATAAGTTTAGTTTATTGATTAATGACTTGCATTTGGTTCTTCAGAAACAGTTCTTCAACATCTTATAGAAGGCAAAACCAAAGAAAATTTTACTAGCTGATTTATTTCCTGATACTCCACTGTAGGCAAGTTGAGCTTCTTGAGAGAAAGAGGCAGAAGAAGCTTAGGCAGAAGGAGCAGAAAGCAAAAGAACAAAGACACTGGGAGATGGAAGAAGGTAAGCAGGATATGGATGAATCATTGGAGGTTAGCATTCTTGATGAAACATCCTCCCTTTTAACCGCTTTTGATTCTGATGGACAAAATCCAGTCATATCAACAGATCAAGTTCTCCCATCTTTAGAACCCATTCATTTTTCCAACCTTGAGGAGGATGTAGATTATGAAATTCAGATGGGGTTTAGCAATGGATATTGCGATCCAGGAACTAGTCAGAGTGTTGAAGGACGAATGGAGCAAGTTGGTGGACGTCAGCGAGTAGTTGCTCAATGGCAGACTCCACCTAAATCACAGCGAGGGGCGCTTAATGGTTTCTGTGTCAGTAAGAATTCTTATGGATTTAAGCTTGGAGGCATGAATAAACATGGAACAAACAGGGAAAGGGTTGCTGCAATGGGTAATAGTAATAAAATGTGGAGCCGGAAACCTAAAGCAGTTAATGACGCAGAGAGTTTGAAAATTAGAGCAGGGAAACAAGCTGCAAATGAACTGGATCAAAATAAGAACCATGAGGTTCTAATTGGCTCTATATCTGTCACACTTGGAAATTTTAGCCAGCATGAGGGAAACAATCTAGCTGAAGCCCACGACAGGTGCCTGGCAGAGTGTCAAATACAAAAGAATAAAAATGTTCAGGAGAAGTTCAGCAAACTTGATCCTGTTCACCGATCAACCATTAAGTTTTGGAGGCCGGTGAATGTACATGAAAGCAAAAGTTCACTGCCAGTCCAAAATGGTGTTGGAGAATTTGAACTAGAAGTGATTGCTGAAAAGGATGGAATCCGGCCCTCCTCCAATGAAAGCTGTCTAAGGTCATATGCAACAGATGGTAGTGATGGTGTAGTAAGTATGAATCTTTCAACACTTGACGAAAGTGTGCAACCAGGAAGATTGCAGTTTGACGGCCATGCTGCCAAGGCCTTTCTTGCTCAGAGTAAGTTAGGATGTTTGATATATATGTATTAGCTCTATTGCTGTGGATCCATTTTTACCGAATTAACTTGTCTCTGATAAACTCTCTGATCGGCTTTGTAGGGTGGATGGAGGCTATCGCAGGGGAACATGTGACATTGATTCTCTTCCCAAATCTTGAGCCTCCAGGGTGCTCAGAGGTTGAAACTGATTCATCAGAAAAATGGATGGTTAAGGTGGGTGCTTTTGAGGCTTCTACCGGTGGGGCTGCCAAAGGCAAGTTCAGGACGAGGCCTGAAAAGAGTGCAAAAATAAAGTACATTCCTAAACAAAGATCTGCCACCTAAGTGTAGGAGAGATATGGGAAGATTTATTCTTGAGATATGCACAGGCTAGAGGATCGTCATTATATTCTTAGCATAGGTTCCAGTTTTACCACTGGTCTTCTGTGGGAAAATTGAAGAAAGGTTTTGCCGGAAAATATTTTTATCATTCCGTCCCTTTTTCTTAAGGTGGTATAGAAGTTTGACTAGTCTTAAGATTTTTTTATTTTGTTCTGCTAATTTTTTTGGCTTAATTGTCTAACTTTTTGTTTTAATAAATTGGGGGTTCTTAAGGTCTTTTGGAGTCGAAGTGGAAGTTCATTGTTTGTTCTCTTTTACTTCTATCTTTTGCACATTTTACAATGAGTTTTCCCCCGTCTTCCTGCAAAAAGTAACCGAAAAGCAGCTTTAGGAGAAGCAACTTGTGATATATTGAGCTTTCTAACGTTTGGATCTTTGCAAATTTGTTATTTTTGCTTCATTTTTTTTAATCTTACGTGGAACGTATTGGTTCTGCCAAAGGCCCAATCGTGCTTTTGAAATTATAAAGACTGTTATCTAGACTAATGATTCATGGACTCCAATTCTGTTTTACTAATTATTAAGAATGTTATTCTTTTTAGAAGAATTAATTTTTATTAATATGTTTCATTTAATCCTAATTAATCCACGGGCTGGAGTCTTAAATTATAGTTATAAAACGAGGATAATTCTTTTAAATTATTCAAATCACGTATTCGTTCTTTTTTCTTCGAATAGTTTTCAAAAATAAATTTGATTGGATTTTGATTTTTTCACAATTTTTTTTTAAACTTTAATCTGTTAGGTTAAATGGAAAAAAAAGAAAGAAAAAAAATCGACTGAAATTTGCAGTGTCAATCCCTGGTGCTTTGGTTGCTCCCTAGCCTGCGGACACCTGCCACTACTGTCACAACTTAAACATGGTACATTGTACGAGCAGAAACACCGAATCAAAATCGAAAGGTGCCACATTTAATCATCAACTAGTGTAGAAGTCCTGCTTCGCACGGAATTAATTTCTTTATATAGCAACAATTAATTAAAAGTAATATAATATTAAATAAAATATAATAATCATAATTAGTATTTGAAATTTAAATACACTATTTTTATAATTTGTATTTATTTTTTATTATCTCTTTATTTTGTACATTGATATTTGTTGATTTTTTTAACAAAAATAAAATATTTTAAATTCGCTCTAACAAAAATTTTTAAATATCTTTTAACTAAAGAAATTTTATTTTAAAAAAAATTGTCATTTGCATTTTTTAAAATGATTTCATGTCATTTGCATCATTGTCCTTTTATTTTTTTTTTGTATATTTCATCTTATTTAATATTTAATATTTTTATTTTTTCTATATATTTTTTTATTAATATTTTAAAATTGACTAATGTGTTAGAACAATTTTTAGGACTCTTCCAATCCTATTTTTTCTCATTTTAATTTCTTTTTAAAAAATGTCCCAATAAATTTTTAAAAAAATTTTATTATTGAGAAGTTTTCAGCAATAATTTTATTATTGTTATTCTTTTTTGTTAATTTCCACTTTTATTTAGTAAATCTAATAAAATTTTAATTTAAAATATAAGATCCAATGAAACATAATAAATAATCATAAAATAAAATTAAAATTAAAAATTATATATTTTAAATGATCTAATTCTCTTTTTTTTAAAAAAAAAAATTGAGCACTTATCAATCGGGAAAAATAAAAAAAAATCATACTTGGATAAGAATTTATTTCCTTTATTTTTTTCTACCCACATTTCAAGACAAATTATTTATTGGTTAAATTTGTACGTCAAAACTCAAATCTAATCAAGAATATCATTTTATTATTTAATATAGAATTACTTTTATTATTTTAATTATAAAATATCATTTTATTGGGCAGAGAAACTCATGATAAATCTAGGTAAAGTAACTAAGTTACCCACCTTTTTTGTCTTATTTACCTTTTCAATGTAATATATATATATATATATATATATATTAAATTAGCTTAGTTTTACATTTTTCCTTATTTTCTCTTCTAATCGCTCTTTTCTCTAGAATTTATAAAAGACGTGGCATCTGACCAACGGTTTAAAAAGTCATCGTATTTGATCACCATCTGTGTTGTGAACTCATTTTTTCACATTCTCTTTTACCTTATTCTATTTTTTTTAACTAAAAATTTCAATTTTTATATAAAAAAAAAAAAATTCAATGTCACCACCATCAACCCCATCGGTCATTGGTCGACGGAAGTTTCCTATTGTTTTATGATTTCATATATTTTTGTCTGATTTTTTTTTATTTTTTAAATCAAAATATTTTTTAAAAATTTTTAAATCTAAATTCTTTATTTTTATTTTCTTGTTGATTTTTAGTGTTTATTAATGAGTAAGATAATAAATTTAAAATATTAACAAGTGTCAAGCAACTAATTTTTTAAAAATACTTTTGATATATAGATTATAAATTATAAATTATAGATTTACAAAAATAAAAGTTAAAAAAAACAAAAATAAAAAGAAAAGATACTCCGTATAGCTTACATAAACAGTAATATACCCTCTCAAATAAAAATCTAACCTAAAAAATAACCCCAAAATTTTCACATATCAAAGCCGAACAAACTCACAAAAATGGACAGTTGTCCAATATATAAGACTTGAGGATTCTTTTAATAATATTTCAAAGCCCTCTTGGATAGTTAACCAATGTATAAGACTCCAGAAATAGGAAATGTATAAATTATCGACCGCCAAACCAAGATCAATACCACACACTCCACAAAGGACGCAACCCCTCTTTACTTCCATCTCTCTTTCCAAGCCACGTTTATTTTTTCTCTCCACCTTAAACTCCTCTCCAATTGCCACCTGTCCACACCATTCACCTCAAGCTCAATCTTATCTCCCCTCCTCTACACAACTCCCTTCCTGTGTTTTGACATCTATTTTACCTTCGTTTGCTACAGTATTCCCTAGAAAAAAGGAAGTAAGTTCTTTTGTGTTATTCATCAAAAGTGAGAATACGACCAAGTCCCGCAAAACTCAGAAAACGAAGAGAAAATGTCAGGAGGGGTTGGTACAACCTGCAATGACATTAGCCTGCCAAATGAAGAAGTGCAGGGCCATGAAAACTCCCACCCCAATCCTCTTAAACCCGTTCCAAACCCAGCGAATCCATCCAAGACACGCTTTCTCACGCTACGACAACTCAATTGTCTTGCTGTTATGATCATCACCGCTGCAAGTGGCATGGTGAGCCCTGAAGACTTGGCTTTTGTATTTTTTTCTGTCATCTACATGTACTTGCTTTTAAAAGTTGCCTTCCCTCGGAAAATTCCTCCAAAAGATTCCTTGGTTTTTGATCCAAGAAACAAGATTCTTCGCTTGTATGTCACCATCGGTGCTATCATCGGCCTCTATTTCCCTGTGGCTTATATCTTTGAAGGGATTTTTGAGGGTGATAAAGAAGGCATAAAGGCAGCAGCACCGCATGTTTTTCTTCTGGCTAGTCAAGTTTTCATGGAAGGAGTGGCCTTCTCTGGCAGGTTTTCAATTCCGGTTCGTGTTTATGTTCCGGTGTTTTACAATACGCGGAGGATTTTTACCCTCGTGGACTGGCTGAGGTCTGAGTTTTCAAAGGTGGATCACTATTATGCAGGATCTGCTAGGAGGCTGTACGTTGGAAGAGTCCTTGCTGTGGCTAATATGGCGTTTTGGTGCTTCAATCTCTTTGGGTTCTTGTTGCCTGTTTATCTACCCAAAGCTTTTAAGATGTATTACGAATCTAAGGTGAAAGATTGAACTGATATCCCTTCTTAATCTTAGTTTAGCTCCCAAAGAAGGGAATAAAGATGAAAGGTTTTCCTTTCGTCCCTTACCGCTAGATTAATGTGGTCTGGTTTTTGTAAATTTTATCTCATGATGATTGAGGTTTCTAACATTTTTGTTCCTTTTATGTCTTTTTACCTACTGTTTCTTGCTAAAAGTGTGGAATGGGTTTGAATGGAATTGCCTTTGGTTACAAGATCAGTGGCAGATACTAATTTTGGCAATCCAAAGATTTCCAAAATGAAAAAATAATAATAATAATAATAATAATAATCATAATAATAATAAAGGTTCTGACTTTAACACTCGTATTCAAGCGGAGAAAGAGAGATACAACACCCACAAAACTTGATTTATGCTTGGTATAAATAAGTATTTTTCAAGTTTATCATACAGTGACCCCTCCTTTGACTTCTGTTCAAAATCCAGCATCGGGGTTTTCGTTTCCCCTGTTTCTATGGCCACTCGGTGTCCATACTCCATAGTCCACGGGGGGGAAGAGATATGAAGTCTCAGTAAATAAACTTCTAAATCACTGCCAAGATGAAAATAAATAGGTAAGCAATGACTGAAGCAAGACTTAAAATTAAAATCACTAAGAAAAGATATATTGAATGGACCCTGATTCCAAGAAAATTTCAATATTTCATCACATAAAAGCGTGATTTGCTTCTCAAAAGTCACAGGCCTATAAGCTCAAATTCTATTAAATAACTGAAGTACACAGTTTCATATCCTACACTTTGGATGTTGGATCCCAGAACTCTGTTTCCATCACAAAGCAATCTGCAGCATTAATCTCAAATGAGGGGCCTGCTAGAAACAATACATAAGAACTTCAAGCTATAAACAAAACACTATCCACAATTCAAAGAAGACGGTTGTGGTACTAACGTTGTACTATTTTGCACTGGAACATGATATGCAAATAACAATGGCTGAAAGCCACAAACAAGGGAAACAAAAAGACCAAGTTTCTCAAAATTTGAGACTGCCTTTTCTGTTTTCAGAAGAGAAATAAACAATAAGAAGAAGAAAATCCAACATACATTCTCAGAACAAAGACATATTGGAGATGGTAAAACAAATAAATACATTCACATGCAGACCATACCAAGCACAAAGCAGAGAATCTTACTGCAGCAAATTGGTGCTAGCATCATTGTTAAACCACTCAAGCTGCTGACCATTCTGGAAAATAATAAATTTATGTGTATTATCTCCTGTCCTAAACCTGGTAAGAATCTAACTGCAGCAAATCAGTACTGGCATCATTGTTAAACCACTCGAGCTGCTGTGCATTCTGGAAAATAAGAAACTTATCTTTTGTTTATTATCTCCTGCCCAAACCTATTTATACAGACTGACATTGTATAACTTGTGCATTAAACAGGCAGTTTGGAATTTTAAGCCACTCCATACCCCCAAGGTGTTCATGTAAAGAATGATACATTTTAATGGTGAAAATTTCCTAGCATTTTAACACTTTTTGAACAGAAAGAAATAGGGATTGGCAGAAATGATCAGTGAACAAGGCATCCAAAGAAGGATTCACTTCCAAGCTTCGAATCCCTCTGCTCATACCTAATATTTAAAGATAGTATTTCACATATTGATGCCTACCCCCCATACCAACCACCCATTTAGAAATTCCCATTTTATTGAATGTTGAGCCTAGACTTTGACAAATGCCCAAACAAATGCAAATTAAGAATAGAATAATGCTCACTTGTAAACTCATCGGACCATTGCCATTTATTGACATTAGTAGAAGTCATCTTTCATGGCCTGATGACAAAATTTCTTGCATCCTTTCTGGCCAGTCAGAACTCAACCTCCTAGCAAAGTCCTCCACTTCCCTAGAAGGAATAAAAAAAACAAATGAATACCTAGATAAATTAATAAATAGATACAAATATAGAGCTATTAAAACCTACACTGGAGATGCTGATGCTGTCTGAACAAGCTACAATATTCACTAAAGCTCAACAATAAACCTCATTCTTCGTCCACAAAATTAAGAAACAAAAATGTACTCTGGCAACAGATGATTGCACCTACTCTCAGTTCAATAATATCTTAAAGAAATAAAAATATTAAACAAACCTGTCAAGTAGATCCTTCATTGCAGGATCTATATCATCATCAAACTCCACCTTAGGTGAAAAGCTGACAGATGCAGAATCTTGCAACTTTGAATTTTACTAGGAGTAGGCACCAAAATGTTGTCAATTTTGCCTTGATTGCAGGCAGCAGAAGCAGCATCCAACTCCTAATTCATATATATTGTTTTAAAGAGAAAGAGAGTAGAAATCAGTGAAGAAAAACCATCATGTTTCTCTCTTTGAGGATAAAACCATAAGAGAGTAAATGTATGTGTTTATTGAGATTATGATTATAGCCCACAGATGAATGCAAGTGCAGGCCTTGAATGCATGAAGACATGCATGTTTCAGATGCACATACACATGGATGTTCACATGAGACCACACAGAGGGGAAGGAAGGCAGAGTGCCAACCTTATTATGGTTTACATCAATACTATCTGACGAGTCCTTTAGTTGCTCTTTTCTTATACTATTTTTCTTTTTATTCTTGGTAATCCCAACTCCCTTCGAGTCTGCAAAGTAGAATAGATCGTTAATGTTGTACAACAAAAAATTAACAGCACATGCACAGACAACTTGGAAGCTGGAATTAAAGGAGCATCCATCGTTACCATATGTTCAAAGATATATTATTTTGCGAACAGAAAGAAGCTCAAAGAGGGCAAAGTAACATTCACTGGTCCATGACTATAAGTCTGTAATATCAAGGTGATTGTAAAGGCAAGTAACATTACGAAATTTAACAGTTATGGCTTCTAAGTGTAAGAAAACTGAAAATCAATTAGATAGATGGCAAATAGAATTCTATCCCAGCTGCAAAAAATGGATGCAGGAGAACAGTTTTAAAGCATACCTTGATCTCCTCCATTTATAAAATACAAGAGATCATCTATTGAGTGTTCATCCACATGCTCATCCTCAACTTCAACAATCTGAAAAATACAAAAACATCCATTTGCTCTTGCAAATATGTATGTGCAGGTTCAAGTTTTTAAACAGTAAAGAGTTGCAGAATGAGTTGTAGAATATCTTTTTCTACCTTTTTCCTATGCAATCTGAAATTGCATACATCAACAAACTCAAAAAACAGCAGCTACGTGTACATTAGAACTAATAAAAACTAGCAAAAGTATCCACCTTGAGTTTCTCTCTCTCTCTCTCTTTTAATTCTTTCCTCTTTCTGGCATACAATCAATTTACAAGCCGGATATGTGGATCATCAGTAAAATTTTTGAGGGGTTCTAACTTTTCATCCTGAGGATGACCAAATCTACATCATGAACAACAAATACAGACCAAGCATTGAACAGTTTTTTTTTTTTTTTAATTTCTTGCTAGCCACACACACCTTTGTGAGGTCACTAGGAAAATGAAATGTCTCCCGCATCTCCTCAGGAGTTTTTCCTTCAATTATTCAAGCAAGTGCACGACTTGTTAGATCAACTAAAGGCTTCAATTGCAGGCTGTTGGCTGCAGATGTCAACTCACACAATCTTTTTGTATCCATTCTAACAAACTTCTCATCAAAAGTTTTGTGCTCCTACACATAAAAAGAGGAAAAGAAAACAAATAAAGTCCACAGATGCTCAGATTGCTCATTTTTCAGTTAACCAACGACAGAACTTTTATCTGAAAGGCAAGAGAAACCAATGGAAGACATAAAAATACATATCAAACCTACTAGATGAAACCAACAATAATCAAGATTTAAGCCAAGGACAGCAAGATTGACTCACTGCAGAAGTGATATAGCATAGTTTTTGGAAGAACCCATGCCTGTTTGAAGAATTTTTCTACATATCATGGGGCGAAACTTAGCAACCTCCTCTTCCACTTGCTGGATTGAACCATCAGTAGTTGTAGCCAAATGTAGGACTTTATCTTAAATAGAAGAATCACAAAGAAAAGCAAGTGAGAATGGAGATGGTATAGACGGTAATTGCAACAAAATAATGAATGCATATATAAAACTGCATAAATACATATATGATAACAGTGGCTTCCTAATTGCCATTTGATGGGAATAAAACTGTTATTACTTATTAGTAGTAACATGTAAGCTAACTGGCATCTCTTTAATCCATTTAAAACATGGGGAAATATCATAATTGGTTAAAAGATCCCAAAACAATCATAAAACAAACCTCTGGTTTGAAGACTGCCATAACGCCTTCTGGCATCTGATGATGATTCCACAAATAAGTTACTAAAAGAAGTATGCAAGTTCAGATGTTTGCACCTCCAGATTCAAGAATAAGGAGAAGATAAAGAATATGATAGCTTTGTCTTATTCAAAAGGTTAACTTTGTTAGGTGGGTACAAACTCTTCATCAATGCTTCCCAATCTAAAAAAGACCATGAAATCCTAGTAACACTGGCAGCAGCATTCTTCTGAGTAAAGCTTCCACAGTTGTCTTATTAGATGAAAAGCATAAAAATATGGACAATGCACCACCCAACACTGCCTGAATTTTGACAGATAAATCACAACGTCAGACAATAACTAAGAGATAAATAAAAGTTGAAAACTTAAACAATTGATTGGTTTAGGCTCCTAGAGACTGCTACAAGTAGAAACAAAGTGAGTTTTTCTTCATTAGCATTAACTATTACTGGATTCCATTGCATTGTTTGACTGACAAGAACTGTCAACAATTCTTGATACTGCAAAGGAACATTCTTTGTTTTCTCTGCATCTTCAAATTTTCTATAGAACATGACATAGTTTCAAAATTAACCTTCAGAATTACAGTTTCTAATCTTTCAAGGGCTTAACCACAAATGAACCTAAAGTGGAAAAAATCAATCAACAAGTTCTCAAATTAAACTAAAAGCTATGGAATTGCTAAGCTTTGGAAAAAATTTTAATCAAAATTAGCTACTTGATTAATCAGATAATTAATTTAAGTTAAAAACTCAAGAAATTAATAAAAGTTGAAAGAGAGAGATAAAGAGTGTACCTTTGAAGGGAAGAGAGTGAGATATGGAAATGAAAAAGGGGAAACAAAGACAAAGGAAGAACAGTTGTGAGGGTTTTTGTAAGAAAATAAAAATAAAATAAAATAAAATTTCTAGTGCTCCTGTCTTCTGTTTGTTTTTTGGTGTTAGGAATTTGGTGCCATCGATCGCGCATGGCGGTCGTTATGGTTTGGACACAATTTTTTCTTCTTTTTTTTTTTTTTTTCTGAGAAATAGAGCTCAAAAACAAAAAAATTTAAGTGTGAGTCGTGGGGATTTCGTCCCTTTGATAATTTCGTTTTTTACAACCTGATAGATTTGTTAGGGTTCATGACTAGATACACTTGTTCAACATAAAAGGAAACCTAAGGGTATTTTCGTCAACCTGATTTACAACGGCTCTTTGCCAAAAAAGTAGCCGTTGCCGCTTTCCATAAAGCCCAGATATTCCGTAATGAAGATTAAAACAGTACTCCAAAGTCCAAATACGAATAACTCTCCTCATCGCCATCGTTATATAAACTCGTTGATTCTACCAATCATCTTCAATCAAGTCTCGCTCGACCATCTACAACCAGGCTTCTTTCCTCTCGCATTTCTTTATTCTTTCTGTCTCTAACGTTTTCTTTTTCGTTTGATTTTCTAATTTTAATTTGAATTTTGCAGGTTCTGGGTTCGTATCTATAAATAATCTTTTGGATTTTACTAACCTATTTCTTTCAGGGTCTTTTTATTTTTTTTTTAATTTTTAATTTTCTTTTATTATATTTGTTTCGTTTTCTGGATACTTGACATTATGGATGCAGGATCTTTGAATTCTTTTTCAAATTTGAAGGGGCAATCTAGATGCCCACTTCAAGAGCAGCTTCTCCAGAGAAGGAATTCTAAAGAAAATGTAAGTATTTCAACTTATTATTAAACACTTAATTTAATTTTAATTATTCCAAAACTGTTTTTTTTTTTTTTTTTGAAGCAATTCTGGGTTTTCTTGTCCTTGATTTATAAGGTTTTTCAATTTGACGAAGGGATACTAGTAAATAGTAATCAAATCTTGGTCTTAAATTGAATTTAGAAAACAGCTTTGATTAAATGAAGGCTTTTAATTTAGGGTTGATAAATTAGACATTGTAATGACATTTAGTTTGATGCTTTCTTGTTACTGGCAGCTGGATAGGTTCATACCAAATCGTTCCGCAATGGACTTTGATTATGCACATTACATGCTGACCGAAGGGAGGAAGATCAAAGAGAACCCGACAGTGTGCTCACCTGCCAGGGAGGCCTACAGGAAGCAGCTGGCTGAGACCTTGAACATGAATAGGACCCGAATCTTGGCTTTCAAGAACAAGCCACCAACACCTGTTGAACTCTTCCCTTCTGATCATTCAACTTCTTCTGTTCACCCTACCAAATCCGCAAAGTCCCGGAGACACATTCCCCAGGTAAGCAGAGAATGCTATGCGCAATCTGACTAGTTCAGACCTTAAATTTTGGTTCCATAGACACTAATATGTAGTGATTATCATGTGGTTCTTCAGAGCTCTGAGAGAACATTGGATGCTCCTGACCTTGTGGACGACTTTTACCTGAATTTGTTGGATTGGGGCAGCAGCAATGTTCTGGCAATAGCACTTGGAAACACTGTGTATTTGTGGGATGCTTCAGATAGTTCTACCTCAGAACTTGTTACTGTTGATGATGAAAATGGCCCAGTAACAAGTGTGAATTGGGCTCCTGATGGCCGGCATATTGCCATTGGCTTGAACAATTCTGAAGTACAGTTATGGGATTCTGGTTCCAACCGACAGGTTTGTTGTTCCAGACATCTCTAAAATATTAGCATATTCTTCTCTTTCATTGTCCCGTCATTTATTATGACACAATTCTTTAACTTTATTGCTGTAGTTGCGTACTCTGAGAGATTGTCACAGATCAAGAGTGGGTTCAATGGCATGGAACAATCACATTCTTACAACAGGAGGAATGGATGGTCTGATAGTTATCAATGATGTAAGAATTAGATCCCATGTTGTTGAAACCTACAGAGGACACCAGCAAGAGGTTTGCGGGCTAAAATGGTCAGCTTCTGGACAACAACTAGCCAGTGGAGGCAATGATAATCTTGTTCACATATGGGACAGGTCCATGGCATCTTCAAATTCACCAACACAATGGTTACACAGGTTGGAGGATCATACTTCGGCCGTCAAAGCCCTTGCCTGGTGCCCTTTCCAGAGCAATTTGCTGGCATCTGGTGGAGGTGGAGGTGATCGAACCATAAAATTTTGGAACACACATACTGGTGCATGCTTGAATTCAGTGGATACTGGCTCTCAGGTTTGCGCTTTGCTGTGGAACAAGAATGAGAGGGAGCTTCTGAGCTCTCATGGATTTACTCAGAATCAATTAATTCTTTGGAAATATCCATCAATGGTAAAGATGGCGGAGCTAACTGGTCATACATCTAGAGTACTTTACATGGCTCAAAGCCCAGATGGTTGCACAGTGGCGTCAGCTGCGGGGGATGAAACGCTAAGATTCTGGAATGTTTTTGGCGTCCCAGAAGTGGCTGCTAAACCTTCTCCAAAAGTGAACCCAGAGCCATTTTCTCACTTGAACCGAATCCGGTGATAAAGAAAAAGACTTTAGGAGGTGGTAGTCAATGTCCCTTGAGTCTTTAACTCTGCCAGTTGGTCCAGTTGTAGTTTCTTCAAAACAAGCTTCAAATTATCACAAGGTAGTTTAGTGTTCAACTATTCATACTAATGATTCTACTCAAGTGTTTTGCCCTAGCAAATCTGCCGTATGGTTCATGTTTTGCTTTGAACAGGTGAGGTTGAGGGAGACAGTGGGTGGATACTTTTTTATAATCTTTGCTTCTGATCCATTCCAGAATCACGGGTTGTTGTAGATAAACTTTTTGAGAGTGTTCAATCTCCTAACTTGTGTATAGTATTCAACTTCGTAGTGAAATTGTTTCCTCACCTTCGTCCGTGGATGTAGGCTTAAAAAGCTGAACCACATAAATTTTTTGCGTTTTTATTTATTTATTTATTTTTATTTTGTTTATTCAGCAATAAGAATTGATTAGATTTACGAATAACATAGAAGAAAGCTTCCCATTGAAAAGAAAATATCAAATAAGTTTGTAAAACCATTGTTCTATTTTCCTTTGAGAAAAAATTACAAAATATTTCAGAGAAAAAGAGAAAGGGATTAAAGAAGCAACATAATTTTGAGTAAAATAATATTTTGAGAGAAAAAGAGAAAGGGACAGACAGTTAAAGATTAGAGAAATTAATTGGGATAAAATTAATAAAAATTATTTTGCTTAATAATTAATGGAAAAAAACAATGACGACTTGGGAGTTTGGGAGTAAATCAGGCTTGCAGCATAAAAGAAGGAAAAAAAAATGTATTTGGTTCTACATTGTGACTTGAAATTTCAGAGTCTCCATTTTCATATCTTCTTTAGGTTTAGGTGTTAGTGTATAGAGGGTTTAGGGTCAGGGTTCATTTTTGTGTTGAAACTGCTTCTGCAAATGTGGCTGTTTAGAAGGAAAGCAGCGTCTGGGTTCTCAGCTTCTTCTACGGCTGAGGAAGTTACTCAAGGAATTGTTGGCACTGGCCTAACCGCCATCGTCACAGGTCTTTCTGTTTTATTTTAATCTCACCCAAAGAAACAACAGAAGTTGATAGGAAATGGGTTTAATACTTTCATTTTTTTATGCATTCCGGGTAATGATGAACCAATTGGTTAATATGCCCAGTATAGAAATTTTCTGTATTAATGCTATATTTGCAAATAGTTACCAACATAAAGACATAATATTGCAAATTTGCGCTGAAAAAGGACGTGAAAGAAAGACAAAATTGCAAAGCTTTTTCATATGGCAGTTGTTGTTTTCAGGGGCTTCAAGTGGTATTGGCACTGACACTGCACGTGTACTTGCGCTGCGAGGTGTCCATGTAGTTATGGGGGTCAGGAACTTGACTGCTGGCAGGGAAGTTCAACAAACATTAGTTAAGCAAAACCCCACTGCAAAAATTGCTGCAATGGAAGTAGACCTGAGTTCAATGGCATCAGTGAGTAAATTTGCTGCTGATTTCAAGTCCTCCGGTCTTCCCCTGAACATCCTCATGTAAGTGTAACAGGATAACTGACTCTCTATCTTATTAATAAAATAGTTTCAGCCTCATGTAATTAGTTTTAGACCAATCAAAAGGTATGGGTCTTAATTTTTTTTTTTTACATAAAACCCTAACTACTTAATAAAAAAAGAAAAATTATTTTAAGGTGGTATCGCAAACCAAGAAAAGAAAAAAGAAAAGCCAAAAAAATAGAAAAAAAATGGAGAAAGGATGTTGGTTGAACGAAGTCGATCCGTAATCCGATTGAACTGAAATTTTATCAACAGATTTATGATTCAGAGTTTTATATTTTGAACGGTGAAGATCGAGTTTGAAGCTTTTTAGAAACAAAATCAAAGTTTATTTATTGAGTCACCTATTTGGTAAGATTTTTTCAATTATTTCTCTCAAGTTGTTGATTAGCTATAGTTTTAGCTAGAGAAGAACTTTGTATATCTATTATTTGATAGTAGAGATTTTTCTGGTGGTCCGTGATTTTTTCCTCCACACTTAAGGGTTTTTTATGTAAATCTTGATGTGCTTTATTTTTTCTGCTTTGTTGATTGTTGATTGTTGATTGTTGTCTATTACTGTGGATTTATTGCTATATATTGCTTTTGCATTGTTGTGTTTATTGGTTTACGCCCAACAAGTGGTATAAGAGTAAGGATTATTTTTGAGACATTGATACAGAAGCAACTTAAGACAAAAGTAAATTCTATTTGAGATCATGGAGGGTGATATAGGTTCCATGATAAAATTGACATATCAAATTATTTAATTTGAAACCTATAATAGAAGATCATTTATACTGTAAAGATTTGTATAAGTCGATATTAGGTGATTTGACTAAACCAGTAAATATGAAAGATGAAAACTAAAAGAAACTAGGCAAAAAGACGCTGGCTACAATTAGAAAATAGGTTGATATCAGCGTGTTCCATCATGTAGCGTAGGAGGCAGATGCTCACACTATTTGAAAAAAATTGGTAGCATTGTATAAGAGAAAAATAGGTATGAATAAAGTTATCTTTGTTAAAAAGCTTACAACTTTACAGCATAGGGATGGGAGATCGATTATAGAGCACTTGAGTGATTTTCAAGACATATTTAATCGAATGACTACTATAGAGCTTAAGATGAACGATGAAATGAATGCATTGTTTCTTTTGGGTTCATTGCCATACAGCTAGAATACTCTAGTTGTGATTATTCTTAATTCAATTATAGATTACAATGTGATATAGGAGATGGTAAATGATAGTATGCTTAATAAAGAAACAAGGTGAAAAAATATAGACCTTAAAAATCAAGCTCTGGTCACAGAGAATAGGGGTAAAAATATCGACAGAGATCAAAACTCAAAAGGTCGTAGTAAGTCTAAACATAGATCCAAGTCCAGAGATAAAGTGAAGTGTTTTCATTGTGGTAAATCAGATCATATAAAATAACATTGTAAAATCTTGAAGCAAGAGTGAAAAGATGAGAAAGGTAAGAGTTCAAATAATGGCAATATTGTAACAGTGAATTCATATAGTGATTCAGTTACTTTGATTTGTACACATGGTGATTGTAATCATGTTAGTGATCCCAACATTGAATGGATAGTTGACATAGGAGTGGCATATCATTATGTTCTTAAGAGAGAGTTGTTTACAACTTACAAAGCAAAAGATTTTGGTTACACCAAGATGGAAAACAAAAATGTGTCGTAGATTGTTGAGATTGGTGATATTGTTGTACAAACTAATATATGTTGCATGTTGACTTTAAGGGATGTTAAACATATTTCGAATATGAGAATAAATTTTCTTACTATTAATGTCCTTGATAAAGAAAGATATGAGAGTCGACAAAAGAATGGGCAGTAAAAACTTCTTAAAAGATCTATGGTAGTTGCAAAGGAAAAACTATATTGTATAATGTATAAGATATGGAAGTAATCGAATGGCAACCAAATAAATATTGTTGAGGATGATGCTTCAACAAACTTGTGGCACAAAAAGCTGGCACACATAAGTGAGAAGGGGTTACAAGTTTTGACAAGACAATCTCTCATTCCTTTGACCAAATGTATGTCTCTCGATTCATATGATTATTATTTGTTTAATAAGCATCATAGAGTTTTTTTTAAGAGTTTTTAGAGAAAAAAAAATAGATTGGAATTAATTTATTCTGACGTATGTGATCCCATTGAGGTTGAGTCATTATGTGATAGCATGTATTTTATTACTTTTATTAATAATGTTTCATGTAAGACTTTGGTGTATATGTTGAAAAACAAAGGTTAGGTATTGCAATATTTTTTAAAATTTAATGGCATAGTGGAAAGGATAATAGGGTTACCCTTAAAGTGTATTTGGACTGATAATGGTGGAGAAAATAGATCTAAATACTTTGAAGAGTACTGTTCAAAGCATGAGATCAAATATGAGATGACAGAACGTGAAACACCATAGCATAATGGTGTAGCTGAAAAGATGAACTGCACCATTGTGAAAAAAGTCAAATGTATGTTGAGGATGACAAAATTACCAAAGCCATTTTAGGGTGAAGCAATCAATACAGCTTGTTATTTGCTTAACAGATCACCATTAGTTCCTTTGGGCTTTGACATTCCAGAAAAAGTGTGGACAAGAAAATATGCTTCATATTCTTAATTGAAAGTTTTCGAATGTAAAGTATTCATGCATGTGCCGAAAGAACAGAGGTCAAAGCTTGATAATAAAGCTACACAGTGTGTATTTGTAGGATATGATGATGAAAAATTTGGTTATAGGGCATGTGATCCAGTGAAAAGAAAGACAATTAGAAATAGAAATGTAATCTTTCATGAAAAAGAAACTATACCAGACCTTAAAAAAAATGAGAAGACTATATAGGATACTGTTGAGTGTGATGTTTCAATACTGACAATGGTTCCACAGGAAAGAGCCACAGATGGTAAAAATGAGCAAAAAATAAAACTTGGAGATATGAATAAGCTAGCCATAGTTAGTGATGAGCCAGATACAATCAGTTTTAAGTAGGGAGAGCAATCTTCTCCATTAGAGAGTGTTGAATAATAAGAGCTATCTTCGGCATCAGGTAATGTAGAGTCTCAGCCTAAGAGATCTACTAGAGAGCGTATGCCATCCACCAGGTATTCAAGTTCAGATTTTATTTTAGTTACCAACGAAAGGGAGCCAGAGAGTTTTCAAGATATGCAGGTTATTCCAGATAAAGAGCACTAGTTAAAAGCAATGAAAGAAGAGATGGAGTCATTACAAAAAAATGATATTTATAATCTTGTTAAACTTTTAAAAGAGAAATGGTCGTTGAAAAATAAATGGATGTTCAAGTTTTAAAAAAATGGTGACAAGCTAGTGAGGTACAAAATTCGATTGGTGATGAAAAATTTTTCTCAAAAATCAAACATCGATTTTTGATAAGATTTTTTCTTCAATTGTGAATATGAGTTCCATTCAAGTGGTACTAGGTTTAGCAGCTAGTTTGCATCTTAAGCTTGAGCACTTGATATCAAAATTGCATTCTTGCATGGTGACTTGCAAGAGGACATTTTTATAAATTAGCTTGAGGGTTTTGAAGTGAAAGGGAAAGAGCATTTAGTTTGTAAACTGAAAAAGAGGTTGTATGGCTTGAAACCAACTCTGCGATAGTGGTACAAAAAGTTTGATTCTTTTATAGTAAACCATAGCTATAAAAGTATGGTAACGGATCTTTGTGTGTATATCAAAAAATTTTCTGATGGTAACTTCATTATTCTCTTATTATATGTTGATGATATGTTGATTGTGGGATAAGATACTGGTATAGTTTGCAGGATGAAAAAATAATTGTCTAAGTCTTTTGACATGAAGAATTTAGGTCCAACAAAGTAAATTCTTAGTATAGACATTATTTGGGATAAGAGAGCTGAAAAGCTATGGTTGTTACAGGAAAAATATGTTAAACAGGTGTTTAGTAGATTCAACATGCAACATACAAAATCAGTTAGCAGTCCACTTACCAATCATTTTCATCTAAGTAAAAAATCTTATTCGATGTTTAAGAAAGAGTAATTAGTTATGTCTAGTATTCCTTATTCTTCTATAATCGATTCTTTAATGTATCTTATGATTTTGTATACGTATGACATTGCTCATGCAGTTGGTGTAGTAAGTAGATTTCTTTTTAATTTGAAAAAGATTCATTGAAAAGTAGTGAAATAGATTTTTAGATATTTGAGATGCATCTAAAAAATATGCTTGAGTTATAAAATTTTACAACCAGTTCTAGAAGGGTTCATTAATGCTGATATGGTAGGTAATCTTAATGGTAAGAAATCTATTTCATGGTATTTATTCACTTTTACAAAAAGAGCTATGTCTTGGCAGTTTAAGTTACTAAAGTGTATTATTTTGTCAACTACAGAGGCTGAATATATTGTAACAATCAAAGCAGGTAAAAAATCTTTTGGATGAAACATCTTTTTCTTAAATTGAGGTTGAATTAGAAAGAGTATATAGTGTTTTGTGATAGCCAAAGTACTTTAGATTTGAGTAAAAATGCCATGTAACATGCTTGAACAAAGCACATTGATGTTAGATATCACTGGTTACGTTCAATGACTGAAGAATAGCAAATGCTATTGAAGAAAGTTTATACTAATGAGAATGTAGCAAATATGTTGACTAAGATACTTTTCAAAAAACAGCTTGAGCTCTACAATAACTTGGTCAAAATGAGTTCTTTGGCCAATGTAAGTTCCAAATGAAATTGCTATAGTGATGAATCTCCTCCTAATAGAGCTAAAGGGGAAAATTGTTAGAAAAATAAGGTTCAACCCCATGTAATTGATTTTAGACCAATCAAAGGCCATAGTCCTTGGTCTTTCTTTTTACATAAAGCCTTTAATAAAAAGAGATAGAGCTGTTTTAATGTGATGTCACAAATCAAGAAAAGAAAGAAAAAAAAGGCCAAAAAAATAGAAAGAAAGAAAGAAAGAAGGGAGAGTTGGTTGAACAAAAGTTGATTTGCGGTTTGATAGAGCTAAAATTTTATCAGTAGGTTTATGATTTAGAGTTTTACATTCTGAATAGTGAAGATTGGGTTTGAAACTCTTTAGGAACAAAGCCAAGGTATATTTGTTGAATCACCTATTTGGTGAGATTTCTCTAATTGTCTCTTTCTAGTTGTTGATTACCTCTAGTTTTAGCTAGAGAAAAACTTTGTATATCCATTATTTGATAGTGAAGATTTTTTTATTGGTCCATGATTTTTTTCTCTCTATATTGGAGGGTTTTTCATATAAATCTTAGTGTGCTTTTATTTTTCTTGCATTATTGATTGTTAATTGTTGTCTATTACTGTAGGTTTATTACAATATATTGCTTTTGCATTGTTGTATTTATTGCTTCAGGCCTAACATATCTCTCCCATCTTTCATGTATACTTATGTACATGCATTGCTTCAAAGCTTGCTTTTGTTTATATTTTAGCTATACGACAAAATGCTAATGTTTTGTATCTTTGAAATAAATGATTTGTTATTATGATAAAAAGTTACTTTTTAAGTAACAATGCAAGAATCATGGCTATGCCATTCATGCTTTCAAAAGATGGCATAAAATTACAATTCGTGACAAATCACATAGGTAATATGACATTGATTATGTAAGGTTTTAGGAAAAGAGACAAGATATGTTTAGATGTCAACTTGATTGTTGAAATTTCAAAAGCTATACAAAGATGATTTGAACTATAAACAAGAGAGAAGGAAAGAAGTGAAAAAAAAAAGGAGTTAAGAAAAATATTTTCCCTTATAATGAGAATGGAAAGAGCATATAAATTGTTATCTTTTTGTGTAGACATTCAGCCAAGATTATATTTTTTACAAGAGTCTATTTCTTTTTGCAGCACACTTTCTCCTAACAAATCTATTGTTGGAAACCATGAAGAAATCAGCACATGAAAGTAAGATAGAAGGAAGAATTGTAAATGTCTCATCCCACCGTCACAAATTCTCATATCTCGAAGGGATTCGATTTGACAAAATCAATGATCAATCAGGTTAATACCATTTGTGTGCATTTAATAATTAAATCATAACTAAATTACATAATGAAAGCTTTTTTGTTTGTCATAATTACTTTTTTGTGAACTTGACATTTATAGTACAATAGTTTATCTACATATAGTCAGTTAAAACTTGCCAATATCTTGCATGCTAATGAACTTGCAAGATGTTTAAAGGTGCCTTATTTTTTGAAAGACGCTTATTACATCAGTAACTATCTTTTAATAATTTAACAAATTTTTTTGGAATTATTAATTTGAAATCTTTATATTCTTTCTCAACTAAAATGATTTGGCTTTACTTTTTGGGGCATTTGTTCATTTTTGGCCTATAGAAGGGATTATCTCAATTCATATCTTTACATTTAAACAATGATCTTGCAAACCAAAATGATGTTATGATTGTGCTTATGCAATGGAATTTAATCTGAAAAATCGATTCCTAACCAGATTTGATTAGGTGTCATTCATTTAGTATTTTAATTATTTCTTAAATAAAAGAAATTTGTTTTATTAACCAAATTCCTACTTGGTAGTTTTCATTTATTATTAGAGAATTTTTAGGTGATTTGTTATTATCTCTAAAATATTATACGATTTGCCAGACTTGATGTTTTAGCTATATATACAATCTTGTACTCTAAAAAGTTTCTTAAGAATTCATAAATAAAATTCTCATGAATTTCTTCATGGTATCAGAGTATTCATTTTGAACTATCGAAACCTATATATCTATATATATATATTTTTTTCTTTTCTATTCACACCATGGCCAATAGTACAAGTGTGTCCAAGCCCCATACTTTACCTATCACTGATCATAAACTTAATGGATAAAACTTTATCCAATGGTCTAAATCAGTTATGATGTTTGTTTGTGGAAAAGGCAATAAGGATTATCTCATGGGAATGGTTGCTTCACCTAGCGAACCTGAAGTACTAAACCTGAAAGTTTAAGATTAGCATGGTAATGTTGTGGTTGATCAATTTTATGACTAATGAGATTAGTGAGAATTTCACAAACTACAAAACTGTCAAAGAGATTTGAGATGTAGTAAAAGAAACATACTTCAATATAGACAATATGTTTGTATTATTTGAGATCAAAGCACTCTATATGATTTGTTGTAAGTAGACTTCTCTATCACAGAATATTTTAATTCTTTTACTCGTTATTGGCAATAATTAGATATCTTTAAAAAAAATAGCATGGAAGTGCCCTAATGATAACCAATAATACAAGAAAATAGTGAAGAAGGACTGAGTTTATAAGTTTCTACTTGGTCTAAACAATAATAGCCTTGATAATGTTTGAGGGAGAATTCTTAGCATCAAGCCATTACCCAACATTCGAGAAGTTTTCTCTGAGGTCTGCTAAGAATAGAGTAGAAGAAAAGTGATGCTATGGACAACATGCAATCCATAAGTGACAAAAAATTTAGCCCTTACTGCACGAGGATCAAAATGTTACCAAGGTGGTGAAAATTAAAAGAAGAAAGATAATAGACATTGGCATGACCATTGTCAGAAGGCATGACACACATGAAAAATTTTTGGCAAATCCATAGGAAACTTACTGACTACAAACTGCGTTATACTCAAAATCGATAGAGTTATGAAAATTTTACCACCATCAAGACAACTCCAACATCCCCGAAATCAAGCTCATTCAATAAAGAGCAGTTGAAACTCCTTCAAAAAATTGTTCAGCAATCTTTTCAGAATATTGGATCGATTATAAGCACAATATTTATTGCACAAAAAGGCAACTCTCTCAATGCTTTACTTATGTAAAGTGAAAAATCAAGATATTAGATTGTTGATTCAGGCATATCAAACCACATGACTAGTGATACATCGGTGTTCCATAAATACAGCTCATGTTCTGAAAACCTTATAGTTCAAATAGTATATGGGTTATTTTCTTCGGTAGCCAGGATAGGTTTAGTCATTATTTCAAAAGGCATAATAATTGACTTTTTTCTTTATGTTTCTAATTTAGATTAAACCTTCTATCTATTAGTAAAATTACGAGAGATCTTAATCGTGTTAGTAAATTTCTTTCTAACATTTGTGAATTTCAAGGCTTGGATTCGAGGAAGAAGATTGGCGATGCTAGGATGTGTGCTAGACTCTTTTTCCTTAAAGATGAAGAATCTATGAGATAATCATGGAAGAGTGCTTGTTCGGTTCATCTTCTAATAAGAGTAAAGAAAATACAATCACGTTATGGCACTATCGTTTAGGATATCCAAATTTTTTGTACCTAAAAAAATTTTTCCCTGATTTATTCAATAAAAGTTTTGAGTCTTATCAATGTGAAACACACTCGTAATTCATATCCAAGTCAACCATACAAATCAATTTATTCTTTTTCTATGATCCATAGTGATGTTTAGGGACCATCGAAGGTTAATAATATAATAGGCTCTAGATGGTTTGTTACCTTCATTGATGATCACACCAGAGTTACATGGCTGTTCCTCATGAAAAACAAGTCAAAGGTTAGTTCAATATTTCAAAATTTCAATAAGATGGTGCAAACTCAATTTTAAGCAAAAATTTAGATGCTTAAAATAGATAATGAGCGAGAATACTATCACTTAGTTCTTAGATCTTATTTGTTAGATCAAGGAATTATTCATTAGGAAAAATGGATATTTGATGGAAGTTGCAAGATCTATTATGCTAGCCTCTCATGTCTCAAAACATTTCTAGGAAAAGAAAATCCTGATAGCAGCTTTTTTTATCAATATGATGCCTTTTCGAGTATTAAAATTTCAAACTCCCTATCAAACACTTCTCAAAACCTACCTTCATGTCCAAATCATTTTTTCCATATCAGTTAAAATGTTTGGATGTACTACCTTTGTTCATATACACCAACAATAACGTAGTAAACTAGACCCTATATTATTCAGATGTATATTTATTGGCTACTCACCTAACTAAAAAGGCTACAAATGTTATTCACCAACTACCAGAAAGTTTTACACTTCTATGAATGTTGCCTTTTTTGAGAATTTACCATTCTATCCTAAAGTCGATATTCAGAGGGAAAGTTCTAAAAAATATCAACTTTGAGAGATTGAGCCATCATCCGATCCTTCCTCTACTTGTTTGCCAACTCAAATTCCCATTTCAAATAATTCTTCTTCTTCTTTTTCCTAGTCAACTAGTGATCCCAACTCTCCAAAATCTCCTAAAATCGTGCAAGAGACAAAAGCTAAGGAAATGATTGTATACTCAAAGAGATTGAAATCTCAAAAGGACATAGTGAAGTACACAGAACCAAGATTTTGAACCAAATCCATGAATTTTTGAAATTCATACAGGTAACACAATTATTGAACCTATCTCTATTGATTTTTCTAGTGATTTTCATCAATCCATTACTATAAGAAAAGGTGTGAGATCATGTACTTAGCACCCTATTAGTAGCTTTATTTTTTTTGAAGGGTTGTTTCCTACTTACTGAGCACTGGTACTTCATTAACTGATGTTCATATACTAAATACCATCCAAGAAATGCTTGAACAATCAAAGTGGAAGGCTGCAATAATGGAAAAAATGCAAGCATTAGAAAAGAATGGCACATGAAAAATTACTAATCTTCTTGGAAGAAAGAGCCCATTGGAATGTAAGTGAATTTTTACCATCAAACACAATACAGACAGAAGTGTAAACAAATTCAAAGCTCGTCTTGTGGTTAAGGGGTTCACTCAATCTTACGAGATTGATTATGAAGAGAGCTCCCAAAGTAAAACTAAATTTTGTCCATGTGTTACTATCATTTACTACAAACCTAGATTGGCCTCTTCACCAACTCGATATCAAAAATGCATTTATGAATGGTGATATAGTGAAAAGGGTCTACATGAAAATTCCTCCAAGGTTTGACAACCAAACAACATTGGTAAAGAGTGTAAGCTTCAGAAATCCTTATATGGCCTCAAACAATCTCCTCGCACCTGGTTTGATCATTTGACTAAGACTGTTAAAAAGAATGGGTTCTTATAATGCCAATCTGACCACACTATGTCAAATATTTACCAAATAGCAAGATTGCTATTATGATTATTTATGTTGACGGTATTGTCTTCATAAGAGATTATAAAGAAGCAATAGTTGGATTGAAGACTCTTCTAGCTAAAGAGTTTGAAATAAAGGACTTAGGACAGCTTTGATTTTTTCTTGGCATGGAAATAGCTTAATCAAGAAAATGGTATTTTTGTTTCACAATGAAAATATGTACTTGATCTTCTCAAAGAGACAAGAATGCTTGGGTGTAAACCAATGGATACTTTGATGGACCCAAATGTCAAGATGGGAACAAGAGATGGAAGTCCTCTTACAAACCAAAATAAATACTAGAGATTTATGGAAAATTAATTTATTTGGCGCATACTAGACTTGACATTGTCTTCTCTGTAAGTATGGTAAGCATATTTATAATCCTACAAAGAGACACATGGAGGCAGTATATCGAATCTTTCAATACTTGAAAAAAAAATTTGGGCAAAGGGTTGCACTTTAGAAAAACACTAAATAAAGAAAAAAAAAATTTCTCATATGCAGATTGGGTTAGTTCTTTGACAAATCGTCAACTATAGGGTATTGTACATATGTGTGAGCTAACTTGGTTACCTGTAAGAGCAAAAAACAAGTAGTGGTAGTTAGAAGTAGTACTGAAGCTGAATTTAGGGCTATGTTTCACGGGAATTTGTGAAGGAATTTGGCTTGAGAGAATGCTATAGGAACTGAAAAAGTCAACTAGGAATTTAATGAAACTATTTTGTGATAATAAAATAGTTATTAACATTGCCAAGAACCTTGTTCATTATGATCAAACGAAACATGTAACATAATTAGTCTACACTCTAACAGAACATCAGATAGCTGACATCCTTACCAAGGCTTTTCATCATGGTAATTTTGAGAATTTGAAGTCCAAGTTGCGTATGATTAATATCTACCACCAAACTTGAGGGGGAGGGTAGAAAACTAATTCCTAACCAAATTTGATTATGTGTCATTCATTTAGTATTTTAATTGTTTCCTAAATAAAAGAGATTTGGCTCATTGACCATAATTTTCATTTATTGTTAGAGGATTTTTAGGTGATTTGTTATTGTTTTTAGGATATCATAAAATTTGTCAGATTTAATGTTTTAAATCTATTGCACTCTAGATTATACACTATTTTAATAAGGGTAATGTTTTAAATCTATCATATATTATTGTACTCTAGAAAATTTTTTAAGAATTCATAAATAAAATTATCATGAATTTCTTATAATAGTTAGGGGTGGTTGAATGAGGTCCAGAAATTAGTGTTATTTCATTAGCTACCTAGGACTTTCTCACACTTTTGACTAGCCAATGTAGGCAGAAGAATGTCAAACAATGGAACTGATTATAGAAACTTATGATAGTCATGCTAACTTTAACTGATTTTGATGGTATTTTCGCTAAACAGGAAGATCAAGTGACCATAACTGGAAATTCACTTCACCCTGGTGCGATTGCAACCAACATTTTTTGCCATCACAGCCTCATTAGTGGTATTGAATTACTTGTGTGTTTATCTTCTAGAATTTTCCATAATAAAAATAGATGACTAAAATCTGTAAAATCCATGTGCTTGATATGAATACTTTCATAATAGGACAACATCTATGCTTTTCTACATCCACGGTCTCTCTTTTTCATCTCTTGTATCATTATGTGCTAAGGGTAATGATTGTCAAGGGAACACAACTCTTTTTTCTTTTTCTCAAAACTGGAAAGGTGAACTCCAGTATAAGCATACTCAAAGAGCTTGTTATCAAGAACTATGTTCTATGCTACAATGTTTGGTATTGCTGGTGAGACCAGTCCTCGAAGTTTAGTGACAAAGCTAGTATTTCTTGTAGTTGAGATGCTTTCAGTTTTATCAGCATGTACTCTGCATTTTGATTAATGAATTTTTTTGTTCAATTACCAAAGAAAAAGAGACTATTATTCTTTTTTCTGGTTCTGATGCAGGTCTTGTTGGTGTTTTTGGTAAATACGTCAATAAAAATGTAGAGCAGGTATAAACTGTTACAGATTTTACTCCCATGTTGAATTTCTACACAAAATTATTACCATATGTTTGGTACAAAGCTAGAGTGAGTCTTGATTATGTTCGCTTAATAGTTCAATTGAGGTGGTTTCAGGGGGCAGCAACTACATGCTATGTTGCATTGCATCCCCAAGTTGAGGGAAAGACTGGCCTCTATTTTGTCGATAGAAATGTAGCTGAAACAAGCGTACAAGTTAGTGATAGTGAGTTGGCAAGGATGCTGTGCGATTTTAGCTCGAGTTTGGTCAATATTTATCTTCATAGAGTTCAATGAAAATCATGCTCCTCCAAGACGTTGTAACAATTTAATAGCTGCTTGTCCTTTCGGACAGATTTCACAAAGGAAAGTCTAATTACTAATGATTTGCTGCATCCCAATCCCTTCTCAAATCTACATAATTCATAGAGAATCCACAAGGATTCATTGCCAGAAATCCAACCTGAATAAAGCCTGCAAAAATATTTAAAAATATTTAAAGCCTTCGAACACATTATTTGTGAATCTCTTTTAACATTTACTCCAACATTTCATTCAAAAACAAGTTGATGCCAGATAACCACTAAAGATCTAAGATGCAGGACCACGGAATTAGATTTCTTCAATTTACTAAAATGGTAATGTACGTACAATAAATCAGGTAGAGCAGAACATAACAATTACAATAGAGCTGTGGCATATACCATCACGACTAAAGCTAGGCATATGCTCAGCAATCCTGTTACTGCTTCATAACAAAACTTGGAATTCCCATTCAGCTATTCAACATCGGTACAACTGTGTCAAACCTGACCAAATAACTGCAAGAAAGCTAATGATTGGCCAACTTAGCTCTTCCCCCTTTATGATGAGCTTAAAGAATATAAAATTCTTGCAGCCAAGACTTTTGGCCATACTCAAGTAATTTAATACATCATATAATCAGAAGCCCGCCAACAAACTTTTCACCACCACAATTCAGTCAAGCATTAGTTGATTTACACACTCAACTCTGTACAGATTCATTCCGCGCCAAATTATATAACCACTTATAACAGAAATATTCTTATTTTCCACTAATAGTTTCACCTGAATAAATGGTCTATTGAACATCTAACTGGAATCGATTTGTCCATAGCTTTATCAATCACAACTCATTGAGCCTAAACCTGATCCATTGCAAATGACCAATCAGTCAACAGCCACCTCACCACCCTGCACTTCAACCTTATTCCTCAAATTTCTGTTCTGGTTCCATATTGAACGATTTGCTTCCTTAGACAGTAAAAGTGATGAATACAAATTGATCCCATCAGACCCGAAAGACATTCTGCTCAGTGAGTCTTCAGAATTGCATTTAGATAATATCACTCCAATTGGGTGAAGGAGAGCTGGGACTTAGATCCAGGGATGGGCTCATCATTGCATGATCCTTCAGAAGCTGTCGAGAAACACGATCAGCTAATACAGACTGTCCATCATAAGATTCCCCATGAACCGATCTTCCAATTCCTAAAACATCATTTTCTGATGGCACCAGTTCAGAAAAGATATGAGAACCTGGTTGCAATCCTCGAAAAATGTCAAGATTTGTATCGTGATAAGAGGAGCCACTGACATAAAGACCATTTGAGGGCTTTGGAATGCTTCCAAAACCCTCTTGCATGTACGCTGATTGTTTCAGATAACCAAAAGGTATAGCCCCACTGCCACCTGTCAAAGGTGTAGATGAGCCTGAAGTAGTCCGCGGGCTAGATATGGGAGAAGGAGACATTCTTCCATTCAGATGTTGCGGTGACCTTGAATGCAAAAGAGGGCTTCCTATGGGTGAAACAGGGCAAGATACATTCCTTGGAATATTGATATCACTGCATAACAGGGAATTAAAATGAGACTCAGAAACATACTGTAATGACAATTACCATTTTTACTGTCTGTATTTGTGCGTGCGTGTGTCTCTGTGTGTGTGTATGTAAGAGAGAAAGAAAGAGAGACCTAGCCTGCAGTTTTGAAACTCTGGATGAATGAACAGCAAGTTGCTCTGAATCCAAGGAGGAGTAGTTTCTTGCTTGCCCAATGCCCTGATATGCCAGCAAGCCAGAGCAACAGTTAAAGATTGGTAACATGTGAACATTCATGAATTAAACATGCATAACAAACTTAGGCCAAAAAGACAAACAGGCATAACAAAACACTTAAAAATCTTCAACAAGGCAAAGATCAAATGAGAAACTACTCAGTCAGTAAACTGGTCTCTGCCAATTGTTGAGTATTATAGTTACAAGACACAACGTAACTAAGACTTGGAGCAGATCGAGCAGCATTGCTTGCACCAATACTAATTAAAAACACTTTCTATCGAGTTAATAAGCATGTTTGCATCATCACTGCAATCATTTTCGTTCTCAAAGCCTTATCAGAACAACTTATTCAGAATTTTAGGGTACTCAGATATTTTGCTTATGAGCCCCTTTTACGCAACTTTTCCATCATAAGAGTTTCAAAATAATTATCCCATTTTTATCACTTTTATCCTTAACAAATCCACATGCAAAATGCTGATTGTATAAAGCTAGGAAATAAGTTGGCCGTGTCATCCAACCCTTTTCTCTATTGTGAGCCAAAATTACATACGGGGATATTGGGGAACCAAATTAGGCATATCTACACTTTTCTATGTCATCCAACCTTTTCTCTGTTGTGAGCCAAAATTACATACAGGGATATTGGGGAACCAAATTAGGCATATTTACACTTTTCTATGTCATCATGGGTTGTTTACTTACAGCCACAGGTGGGGTACTAATGGTCCATGCCACACCCTGGTAGCCTAGGCATGGCAAGACCTTGATTTAGTCCTTGTAATTATTTCTTTCTTTGGGTTTTGCCCCCCTCTGCACCCCTCTCCACCCACCACAACAAAAAACAAGAAATAAGAAAAAGTGCACTAAGAATGTCAAAACCATGTCATACCGTTAGTTCTCATCCACCATTCAGAACGAAAACTTGAAAAGTTATCATGCATTCAGAATAAATTACTCAAGTTGAATTAAGTGACTGGCTAACCTCCCCTGCACTAGTGCAGTATTATTTAAGTATGGAAATTACAAAAAGGAAGATGTGACCCATTTAACATTTATATAGAAATTTATTTCATCCCCTTAAGGAACTGCTGAAGGTAATGAATGCAACAATATAGGGCAGGCTCACAACCATTATGGATTAGATAAAGCAATATGAATAAGAAAAATACCAGAGCTTTCACCCCATTTGTCACAACAGGGGTTGGACCTGAGGGCTCAAGATCCAGAATAGGCCTTTCCAAAGGTGCAGCATACTTTACAAATGGGTGATCTAAAAGCTGAACTGCTGTAGGACGATGTAGTGGGTTGCGTTGCAAACACTGCCGCACAAAATCTTTTCCTTCATCTGAGAGGTAATCTGGAATAGGTGGAAGTTCCTTGCTATTTCCAATCTTGAACATAGCCGCAACCTGACATGCAAATATCATACAATAAGGAGAAACAAATTTAATTGAAAATTTGTAATCGGAAGCTTGTCTGAAAAAAGATATCATCAAAGACAAATTAAACAGCTTTGAAATTTAAAATCTTTCTATTCTTTTAACTGACCCCTTCATATTGACTCCAAGGAGGTTTTGTTGTAGCCATTTCCAAAACAGTGCATCCAAGACTCCATATATCCACAGCAAGGTTGCAACCGCTTGAGTTCCTTATAACCTGGGAAAATAATAGAACAAAAAATTGAGATGTATTAAAAAGAAGATTTCTCAATTGAAGAAAGCTCAAACCAGGTGAACTATGTCATTTTCCCCTTTGTGATGGATAAACAAGAACTTGAAATAAACCTTTAAACCAAAGAGAAAAATAAGTCTAACCTCAGGGGCCAGCCAGTAAGGGCTTCCTTTAAGCGAAAGTGGACATGACTGCCCTGCAATCTGCAAGGCGTACATTATTGCAAGGCGTACATTATATAAGTAGGATATAACATCACAGAAGAAGTCTAATCATTGAATAATACTGCAGATTAAATACGTCATAACTTAATCTTCACAAGCTTGGGCTAGCTCCAATTTAATCTGATTAAGTTCATTTAAAACAAAATGATTATGCCTAGACTTACATGCTTTGCCATCCCAAAGTCTGCCAACTTAACACGACCATTAGGGTCTACCAGTATGTTTGCTCCTTTAATATCTCTGTACAAGAAATATAGGATGGTAAGATGAACGTTATTTTCCTTGATGCAAATATTAGCAGACAGATGCCATGACGTTATAGTTCTAAAATATCAGATAAGGAATAGATAACCTAACTCACCTATGGACAGTAGACTTAGAATGTAGGTAGGCAAGGCCAGACAAAATCTGTTGAGTATAACTGCGAATTGCTAGTTCACCAAGCTGCCCATACTCCTGGAGGAGTTTATAAATAGACCCACCAGATACATACTCAAGGTATATGTATAGTCTGTCATCTACCTGTTCAAGAATTATCCCAAAGTTCTGTAAGTGAAGCATAATATTAATTTGCCCCTATCTTTTTCTTTTATTTTTCTGAGAAATTGGTTATCAAGTTATAGTCTTTTGTAGTTAGGCAAGTCAAGTGGCCATAAATATAGTTCCCAAAAGTTTCTTAACATTATATGATTCACAATTTCTTGATATATAAAAGAATAACTCTTTTGACAGAATCCATTGGTCAATGGAACTTCCTAATATATTAATAACAATTTTAAATAACCATAATAGATAAGATGTCAAGGCCAACAGATTGTCAGACATAGGACACACCTTTTCGGACCCATAGTATTGCACAATGTTTGGATGCCACAAGCGGCTCAATAAAGCAATTTCCTGTCAGAGCAATGAAATACAAATTTCTTTCATAGCTATAGCCAAGTTAAAGCATAACAAGGAACACATTATTTTCTTTTGGCATCATCTGGACAAATTAGACTTCTTAATATGATGGAAAAACAGCTTACCTGCATCAACTGCTTAGTGCTTTCTTTTGACTTGGCATCATCAGAAAATAACGTAACCTCCTTCATTGCACACATCTCACCACTTTCACTGATGAATATTGAAAATAAAATCACATATAGACAAAGTAACAAACCCATTAACCGACAAATATTTGAAAAGAGCAAGCAAGCATAAATCCCCAGATGCCCACTAGTTTAATCAATCATGTAAGATACTGCAAGAAGCACATGTAATAGATAAAACAGAATAAACACTGAAACATCAGTCCCAATTACTTGGCTCAAAGAAGGACTAGCATAAGGCATAAACCATTTGGCAATAGATGTCAATTTCTCAGTGTAAAAGACTTGGGAAGTTAAACAACTATTTCTTTGGATTATTATACCTGTTAAAACCAACATAAACATGTCCAAATGTGCCTCTACCCAGAAGCTTTCCTTTTTTCCAGCGTGACCCAGGGTTTACAGGATTCTCTGCTCTTCCTGGACTTCGTGGCATGGAGGGAGATGTTGCTACTGAGTTTGAATGGGAGAAAGGAGAAGAATTGGAAATTGTTACGGGAGGAAGGGGCAACCTGTGACTTTGTTGTTTTCCATCATCATGCCAGCTAGTATGTGACTCAGTAACTGTGCCTGCTGATCTAGGATGAATAGGAGTGACAGCACCACTATGAATTCTAGAACTGGGACCAGCACTGGTCATCCTGGGACTAGGTATTGGAGAATACTCAGGGCTGCCCCTACTTTGTTGCCAAAATAGCTGTCCTGAAATATCTCCACCCATTGAATTATGCCCAGAATTGTGACCTGACCCAGGACTGGAGCAATGGCCAGATCCAAGCAAAGTGACATCAGTATAAGTCTTTCCTGTGCAGAAAGGAGAGTTCATTACTTGCTCTGTGCCAAAAGCTCTCATTGGGCTTCTAGAAGGACTTGAAATGTAGCTGTCCGGAGCATTGCTGAAAGCACCATGATGTGGGATCTGTAGATTTGGCACATGATTGCTTAAAGGTCTCCTTTTAGGTGATTTTGGAGAGATACTATTACCAAATGAAATGTTAGCCTGTTTTTTTGCCTCTCTGGAGTTACTTTGGCTGACTGTAGAGGATTGATCCTTGAGCATCAAACTTCAGACAGAAAATAAGTAAAATTTGTCAAAGGATGAGTTTTCAGCAAACAAAAAAGAGAAGCCAGAAGTAAAACATAAAATACTACAATACCATGTTTATACAAGAATAAATCCTCATTCTAGCACCAAGGTTAACAAGAAACAGGCAGGCTCACCTGGAAGAGCTGCTTGCAGCAGTTCTAGTCCCATTTTCATAATCAGTTGCTCGGGGACTACGATGATGCAAGTCAGTGGGATCATCATTTTCAGCAGAGCTCTCACTGGAAACCGAAGCAGTAACATAATCTCCATCGAAGTCATTAGGATTTGGGCTATGATGTATGCATCCAGGTCTTGGGAGAGGCGGAAATAATGATGACTTGGAGCCTTTTTCTGGCCTTGCTTTTGATGATATGCCAATTCCAGAATCTGTACGACCCACAATTGCAGGGTGCAGATCAGGAAGTGGCAGTGGATGAGCAAGAGGCCTTTCGGTAAAACTTTGACACCTAAAACCCGGTTTAGAAGGTGAAGGAGACCTAGATTCTGCTCGAGATTGAGATCCCTTTTCTGAAATTGTGTCATTGCAACGTATTTGTGATACGCCTGACCTACAGTTTGGTTTACCTTCTAATGGAATCTTAAATTTTCGGTGTAAGGTATCAATTAAACTTTCCTTGCTTGTTTTCTTCTTCACGTCTTTGGACGATGACTTTCCCCACCATGAAGGCATTTTTCAAATTTCTAAGATCTAAAGTACTAGTTGGCAAGTTTTTCTAAGGCAAACCATTTCCAAATACCATACTGAACCTATTGAGCTTGACACCAATAAAGGATTTGGTTCTCTAATCCAACACTTGATTCACAATAGAGAAGCTTTGGAAATGTCTGGATTGTGTGCTGGAATCCTATATGCCTCACAACCAACAGCAAATGCTAGAATCTGCAGACAAGAAAAAGAAGTGCAGAGGACAGACCATATACTTAGTTTTCCTCAAAAAACTTTGCATACGTGCTCAACAACCAGCAATATCACAATATCAAGGTCATAGTCCATACTCTATACCACACACAAATTAACTACTTCAGGTACTTGGACAGGAAAATATAACATTTCTTTTTTTCTTTATCTAGGAAAACGAATGCATCTGTTTCAGTTAATGCATGTTTGTCTATCTTATAAACCAATAAATTTCATCACATAGATTGAAACAACATATTAAAAGCATGCCGCAAAGAAACCACGGTATCTCAAATTTCTTGATTAAAGGAATCCACTCCATGGTATGCACGCCATTAAAAATTCAGAACAGATGTTGTTATAAAGCTTAAACCAGCCTTCTTAAACCTCAGTTTCTACTGCCTTCGGCTTTTAGTGTTTCTCAGATAACCCTTTTAGGTCCCCAAAGAACCAGGTTCTCACCGTTTCACTTCATTGAAAACACCGAAACAGGACACAACATTTGACTTCACCAATGTAAAAAAATAACATATTTTGTCTATAACCATAAACAAACTCAAATTCAATCCCTATCTGAAACAAACATCTCCCAAAATCCATATTACAACCCAAAAACACATGGTTGTTAATCTCAAACTTTTTATTGTTTAGACCATGAAATAATGCTTAACTTTTTCTTTTCCCTCCCCAATTTTCTCCGAAACCAAACAAAAGCTACGATCTCAAAACTGCTAAAAGAACGTAAGTTCCTACCAACAGATCTACAAACAAACTGCAACAAACACCGAAATTAACTAAAAACAATAGCTAAAAAATATTGCTAAAAATTAAACAGAAAAAAAAAGAACTTACTTCACATGCTTGGAGCTACGAATCTGAGCTCCAACACACTGATAAATTGACGAAAATCGAGCGAGAATTTGATTTAAATCATCCAACACACTGATTTATATCGCCAGCTAAGAAGCAAAAACCAAAACAAAATTTTAAAAAAAAAACCCTAGAAATCTAAATTGATAGATAGATATATTTCAAAATTTTTAATTCTTTTTTTTTCTTTTAGCTTTTAAGAAATTGTGAGTCTGTTAATGGATCGTGTAGAGACCAAAGAGAGATTGATGGAAATAGAGAGAGGACGCCTGAGTTGAGACTTGGGGTTGTCTGAACGTTGATTTTAGAATATTAATAAAATAAAATTTATTAATTATAAATAAAATAATTAAAAAGCAGGAGAAGCAGTAAATTTCCACGTACAGTCATTTTTTATATTCCTCTTGATCTGATTCCGTCTTTTAACATTTTTTTTCTTTTGTGTAAAAGTTATTTTGGTTTTTTTGAAAAAATAAATTAGAAATTAGAAGCTTTCCTCTTCCTCATTCTTTAGTCGAATTATAAAATGTGTAAATTAATTTAATTTGTAAATTCTTTACCTGTATTTTACTGTTACTTAATTAATTATTTTGAATATTATTATATTTTAATAATCATATAAGCAATATCTTGTTATTCTATCCGTATTTATACATAATTTCAAGATAAATAATTATATTATTATTTAATAAGAATACAAAAATAATTAAATAATATATGTATTATTCTTTACGTTATTCTCCCTTTGTTTCTCTCTCTTCATCTCTTTTTATTCTTTGCTTCTCTCATTTTTATATATTTGATTGATTTTGTTTGCCTTTAATTATTTTTTTAACAAATTTGAACCGCTCCCTACCTCAACTTCTTCTATTCAGCTTTTCCTTCTCCAAAACTAAAAATTACATCCACAAATATTATAATATGAAACTCAATCTATTGTCTTTTTGCAAAAGCTTAACTATCATTTAATCAAATTTGAATTCTTAAGTCATAAAATTTGATAAGTCAAATTTAAGTAATTGGATATTTTGAAATGATAAAATGTCAAGTTGGAATTTTTTTCATTAAAATTTAAACTGAAAAGACAGACGGCTTGATTTCATTTTTGTCGGAGGAAAATAAATTTACATGTGTGGAAAATCAGTCTGATATTCATTAAAACTTTAAACAAATGTATTAACTTTTGTAAGAAAATAAACTATATAATTATGGAATGGTGGGCGGAAAATTTACGTCTCGTTACTATAAAAGAATAATATACGTATTAAACGAGTTTCATTCTTTAAAAAAGTAGAAATAATTTTGATTCCCAAGGTCAATCATTTTTTTTTCTACTTTAGTATATAATAGTACTTGTTTATCTCCACGTTTCCGCGACGAAACTACAGTGACGATACATGGGTTTGGCATATAATTCCAAGCCTTCAATTATTCCTCCGGAAAGACATTTTCGTATCTATCACAAATCATATACTTTGATAGTGATGAACTCAAAATTTTTTTCATAAATCAACCTTTATATAATATATTCTAGATTCGTACCCGCGGCGAGAGTTATTTAAAATATATATAATATATTTATTTCTTAAATAACTATAATTTATTATAAATTTAAAATTTAAACAATGAATATCATACAAAATTATATAAGAAAGTTAAAATCTCAAGTATATCTTACATTTTCATGACGATTTAAACAAAAATGCATTTGTCCAACTTTGATAGATAAACAATGAATGCAGCAATCAACAAAGGGGAAAAAACCAAATATCAAAGAAAGTTGAATAAAAAATACTTGCAAAACACAATCTTCACTCTATACCAAAAAAAAAAAAAAGCAAAAAAATTACTATATACAACATATAGTCTTAAGATATGACAAACAATGACGGTTCAAAGCTAGTTTTGAAGTAATTAAAACTTTTTTTAAATCTACGTACAATTTTTGAATATAAAATATCTATCAACCCCATAATACATAACCATAACTATAGCCAGCTCGAAGTATTAAATCAAGTTAATGCATGATTGAAAATATCAAAGAAACAAAAAATTAGATATGCATAATATAGTTAAAATAATTAATAAAACATAAGCATTTGCTGGAAATACTTGAAAAAACTTTTCATAGTACTCACGAAGGCAATTGACAAAGGCATACATCAGTCCTTTTAATAGACCAGTGACTATAGCTCCACACATAGATACACTTTATACATAAATATACATATATGTATATGTGTATGTATATACGTATATATAGATGCATGCATACATACATTTATAGAATAGCAAAGGCATATTTTCAATTAGCTATTGTTAAACAATACACCTTGTCATTTCAATTCCCATTTGTATTCTTTAAAAGAAATCAAGCACTTCTTTTCATCGGTTATTGTTGAGCAAATACCTAGTATTTGCATTCCTTAATTGACAATTCAATTGGACCATAAATGTTGATATTTTATATTTTGAAGGTGGTTAATAAAAAATTATATGAAAGATATTTGCAAATATGAAAGGCAAAACTTATATCAAGCTTTCATACTGTTAACTCGAGCTTGTGACATCTATCTAAACAGTTACAACATAGTTATTAACAATCAACAATGGCATACAACGAGTGAGCTATGTTTCATACTCACAAGCCGATAATTAATTCTGTCAAATTTTAAAATCATAAAACATAATATGCTATTTCTAAATTAAGTGTCCGAGCCTTTCCACGTGTTTCTTACCTCTCCTTTCTACTTTTGCTCTCTCAATTTTGTATGCAACCAAACAACCACATAAACCCAAAGAAAAAAAAAAAGATACATCCATAAATTAGTCAAGCAAGACAATTGGATTCATATGAAATAGACAGCAATAGAGATTCTCAAATGTCACTGCCTAAAGAAAAGAAAAAATGTAACTTCTATTTGCCTCTTAAAAATAAAAAGAAAGAAGCTGCAAACGTTAAGCATGATGTAAAGTTATTCTTATGCTTTGTTACATTAAGCCAATTTCTACGAGACTAAAAATCAGAAATATACCTGAAATAATAAAAAAAAAATGAAGGATTGATTCCTTTCTCATTGTCTTGCACCTGTAAAAAAAATGAAAGCACACTTGTGCCGTTGTCATTACTTAAGGCAAAATCAACTACAAATTTTGCCATTGCTAAAACTATTAAATTGCAAGATCGAATTAAAAAATATTAAAGGTTAAAGAACAAATACTTATATTATGAACTCTTTTTTTTTTTTGTGTAATATAACATAATGTTATATAAAACAGGAAAAAAAAATTTTGCTAAGAATGTTCTGTACATTATGGAAACATATTAAATTAATATTTTATCATGCTCATCAATCTTATAGGACATTTAAATTACTAATAGAGGATAATTTATAATTTTATCATGCTTTATTCAAAATTCTACCAATCCATTATATTGATAAAAGGAAAATAAATAATCGATAACTTAACTTGTAGTGAATTTGTTCGTTGCAAGAAAAATAACTTCATGGTTCTAATTCAAACAACGTAAGGTAAAGAACAAAAAAGGAAAATATATTGAGACTTATAGATCATTAACAAGAATGAAACATTTATAACATAAAACCTCGATCTTTAATTGACAAATCTAATTATCAAGAATAATAAACTGAAAGAACACTTGATAAGATACTTAAATTGGAATAGAGGAATAGAAGAAGACTATCGGTGGCTTTACTTGAAAAGCTGCGTGGTGGATCTTGGCCATGGGGAGCCAACGGCAACGGAAGGTCGCTGTTGGTTCAGTCATGAGAGTGATAAGGCAAATCTTAGACTTAACCCATAATAAAACCCAAGAGAATGAATCTCTTTTTCTCGCTGCCTTTTCGTTCGTTCTTTCATCGCCGATCGCAGCTTTCGTCTACGGTGATTCTTTCCCCCTTACGATGCCCTCTCTTATGGTTCCTACTCTTTTTTTTTTTTAATGCCGTTTGCCTAGAGAAGCTTTCGAGATGCTTGAGTTGAAAGTTTCAGTTTTAACTTTTGGTCCAATTGTAATGAGAAAAATCCAGAAGCTTCTTTGAGCCTTATCCATGTCCAAATAACTTTTTTCAATAAATTAAAAAAAAAACCAACATGTCAAGCAATTAAGCTGAAACACGTGTTAATTCACAGTTTAATTGCTAGAGACTCCCATCTATGTGTTGTATAGATTTACTGGCAAAAAACCAAACCAAAAAGGAGGTTAGAAGTTTTAGGTAAAAACCAGAAGGCTAAAAGGAAGTCAAACGCTTTATTCCTATTGCGATGTTTAAAAAAAATGTCAATCAGTTAATAATGGATAGATGTCAACGTGATGTTCAATTGAAAAAGGGTAATTTAAATAATATATATATATATCTATACCTGTATATAATAACTATCCCAATTGTCTACATTCATACAACTTAGTAATGTCTTAAATAGAAATTGATGGATAAATTTGGGAGAGAAACATATTTGAAGCATAAACACGGGAAGACAGCATGCCTTACACCTATTCAATAAAAACTAAACAAAGTCAACCATGGGAATAAGGCTCGAGAATGACAAAAGATAGAGTGATCATTCACTTCTCTATTTTTTTTTATCTTTTGTTAAATGAATGTCATAACATTTAATTCTAAAGATCCATCGTTCGATATTGACTTAAAGAATGATTATTAATTTTTTTATTTAAATGTGATTGATCATCTAAAAAGTTTATCCTTTCAAAAAATACATAGACTTAAAAGTCCCTAAAAGAATAGATTCAGGTCTATTAATCAAAACATGATTCGAGAATTCGATTACGAGTGAAAAATATTATAGCATCCTCACAACGCCCATCGAAAGATGGTACCAACTTAATTTATGTTATCCGATAAACTTTAAAATTTTATCAAATAATTATTAAAAATTATCTTTAATTAATTCAATACTTTTGACAGAAAATTAAAAACATTCTCTTACCTCAATAGTATGCAAGAAAACTATTGTTTCACTTGTAAAGACTCCGTCTCAAATTATTTAACATTAAAAAAATTCAAGAAAAAAAAGAAAAAAACAAAATAAAATAAAATAAAAAGAAAGGAATAATGATTTAGCTTTTGATATAAATATTTTTCTTTTCATTTAAAAGCTCATTGCTTTTGTATAACCAAAATTAATACTTTCAACTTTTTCTTAAAGCGTTTGAAAATTTTTGTATTTTAAAGAAAATTGATACTTTCAACTTTTCTTTAAAATATTTTTTTTTAAATTTTAATTTCGAGAAACATTGATACTTTCAACTTTTTCCTAAAAATATTTTTTAAAACA